GAGCAGTCAAAGTATGCGAAGACTGTGTTTTCTTATTCATGTTTAAATAATGTTCCGGTGAAACGAACTGAGTAGGAGAGATTAGCAAAAGACTGTGTAGGCTGTGCCGATTTGTTCAAATTTGCGTAATGCTCAGGCGAAACATATTGCGGAGCAGAAATTGTTGAGGTATTGCGAGAACGCGCACCGGCTCACCCGCCTTGTTTGGGGTAATGGGTGGATGAGGTTGCGAATATGCGTAGTTGGAGTTCGGCATTTGAGAGGTGGCGGGCGGCAGAGGAGCTGGGGGAGGTGGTGGAGCTCCAGGCTGGTTGTTCATCGAGGTGGACGCGGTATAGCCCTGATTCCGTCGGTCGGGTGGCACGAAATCCGGCCGTTCGCACTCGGGGATTTCTGCCCATTCATCCTCGTTGATTCCACTACCTGTATTCTGTGGTTTTTCAGCAAAGTAGGACTTTGCTTCTTGCAATTTCGCTGCAAGCGCATTTGTGGCCGCAGAGTAGTATTTTTGCGAGTGGCTTCGGCCAAGCTTTGAGCTCTTGCTGTCGTGAGGTCGGTACTTGGGCGGCGGATCCTTGGTACGGGGTGCGGGTTCCTGGATTTCGTCGCTTGAATCGGAGTCGTAAAACTTCTTTGGTTTGCGAACTCTCTCGCGAGACCGAGATCGACGCTCCCCGCTGGAAACTGGATAGTCAGAGTAGATGTCCCCGTATGCCAATCCTTCGTCCTCACTATCGCTGTAGAGATCTGAGTAGTATTGGGTTTTCGCCAGAGGGCGAAGGGCGCGACTTGTGCTTCGCTGGCTGCGCTCAGCGCCGGTGTCATGCGAATAGCGATCGCTTCGATCGCTCCGTAAGGACGTATTGCTTTGCCTCGGCCCAGCTACTGACTCTTCATCGGACAGGTAGTGGCGATCGCGCGGCGCTCGTCGACCCCTATCGCTCTTGTAATCGTTCTTGTAATCGCTCTTGTAGTCGCTTTTATACCTGTCGTCGTCCGAGAGGTCGAGGTCATACCGCTTCTTGGTACTGGACCGGGATGCCGGCGCCCGGGGACGGTCATCCATTGAGTCGGAATCATAATGGTGCTTGGAGCTCGATGTTTTGCTCCTGCTCTTGCTCCTCTCTCGCGATGGAGAATGTTTACGGCTGTGCGATCGATGGCGATGCTTCCCTCCAGGGGACGGCGATCGACCTCGAGAATAGGACCCCGGCACTCGAAGCATGGTTCAGCAGGCGTCCTGAACCTAGTAGCTTTGTCTGGATCTGATGGATGTTGTGCACAGCAAGCCCTGACAAGAGGCAGCTCTCTCGAAACAAAGGCAGGCAGACGATGGACAGACAGGATATTTATAAAGCAATCAGGCTCCAGGTCAACCTGCAACCCGCGACGAACTCCAGCCGTGAGACGGGACGTTGCTGCAGCCACAGGGATCACGGGCCAGCTGAATCTCAGCCTCATCCGCCCCAGCCACGGCAGCCACAGCATCAGCCACACTCCCCTTGCATACTGCATATTATGTAATGTTTCATACAAGGAGTAAGTATGTACAGCCAAAAGAATCATAGATTCAACCTCTTATATATACGGCTAAAGTCGCGGTCCCCTTTCTTAATCAGCACTTGATAGAGAACGGTCGGCGTCATTCATTTTGTTCAGCATTCCCGCCCCCACCTTGCTCATTCATCCTCATAATCATCTTCATGCTCACTCTCCTCCCTTCGCTGCATAAAATCTATGCCCATGGCTTCCAATTTGGCAATATGTTTCGCGGAAAGGCCAATCAGTATGAAATTCTTTGGCAGCCGCTGCCCGGCCCTGTGTATATGGTCCCCACGTTAATCGGCCGCATAAAAGCTACGTGGAATGGGATACAAGTATTTACCTGAGCCAGTCAAAGACCATTTGGCGCGCCCTATCCTTGAGTTGAACTTGACCCCGATTAGCAAGCTTCGGCTCCTCCTCCTCATCGTCGGCCGATTTTATGGCTACCCAAGACGGCCCGTATTTTCGTACCAAACGCACTAGCTGTCTGGATTCCTGAGCTGTCCAGGCCAAACGCACTCTTGGCGCTCCTGGCAAAGTTGGGTTCAGCAGCCTTCTAACGGCGTTCTCTCTGCTCCTAACACCCTCGGGGCGCTGACGGTGCAAGGCCGGAGCCGAAGCAGCCTCAGCCGTGACTGATTGGGAGCGCCGTGGAACTCTTGGTGACGGCGCCGAGCTGGCCTGTGTAGTCGTCGCCCTCGGATCAACTCGCCGTCTTTTTGAGGGGCGAGGGGTGTCGTTATACACGCCAGGTCTGTCCTCAAATGCACTCTCCTCACTTTCATTCTCCTCCGCGCGGCGTCGTTTCCTTGTGTTTTCCATGTCTGGTTCCAAGTCGGCCCCATCCTGGGTGTATCGGATTGGAGACACTCTTTCCGCATTTGCTTGGCGGTTCAAGAATGTTCTTCGTGACGAAACAGGAGTGCTGTCAATGTCCACTAAAGCTGAGGTCTGCTCGTCTCCCTTGTTGCTGGTTTCCGCGGGCCCTGCTGTCCTTACCGACCCACGCTCGTGGCTTTGGCTTAGCGATCTACGCGGGAGGCCTGGAGAAACGGCAGCGCAGGTTCGTTCCCTTAGCTTTTGGAGATGCCGGATCGACGTGATAGATATAAAGTTTCTATAGAAGATTAGATGGTTGAGAATAAAGAAAAGCACTAGGCTAGAAGCGTGATTTCTACCTTTGGGGTGCTGCGGGCGGAAGGGGTGGTGGAGGTTCTGGCTGCAGGGGCAGTTGTTGATTGTCGGTTTCTGGTGAAGCGCGTACTGCCGGCGTGACTGTTCTTTGCGAAGCTTGTCGGGCCTCTCTCCAGAAGTGCACGCTTGACCCGGGTGACGCTGCCAGCGCCGGCGTTGGTCGCAACGACTCGGTGCCCATCCTTGACTCTAATCCTTGCCGCAATTTAGCTATCGCTGTAATGTGGTCCTCCTGCTCCCGCAGCCGATTGTTTATTTGAGCGGTTGTTTCTCGAACCCATGCTGCAAGCTGCACGACGAATTCGGACCATGGAAATGCAGTCTTCAGCGTAGTGAAGTCTACGGGTATTGACGTGTCCTTTCGGAGCGCTTCCCGAATCTTTTCAATTCTCTTTTGAACTTGATCATGGAATCTGTCGGGTAGATCGCCCATTTCATCTTGAAGGCCACCCATCTCCCACCCGCGCAGCGCAGTATCTGCACAAGAGGCATTGAATATGTCTCTTAATATCATTTCGCTGTTTGTTGCCTTTGGGGCCTCGTGCATTGTAAGTATACAACGCTGAGTTCGAATCGCCAGGCCCATTTCGAAAATTTTCCTTGCTGAGGCCTCGTCAGATAGGCCGTGCTCCCTCGAGTCCAATGAGATGAACGGTGCCGGGAACAGGCTGTCAATAACATCTAGTGGAGAGTCGGGTGTCGTCCCGTTGCAAAAGTATATAATATCCAACGTTAATTGCGCGAGGTTAGCTTTCTGGTAAATCCCGTCTGGCCTCCAGTTCAAATTCTCGGCGTGGGGAAGAGCTTCCGTTGCTTTGACCATGTTGATAAAATGCTTGTCCCCAAAATGCCCTTTAAAATCCAAAAAGCTGTCCCCCCAGCTTTCCTCAAGCCTAATTTTAATGGTGGAGTTTGTAATGTGGCTTTTGAATTGCGAGTACGAAAATCCGTGTTGATCCCAGAGAAGCAAGATTTTATCTGACCACCTTTCAAGTTTAGGCAATGCGCGTAGCATGACACGAGGGTCAAGTTGACTTGACACCTTTTTCACATTAGCCACAGGAAGTGGTAGGCCAAAGATGTTTGCGTGGTCCACCGGCGACACAGGGACCTCAACATGGCTCAGTCTCACACTTTTGCTTCCCGGAGTTTTGAGCGGAGACACTGGGCCGCTTTTGCGTAGTATCGAGGGGTTGTCTGAGGACGCAAATCAGTATAGACTCCAAGGCTCACTCAACACCAAGGTTTGGGGTCAAATCCATCAGGATAAAGACAACAAAAATACATAAAAAGGAGCTAGACATCCACTATACAATGCGCTCGCTCCTGTTGGGCCTGAAATGAACATCACCTACTTGAACGTTTTGCCGCTGACAGTCTACTTTGTTTGATCGGGGTCACGATGGGATCTTCGGCATTGCTACCATCATCAGGATCTGAATCACTGCCGCTTGATATCGACCCCTCCTGGGGTAATTGATGTAGGGTCGTTCCATCAATATCCTCTACATCCTCCTCTGGCCGCTCGGGGATTTCAGATGCCAGCATCGACGCCACAGGCCATAACTTGGAGTTCTGACCAGCAAACTCAGCTGGAGGGCGAGATGTGCTGCGCGTAGTAACTGGCATGGGTAACAGTTACATGTACAAACGAGATTGAGGCGCAAGGGCAAGTATAAAGCTCAATATATGAACGAGAATCACACCCTGAGAAGATGCGATCCCTTTGTTTTGAGGCGGACGATGAACAGCCAGATCAGGAATGGTTCAGATTATATAAGCAGTGAGCCGTCACGGGGATCCAATCCTGTACCCTAATCGTGTACCCCAGATACTAGTTAACAGTACCTTGGGCCTGGAAGATGCAAAGAACGAACTGAGATGCAGAACTCGTAATTCAGGGTATGCTCTGCTGGTAAGAAGCCTGAGATCAGTATGTCTTTCAAAACCTTGAATTGCTGACGGCTCTTCCGGAGGCGCGGAAGAGGACTATCGGTACACAACAGCATCACTGCTCTTCAATAGAATAGTCGTACAGTACTGTCGTCTCGCGGCCTGTTGTTTGCAGAAGGAAACAATATCTCCATCAGATTTAACTTCAAGGCGAGCAAACTGTAGAGTATGGTATTACGTAAGGCCAGGATTAGAAAGCAAGTCCATCTGGACGCTAAACCGAATGTAGCCTAGCCAGACTAGCTAGGTGGCTTGTGCATGGAATCAAGCCACACCCCTGACTTTCTGTGACACTTTGGCTTAATATCGATGAGACCGCAGTCAGTTATTAATATAAGACCTCGCGACTATTGATCATCGCTCTAATGCCAACTGCACGGTTTTCGATTACTGACGAGGAGATGCTTGCTCGGGTCTTGATAAAATTGTTTTACTCCCTCCAATCTTGCGGACAAGGCGCCCCCGTTTTATCGATCCAAATCATTGGTTCTCTGTTTCTCATAACTTGTTACTTGAGAGATTTTAACCGGTCGATCGTCTCCCATCGTTTCTACTATTAAGCGGCGTTGACAGTGCTATCCTTCCGTATTTACGAGTTCTCGTACCTCCAACATCCAGTATGAGGCTCCGACGGGTTCCCGTTCCTCTCCTCCTTCTCCTCTGTTCTTCCATCTCCCTTACCCTCGCCGATCCTAGAGCAAATACCGCTACCTCCTCCGATGAGGTAGTAGCCGGCCCCATTTCCGGAAGCCCTCATACGAATCCTCGTGTTCAGATAAGAGGCGTCGAGGACGCACCTATCGATGGAAAGGATGGAAAGCCCCATGCTGGGCCATTCGTCGAAACGCATGCGGAGCGGCAGCGGAAAAAAGAACAGGCTCTATTGGACAAGGGCAAATCTCCAACGCCGGATTTAAAGGACCCTTCGGCGGATCATGTTGGTCCGGATGGAAAATTGATTCCACACTCAAATGATGGAGTTATGAATGATAAAAACAGGCCTGGTCCGAAAGAAGGGACTCGAGGAACGGAAGGAGGGGTATCCGAGAGGAATAAAGGGAATCAGTTAGGTATCGAGAAGAAGCCGGACCCGCCCAAAGAGGCACCACCATTGCCGCATAGCGAGCAGCAGAAAATTACAACTCCTCAGGGCGATCAAATCAAGAAGGAGGACGAGGAGAAGAAAGATAAGCTGCTGGAGGTATATATTTCTTAGACGAAATGATTTACTGGCAGTTCCTGTTTGCTAACGGAGGCTATAGAAACCCGAAGACCTTCCCGAATCACCGCATTCCATCCCTCCTCCAACGCCGCCTCGTGGCCGGAACAGTAAAGGTTTGGCTGTGGAAGATCCGGTGAAATCTTTACCCCACGACAAGCCAAATACAGCACATGGCGATGACCATGTCAACGAGATCATACAGCCTTTCCACTCGTTTGTCCTTTCCTTTACGATGATTATATTCTCAGAAATCGGCGACAAGACCTTTTTAGTTGCGGCATTGATGGCTATGCGGCACCCAAGGATGGTTGTCTTCTCTTCTGCATTCGCCGCCCTCATTACAATGACGGTGTTGTCTGCAATCCTGGGGCATGCTGTCCCAGCAATCCTTCCGAAATCCTACACAAACGTTTTAGCGGCCGTTCTATTCCTTGTTTTCGGTATAAAAATGCTCTTTGAAGCCAAAAATATGTCACCTGACGAGAATGTGAGCAGTGAGATGAAGGAAGTTGAAATGGAGTTGGAAGAAAAAGAGCACCAGCAGCGGCGCCTAAGCCGCCGTCGATCGTCTGTGAGCCCGTATGCCCTAGAGGCTGGCCGTGGAGGTGTTCCTCACAAATCCCACTTTTCTAAACACCATCTTCCAACTCCTGAAAGCAACTCGCCATCCTCGTCTCGAGGCAACTCCCCGTCCCGACGCTCAACGATAAGCAATATGCTCGCCGGGCTGAACAATCTCGTCTCGCTTTTACTTAGTCCTGCCTGGGTCCAAACATTTGCTATGACGTTTCTAGGCGAATGGGGCGATCGAAGCCAAATCGCTACTATTGCGATGGCCGCCGGTCAGGATTACCTGTGGATCACTTGGGGCGCCATCATCGGCCATGGAGTGTGCACCGCAGCAGCTGTCCTTGGTGGAAGGGCAATTGCTGGTAAAGTCAGTATTCGCACGGGTAAGTCTCAAATGCGTTTATACCCAAAGTTCATCCTCTCTCTCCAGGCGTTTGCGCTAATTGAACTCAAGTCACTTTTGGTGGAGCGATCGCCTTCTTGGTCTTTGGTCTCCTCTCCGTCCTCGAAGTCATCTACTAATCCGCGTTGTACAACTACGGTCCCCTTCGTCAATCCAGCTGCGAGTACCCAATATCATTTTTTCGATCATGAATCACTAGCCAAGCGAGTATATCCCCTTTTACATTTTCTTGTTTCTCCTTCGCCTTGGATTTAAGGCGCCTTTAGTCTTGAATAGACCTGGGTGTATCGCTACACAGATATCTTCTTCTGGCCTCACCCTCCGGTACAACATTGTTGTACTCCGTTTCCCTCTGGTGTAATTCCTAATCTCCTACTTCTATATCTATTCATGGTATATATATTGGAAATTTTAGACTGGTTATCCCAGGTGCCAAATGATTGTTTCGCACATCCGTTCATTTTAGGTATCTTTAAATCTTGGATGCACAGTCGATATTCCCCCAGCGTGTCCTTTTCTGCCATTCCACTGCTCTGTTCATGATGCATAGAGCTTTATATCTAGGTGGACAATTAACAAATGTGCATGATAATGGCTTGCTTGTTCTTTCATCCATTTTCCCAGCTGGTACGAGCATTCCGGTTCATCTGACTGTCTCTCAATTTCAGTAACTGATGCCCTCCCTCTCGATATACATTTGGGGTTAACCCTCTCGGCGCTGACTGAACGTTGAGCTAGCCTCCCCAATGCGTCCATATATAAAGGCGAACTATCCATCCTCTTCCACCAATTTTTTTTTCCAACCTTTTTGCTCAGGAGCCCAGGCGGGTGAACTCATTTTTCTTGAACCACTGGGTCACCAAATATTTTGTGCTCTCTAGGAGAAATCCCCTTTACTCTAACCCCCATTGATATTGTCGCAAGGCCACAACACATTCGGCAATAGCAGAAACAGTCACAATGTCAACAAACAATCCCCCTTCTTTGCCTGATGTTTCTCCGTACACGTCTAGCGACGAGGATCATCAAGGCCTAGAGTTCAATCCTCTCGAAGACGCTGGCGGAATGAGCGACGTAATGGTTTCAGATCAGCTTGCTTATAAAAGCTATCGTGGCGGCTTCAGTGCAGCACAAGTTGCCGAATATTTGCGTTCCCCGATCGGAAGACCCATCATGCTCAGTTTCTTCTATGGCAACCCCTTCGTCAGCGCTCCACAGCTCGAACATATCAAGTTCACCTGCCCTGTGAGCAAAAACTTTTTCGACAAGAACATATCGACGCGCCAAAGCGAGATTCAGAACGACAAACAAGATGGACACGACAATGATAGTACTTCCCAGGCGAAAGAGCTGGCATGTCTTGCTGGGCGCTGTGATAGTGAACTTCTCCGTTCATTCCCCAATAAATGCGTCGCTTGCGGTAAACCGAATGCTTTGGATGTTGCCCACCAGCCTCTCTGCTTTTCTTATTGCGGCTACACCAGGCTCGCAAATGGGGCCAAGATGCGCGGGATGATGACTTATATTGCGAAGCTAGTCAAGCAGTTAGACGACGAACAGAAGATTCAGGCTGCGATTGGAGTCGCATCTCGAAGCCCCAATCCTCATATCCATTTCCTATCCGCCCCGGTCTGCGTTCGCAACCGCGAATGTCGACAAAAGGCAGAATGGAGGCTCACCAAGTTAGCTCAATTGGCAAAAAGACCACCTCCGGTCCCAGATGAAACCCACAGGGAGAGTTGCGTTTTCAAGAATAAGAAATCGGACCTGAAGAACAAGGAAGAGTCTATCAAGTCTGATAAATGGGAGGACGCGGATCAGGAGTTTGGCGCGACAATCCAACCGGTGATCGATACCCCCGGCAGAGTCCCACTGCGAGTCGCAGTCTTTTGTGGCAAACCAATTATCAACACCAAGGTGACTACAAGCCGCAATTTGCTGAGTGTCATGGTTTTCACCTTGCGTTGGGATGCCAATGAACTCGCCACGGCTACCGGGGATGACGGCCGTTTCTATAGCCTCCTCGGTGCCTTTCTCGAAACCCGTATTCTCTGCGCAGCAGAGTTCCGCTGTTGTATCTGTCAAGATCGCAAGCTGGCAACAAGTCTGATCCATCGTCCAATTTCTTTTCGACGGAATAATACCACTGGTGCCGGGGCAGCAGAAACACGAAAACTTATCATGCAACTCGTTCAGCTTGTGGGCGATGGCTGCCAGTGGACAGCACCGGAAACAGAGGCGGTTTTGGGATCACCCGGCGTATGGCACGTCAACGTCTTCGTCGCTCCGATTTGTCGTCGCGACAGTGTTGTATGTGAGGAAACGGCTCGAATCGCGGCCAAACGATTCGTGGACAATCAAATTGCCAGTGTTGGCACTCCAAAAAGAGCTCCTTTCAAACTCGCTTGGCCCAACTTATTTTATGACTTTGCGTTATCGAACATGTACACCGTGCAAAATGACGGCAAGGTTCCCAAGCTTGCTGTCAAGAAAATTGGCTTAGGCGTCATGGATGACCCGAAGATTAAAAGCAAGGCGGTAAAAGAAATGCGCCGCACCCTGGAGCGACTTCGCGTAAAAGTCGAAAGCGATTACAACGCGCATCTCCAGGAGACTGAGACTAAAAAGCAAATGGAGGACGAGTGCAAGCGTGGGCGGTCGCATTCAATTCTCCGTGACGAAGACTTTGTCTTTCTGTTTGCGCTGAATTCATTCCCAAATGAAGTGTCCAACGATGAAAACAAGCATAACGAACATGAAGACGAAGGGAATAAAAGGGGATCTGATCCGAAGTCGTTTGGGGATGGAGAGGAGGTTCTTTTGTCCCCAGAAGTGCTCAATTTGAGGGATGAAGTTGGGAAATTTGTGAAGGATCGATATGGAGAGGATTTTCTTGCAAATGCTATGGACGGAGAGATCTGATTACAAGACTGTTTCTTAAGAGTGGAAAAGCGAAAGCTCCAAGGTCTTTTATGAATAACAAATGTCGATATTGATATTTAATTGCCGGGCTCCATCACCTTCGATTTTTGCCCTTTTCTGCACTTTGTTGTAAGGATGTTCAGGGGCAATTTTGTCAGTTCCTATATTGTAATTTTAGCACACAAAAGAAAGAGAAAATTAATCGTATTTATATTCGAGACGAAGAAATAACTAAATCCACACATTAACTATTCAAAACGTCTTCATCAGAATCATATGTCTCCAGGAGGTCAAGAATATCATCTCCATAATCTTCCACCGCCGTCTCCATTTCATCAAGCCAGCTGTAATCAGCGTACAACGACCATTCATCGCCGCTGTCACCCACAGGTGAGATGGGGTATATATCGGCATGACCAAAGCTCACACCCCTTGACTTTTTTGGCGCTTCCTTGCCGGCTTCGTCCGCGGAGTCGCTGTGGTCAGGGATGATATTGAGGAAATATCGCTCTAGAACTCGACATACGCAGCCAGTCAAGCAATGACACCCTGGATTCGACGGTCGATATTCGTTCTTCGCCATAGCCAGAATTCCAGCTGGGGAATTATGGGTTCTGTTTATTGACGATGGATCCTTGGACATGGCGCTGCGACGCATGCGCGAATGGAGTGACCCCGTCGAAGCCCTGCTCTTGAGCGCGGATTTTTGGAACGTCATGAGTAAATTGAGGGACGTATTAGCGATAGTTTCTTCTTCAGCGGCGCAAAGTCCATGATGAATGCTGTGTTGGAAGGATTTGAGAATTGATTTGCCAGGCTCGCATGGCACTATGGAGATCCTCTCTGCAGGTTCCCTTGCTGGGTGTAGAATGCATTCAAGGGCGGGCTCTAATCCCCCGAATGATGTTGCGGTTGCTACTGTTGTAGCATCTGTCCCTGCTAGGCTTGTGACACTAGGTGCTGAAATATCGGCATGGTTCATAGAGGACGCTGATAACCTCGCTTGTTGGAGATAGAACTGCCGTGAGAGAGTTGCGCGTGGGAAGATTCGACGTCGCGCTTTGCTCCATAACTCAAGAGAGCCGGTGGCTAGATTGTCAAACGATTCTTTAGCTGAGCGTGTTTTTTGCCCTAGAATTTTAGTGAAACGTTTGAAAGGGAATTTGGGCGGTGGTGAGCTCATTCCACCAAGGGGAGAGGCGCTCGAGGAAGGATGAGGCTTTCTGCGAGGCAAAGGACGACGACACTTGCGGTCGCTGGAGCAAAGAAACACTTGAAGCATTGAATTTCTTCGTTCAGTCATGATGATCGCTCAAAGATTGACTTGCTTTTGCTTCTTCCACTATGGAAAGAGGGACAACGGGGCAAATATATGCAATCCCTTTTTCGCATATGGCTCCATGTTTGCTCAGTGCCCACCGAATCACTGTCAAATGGCCACTTATAAGAACGCTTCACGCTAAATGTTTGTACTTCTTCATCACAATATCCATAACAGGAGCAGGTTCGTTAATAGGGTATCAAGAAGTCGAGTCATTCACTTGACTTTCAATTTCGCCAGAATCAAATCTTGAAGTAGGAGGGTAGAATAAAATTTGTAGGCCTGTTAAAATTAGGAATACCACCTTTGCCGCCACCCATTATGATCCATATCCATTTCCTTTAGAACTTTTGCGGGTTTAATTTTGGTAGTTATGCCGCTTTCGACTTTGCGTTGCGGAGAGGAAAAGGGCCCACGACATCATATAAGACGCTTATTATCGGGGGACAAATTATCACGAAGGTCAATGACATTTGTTATGATGTAAAATGGTATTGTAGACAATATGCAAGAGCTGACTTAGAAAGGGCATATTCCCAGGCGGTATCAGAAGATAGGTTGTTAGAATGAGAGATGAATTGATAGACAAGAGTAAGCAGCTAGATTGCCGTATCGTTTAATGCGTGGTCCGGTCGAGGAATCGTAAGATGCAGGGTCTTGAAACCTGGGCTACTCGCCAGCCATTGTGTGGTGCGTTGTATTCAACCATCCATCCTTTTCGTGTCTCCGAGTAAACATTGGTAGTGTATGTACTGTACACACATGCAAAATTCTTGCTCAACAATGCCAGCGATGCGTGTTTGGACCCACTTGAGATGAGCTGACTGATCAATCCTTAATTGAGTATTCAACCAGCATGCATGCTTCCATGATGCTCCAACATGCAAAGCGGGCAGGCCACTGAACTGCTGAAATTCCTGCTCAACAATGTCAGCAATGTATGTCTGGATCAGCTTGGAATGAGCTGACTGATCAGCCCTTGAATATTCAAACCAGCATGCATGCCTCCATGATGTTCCAGCATGCAATGAATTGTTGAAATTCCTGCTCAACAATGTCAGCAATGTATGTCTGGATCAGCTTGGAATGAGCTGACTGACCAATTCTTGAGTATTCAAACCAACATGCATGCTTCCATGATGTTCTAACATACACAGAGGGCAAGCAACTTGTCCTGCTCAACAATGCTAGCAATGTATGCCTGGATCGGCTTGGGATGAGCTGACTGATCAGCCCTTGAATATTCAAACCAGCATGCATGCCTCCATGATGTTCCAGCATGCAATGAATTGTTGAAATTCCTGCTCAACAATGTCAGCAATGTATATCTGGATCAGCTTGGGATGAGCTGACTGACCAATCTTCGAGTATTCAAAAGTGTTCTAACACGCGGAGGGAGCAAGCACCATGCTGCTTGGTACTTGCGAAGGGTCTCTTAAAGACCATTCCATAATATTATCATAGAGCTGCTGATATTATAATACTTGTAGTTGTATGTATATCACAGGGGGTGCCTCGACTGCCGTCGGGGACAGTCTCTTAAGAGTCCGTAAAAGCTTTCACGTTTCCAAACTATAATTAGGGGCCTGGGTATATATATGACTCGACTTGATAAAGAGTTAAACCTCCCTGGAAAAGAGTATATATAGTAGGAATTTATAGAAGAAGGTTGAAGAGACAAGGATGAGTCTGGAGGGGAGAGGCGCATTTATAGGCCCAAGCACAGCAATGATTTAAATAAAGTTGCGACGAAAGTGAAAGAGCCAAGGTTGAATGGGTAGCAGTGGTGATGCTAGAAAACAGTGAGAATGGGGATCAAATATCAATAGTTGCGACGAAAGTGAAGAAACTGAGCTTCACTCACCAGTGATACAAGTGAAAAGGGGAATAGTTGCGACGAAAGTGAATGAAACTGAGCTTCACTCACCAGTGATGCAAGTGAAAAGGGGAATAGTTGCGAACTTGCGACGAAAGTGAATAGAAGCTGAGCTTGGATCACTAGCATTGGTGATGCTAGAGGAAAGTGAAAGAGAGGATAAAGATGCGACGAAAGTGAAAGACACCAAGTTTGAATCACAAGATGGCAGTGAGGATAGAAGCACATACCAATAGTTGTGACGGAAGTAAAAGAACTAAGATTAAATGAGTAGCATTGGTGATGCTAGGGAGCAGTGAAAGGAAGAGACAGCCAGTAGTTGCGACGAAAGTGAGAGAAATAAAGCTTGAATCACTCACTTCAGTGATACTAGAGAGGAGTGAAAGGAGCCCATAGATGGATCATGGTTTCAACTTTCGACGAAAGTGAATGATGTTCTCTTCCAGGTTATATCAGAGACATTTAAAGTAAATGTGAATAAATATTCGAGGGTAGAGTATCCACGGCTGTAGTAACTAGTTATGTAAGGGTACTGAAGAGCTCCAGTGGCTGCACAGAGTAGTCGTGCCTGAAATATATTGAAAATTATTCTGAGTTGCGACGAAAGTGAATGATAATAGCATGTGAGGATGTGAGACGAAAGTGAAGAGTAGGCAGAGGTCATTTCCACTGATGAAATTGGCAAATATGGGGGGTTGTCATAGACTTATCATGATTAAAGTCTGAGAGAAAGCAGGGTATCAGGTAACTAGTTATTTGAAGGGGATTGTGTCCACAAGACCAGGGAATGTGGAAGAATTCTTAACTAACTTGACTAGTGAAGAGCTCTCTCCTAAATGATAGGGATAATTATTGCAGATACATCAGCCATTGTTTGCTTGCTGTTCCGACGAAAGGCCAAAGCGGTTTGGACGAAACTGTCCTGGTATCGGATGTGAGAAGTCAATTTGCATCTGCCTGGTTGATACCAGGTCATGGATCCAAGAGCTCCCAAGGTGGGGAGGAATGAGAGGTCCAAGCCGGAGGATTCAGACAGCCAATAACTAACACGGGCATCATATCATCGCAGAACGGGGCGGTCGGGTTGGCTCCGCGGATTGCCGGGTTGTCTCCTGTGCTGGGATTTGGCTGGGATGCCCGTTTTCAGTGGTGCGATAATATGAGAACAGCCGCCCACAAGAAAACGCTATGACGACACTGTTCATCTGCCAGGAAGGTGATGGGCCTGATCACGAGGAGACATGGGCATCAAACCATGTCGTAGAGACGGAGCTCCAAGCATTCGTCTGGGGGACAGACTCGAGGGCGTTGGTTAGGTTCGAGGGCCGGATGGCGTCCAAGCGGTCCTGTCCAGAGCGCTGTGAAAGGAGAGAGATAAGAGAGAATGCAGCCTGCTCAGTGCTCGCCTCTCGAGGAGCAAAGCCGCTCACCAGAAGCTGTCAGCTGTGGCAACCCGCCGCCAGTCTGGGCGACGCACATTGACGCATTGGCGTTGTGGGGTGCAGAGCGCCACTCGCAGATTTTGGAGCTGCGTGCTGGCGGTGATTGCTGGAGAGCAGCAGAGGATTCCGATAACGAAGACTCTCGAGGACGATCGGCTGGCGGTCTTCCAATTGCAGCTCTGTGTTGTCCCGCAAAAGCGATGTTGTTGGGAGAATCTCGTGGAGAAACAGGTCCTTGTCACATGCGGCATCGCCCTCTAGCTCTCCCACCACCAAGAAAGGATAAAGACTGGAAGATGACCACGCGCAGCTCGTTTGCAAGCTATCTCCGGCTTGGAAACTCCTGTTCTGCGGCATATATATAAGGTAGCATCTCAGCTCGATCCCCACAAGAATGCCTGGGCTTCAGACTGTAGATTCCCTTCCGCCCCTCGCGCCGCCGTAGGACCCCTTGCCAGGCTGTTTATCGCTATCTCAAACCTTGCAGGTGAGTCGAACCACAGAATCACCCGAGTTTAATGCTTTTGCCGCTTTGTGTCGGGTTTCAAGTCGTCCTTGTGGCTGGTTGTCACGGTTCCTGATGATCTTGTCAACAGCGTCTGTCTTCCCGTTCCCCTCGCTGGTTGCCTGCCGGTGTTCAGGCGATCCAACTGCTTCTCAAGCTTCTTTGACGCGTTGACAAGCGTTGAAGCTGGTTTGAAGCGATAGACCAGACGTGAGGCTTCTGCGTGGAATTATAACCACAGCGGTCTTGGGTTCCACGGCAGACGGACTCATTCTCCCAATGGCTCAGGAAGCGGGTGCTGAGAGCCCCAGGATAACACACTCCACGAGCAACGACAAGACAGCCAGCAATGATGGAGACAGTTCGACTCCCATCGAGAACGTTGCACCACGAAAGGTTCGATGGAAGAAATTCCTAGGAGTCGACAGCAACCGTCGCGGTTCAGATGTCGATGCGGACGACAATGGAAACCGTGAGAGATGGACAATGGGCATCCTGAACGACAAGCAGACTGAAGAAGTCCCAGGTAAGGAACTTCTATGGGCTTTCCGTGATCCCCTTGGGCCCAAACAGTGGCTGACGTGCACACACCGATCCGTAGGAACGATCCTTCTCCTTGCCTCCAACCGAAACGAGCCCCTTGGTCTGCGACAACAACCTGCGCGAGTATCCGCGTCGTCTTTACCGTCGCCCTATCCGCCGTCTCGATCATCGTCTCGCACTCCGGCACCTCAACCGAAACGCACACCAGATGGGAAGATCGTGCTGGAGCCTCAGCCAGAGGACTCACTCAACGACCCGCTGAACTGGCCGCAATGGCGTAGAGACTTGGCCTTGTTGTCTCTAGGCTTTTACTGCATGATCGGAGGTGGAATGACGCCTATTCTAGCGGCTGCATTTACTGATGTGTCCGAGGAATACAACGTTTCGTTCCCAAAGGTTGCTCTGACCACTGGGCTTTATATGCTTGGGCTGGGGCTCGGCTCAGTGGTAATGTCGCCAACAGCCATTCTGTATGGTAAGCGACCGGTCTACATTGTGGGCGCTACGCTGTTGATCATCTCTGGAGTGTGGTGCGCCCTTTCTCCAAATTATGCGAGCTTGGTCGTTGCTAGGATCTTTCAAGGCCTGGCTGTCAGCCCCGTCGAATGTCTTCCTTCGGCTACAATTGCTGAAATTTATTTCTTGCATGAGCGGGCGTACCGGGTGGGCATCTATACTCTTTTATTGCTGGGGGGCAAGAACTTGATTCCGCTTGTCAGTGCAGCGATCACAGAGGGCCTTGGATGGCGTTGGATTTTTTGGTAAGTATCGCCTTGCTGGGGCCATGGGCCATCCATTCGGAAAGCTAATATATACTCCTAGGATGGTTGCAATTACTATCGGATTTGGTCTAGTTTTAGTGTATTTTTTCGTGCCGGAAACATTCTGGGATAGAACCCCTCGACCACGCTCCAAGCGTCCCAAGGCACGGAGGAGCGTGTCTGACCTTGTGGTCCATTCATTTCGCGGTCGATCTTCCGAGCCAGTTACGCCAAACGAATCGCGATTTAAACACAATAGAGACGAAACTGAACAAAAGAGGCGCAAAGATGCCCACGTTGACTTTGCGGATGATGTCAAACGGAGCCTAAGTCGAGAGAGCGAACGCCCAAGCGGCTCTGACAAGCCGGGCTTGGATGAGAAAGATATTGATGGTGAGAAAGCAGAAAACACGCTTGCTGAAGGTTATTTCACCATCCCACCGGCCTCTGCCCCGGTTCCTTCTAGTACACACGACGGTTCAACGGCCCAGAAGGACGTTTCGGATCTAGAGGCAGCCCGCTCGGAACCTGTTTCTCGAGATATATCGGTTGATGCCAGCGGCGCTCCACTTCATCCGTCTCTCCAGCAAATTTACACCAGCAACCTGCGTTCCAGACCTCCGGTCAGTTTCGTGCAGTCGCTGAAGCCATGGAACGGTCGCATCACTCGCGATAGCTGGGTACGCGTCATGATCCGTCCCTTTATTCTCTTCGCCTACCCGGCCGTCCTCTGGTCATCTATGGTCTACGCTCTATCTGTGGGCTGGTTGATTGTTTTGTCCGAATCCGTGGCAGACATCTACCGCAACAAGGAGACGTACAATTTCTCGGCCCTGGCTACAGGTCTAGTGTACATTTCTCCGTTTGTCGGCGGGATACTGGGCACTGTCGTCGCCGGAAAGGTTTCAGACATAATCGTCCGTTGGATGTCTCATCGCAACGGAGGGATATACGAGCCAGAGTTCCGGTTGGTGATGTCTGCTCCGATAGCAATCTGTACGGCAATGGGACTTATGGGATTCGGATGGAGTGCGCAAGAGAAGGATCAATGGATCGTCCCCACAATATTCTTCGGCATCTTATCATTTGGGTGTACACTAGGAAGCACCACCAGCATTACTTTTTGCGTGGATAGCTACCGACAGTACGCCGGTGAAGCATTGGTGACATTGAACTTTAGCAAAAGTATGTTTGCCCTCTCCTGAAGCCCAACTTTTTGAAAACTAACGAATTGGTCCAGATGTTCTTCACGGCTTCGTTTTCTCCCTGTTTTTCGTTGACTGGTTGCATTCCGACGGCGCAAAGACGGTGTTTGTCGCCCTGGGTGGGATCCACCTGGCGCTCATGATGTTTTCGATTCCGATGTATATATACGGCAAGAGGGCTCGTATGTGGACCGTCAGGAAGAGACTGATGGAGAAATTTTAGAGAAAAGTGGTGTGGTATATATATATCCCTCCTGTCTATGTTCCGCATGCAATTGATGAGCATTTTTTATACCCTTGTTGGTGGAATTTTCGATGACTGACGACAGCCTGCATGTGCTCTGTTGTGAGATATTCCGATTTTGAGACCTTGCATGCTGTGATTCGATTTATCCCCTTATATTGTGGTTCCTTGGTTCTATCTGTCTTTGACTTGTTCTAGAGAGATATATGGTGTGAGGTGGTGTTATTTCCTATTAAACACACCTATTTAGAGTATGCCGTTGAGACCGTTAAAGGCCACACACGTTCCAAGCTGAATTTGACTACTCCGTATGTTTCAATCCCTAATACCGCTCAATCAACCAGGTCTTTCGCTCTTCCTCACTCATCTTGTTCAGCATTGCTTGCTCGCCTCTCCGAACCCCAATGTATCTGTCAACCCACCCTTTGCCCAAAACATCGCGAAGTTGCGCATCGGCTTCCAGGGCGACTAGGGCTTGATCCAATGATTCTGGCATGCGGGTGTAAATTCCAAGCTCTGCCCTCTGTGAAGAAGAAAGGGTCGCCGTATCGACTGTAGATGGCTAGAGTATTAGTCGTGCCTTTATCCCAAAATTGAAGAGAAAAAAGAAAAAAGAAAAGATGGGCAAAACGGCTAGGAAAAAGGTTACGCACCTCTACAATCCTGTATGCTCAATTCCATCCCCGACTTCATTCCCAAATAACCACCCGCAATTATAGCCGCAGCACCTAGATACGGATTTGCCAGTCCATCCATCGATTTAACCTCCCAATGGCCCGGACAGATCTTTCTCACTGGCGTCTCTCGATTCTGATAGCCCCACGCAACCCATACACCTCCCGCCCAGATTCCTTCCTTTACACGCTCGTAACTCGCATCTTGTGGAAACGTAAACGGGAGAATGGCGGGCAAGTGATGCAACAAACCGGCAAGAAAGGATGTTTCTTTGGCCGCTGGATTGATGGAGATGTGGACATGCGCCGCTGTTCCGGCTGAGAAAGCAAAGGGGCGCGGATATAGGGTTGCGCGGAGGCCTTGCCGTTCAGCGAGGTGGACGATTGTCTGCCGGGCTTTGAAAAGTGTGTCGACTGCCTCTAATGGGGATGCAGGCGGGAGGATAAATTCGAATTGGCCGGGCCCGGATTCGGTGTGGAACTGTTCAATGAAAACATTTATTTTTGCAAGTTCGGAAACGATATCTTCGATTAACGGGAGAGCACGGCGCGTGTCACTGGTCATATTTGACCAAAAATGGTTCCGAAGCCAGGGTTTGTAAACAGTTGGACCACTGTCGGAGTTGGACTTTTCCATAAAAACGACTTCGATTTCGAAGCCACAAAGCAGTTTGACCTCGAATTCTGTTTCGCATTTGTTGGCAATAGTCTGCAGGATTGTTCTGGGACAACCTTCTTGTGGTTTCCCATCTTCGGTTTCCCAAAACGTCATTACTGTAGCACTCTTTGACGCGATGCCAGCATTGATACTCAAGGTGCTCAGGTCGAATTTTAGATAAAGCTGGCCAGCGATCAGCGGGCCTGGGGGAACGGCAGTATCATTTTGAATCATGTTCAATATTGCCAAGGTAATTCCGACCTTTCGCTCTCCTTTGACGATCTTCGCAAACTCCCGAATCGGAAACATGCGAACACGAGCAGTAGCTGTGTAATCCAGAAGTATAGCCCATATAAACTCAACATGCGAGTTGATTTCCAGGAACCTGTCCAAAGTAGGAGTATTCTGGCTAGGTGTCATAGGCGATCTGATAGTGGTTTGGAAGGAATCCCCGGGATGATATTCTGCTGTCTGATCGAGGCTATAGAGTTGGTTGGAATTGTCAAACAGAATGCCTTTGACGGCATCCATTGCCTGTGCAATAGTCAAGTCCTTTTTGGCCACATATTCAAGTAGAACCTGGCAGAATGAGTTAGTATTGTTTTCGGCAAGAGAATGGATCGCATACCGCATCCATTATCTCTCTGAATTGTTTATTCGCGAGCCAGAATGTTTCAGGGTGGAAATGGCCATCTGTGCTCCAGAGAATCTTGGATGTCGGGACTAATTCCAGGCTTTGACGTAGAATGGACAGCTGGCCGTCTCTGTTAACCATTGGAAATACTTCACCGATATCTAGGTGAACATTCTTATACATAGACGCAAGATAGCCGGCCTCTCGAGTAAATGGATATGAAGAATGCAACAATACGAATTCGACCGTACTGTAAGATTCAACAAGAGATTGGAGGTGGGCTGGGTTGGATAGAACCAAATTGATATCTGCGTCACCAAGACCAGTATGGAACTGGATGGGTTTGCCGACACCAGTCTGGGTCAGTTTCTCCTGGATGCAATCGAGAGTCATTGTAACAATGTGGTCATTGAGGTATTTTCCTTGAATACGCGCTCCTCCACCATCCAGGGCAGTGCGAAGATGAGGAATAAACTGCGACACGATCTTCTCCCGGGAGTGGGCTTTGATATCCTTAAGCCCGGTTCGATAGCAAATAACCGACTTAAACCCAGCAACAATAGGATCATCGAGCGCCTCATGAATGATATCCATAAACCTCAGCTCGAGTTCATCGAAGCATCGGTCGATGAACCAGCCGGATTCGGAGACACTCTCCTTGAGCCGTGCAACATCCTTAGGGAATTGAGCTTGGATACCTTCGGCAAGGCGTTCAATCTGCTCCTTTGCGACAGCCTCAATGCGAACCACCCTTCTGGTGGTGCTATTCGTATACTCGTCATGCCACGAATAACCCTTCACATCATCACCGCTAACCAGCCCGTCGTCAATCAATAACATGTGGGTGCCTTCCAGGCACCGTTTCACCAATCCGCTGTAATCCTCCTCGATTGCCTTTTGCCTGGCGAGTTTGATTGCTTCCCACTTGGGCTCGCAGCCATACAACTCGGCGAGCTGATTAACGGCTCTATGGTGAGACAGGCTTTTTGTAACATCATCGATCAATGCTTTGCCCTGAGCTTCAGAGGTCACCGCCTCGAGCGGATATCGGCTGTAATCGGTGGCGCTCTCTTGACTGAGGATGTTATGGGCGTGGTTATCGATGATAGGGTAGTTGTAGATGAGATGTCGCAGTCTTCGGACATCAGCCATATCTTAACCTGGCAGGGCGTTTAGAGGGGCTCGCTGGCAGGGAGTTGAGGCGGGTGAACCGGGGCAAACTATTGTCGTGAAGCTTCAAAAGGCACTCAGCAGCTGAAGCAGAAGACATGCGAAGCAGGGAGACTCGCTGGAGAATATGTGTAAACCCGACCATCAGGCATGTCCAGGCGACATGATTTTGTGATTCTCTGAGGTTGAGAGCGGAAGCTCCTGCCAGCATCCCTGGCTGGACGGTTACACGACATGCTGGATCGTTGGCAATCAATTCACGAATCCCATCGATGGGCTTTGACGGTGAAATATTCAAGATCTCTTATGCTCTCTTGAGCTGCAATCCAGCCATTGTCATGTTATGCTCCACTAACTAACCACAGAGTATAGTTAGTTAACTAACTTACTAGTTATTGCTCACCCGAGGTCCAAGAACCAGCTCATGCTACTCAATCACTCTACACACTCCCGACGTAGCTACATCATCCAGCAACTATTCACCCATCATGCCTCTCACCCTCTCTCCCGCCTCCGCGCCCGACGCCGCGCGCATCGCCGACATCCACATGGCCGCCTTCGGCACCAACCCCATGCTCCTCGCGCAGTTCCCCACCCCCGCCATCCGCGCTGCCCTGCGCGCCTCGCTCGAGGACAAGGTGCTCGCCGAGATGCGCGATCCGCAGTGGGCGGTCCTGGTCGCGCGCAACGCGGCGGGGCGCGTTGTCAGCTTTGCGAAGTGGTGTCGTCCAGTGGCGGCGGGGGAGGAGTATGAGGAGACGCCGTGGCGGTGGCCGGAGGGGACGGAGATGGGGGTTTTGAACGGGTGGGCGGATAGGGTGGATGAGGTGTATGCGAAGGTGCTGGGGTCTGCGCCGTGTTATCGTGAGTGTTGACCGCGACTGATGGGGGGTTCTGGCCTAACAGTGGGTTTCTGTGCTAGGGTTGAGCTTCATCGGGACGGATCCAGAGAGTCAGCGGCAGGGAGCGGCGTCGTTGCTGGTGCGATGGGGGGTGGAGTGTAGCAGGCGGGAAAACGTCCCGGCGGCGCTGGAGAGCACGGCGGATGCAGCTCCGTTTTATGAGAAGCTGGGGTTTCGGGCGGAAGGGAAGATTTCAATGCGGCTGGATGGCATGGGCGAGGATGGGAGATCGGTGCTTTACGAGGAAACGTGTTTTGTCTTCAGGCCAGATGGATTGATGGCATCAGGTTGATACGAGTATAGATAGCTATAACTAGATCGACACTGGTGTCTAGCACCAGGCATATTTCTCTTTGCTAACCCAGTCCAGGGCCTCATCCCGCCCGCTGCCCTCCCCATACCACCTGAGGCAGCAAACACCGTCCACATCTCGGGTCATTTTCTCATGCTGAATCCCCGTCTGCTTGACCAACTGCTCAACCCGAGGTGAAGGGTCCCACAGCTTGATGTGGTGTAATCTCCAGCGCGCGGCCTCAGTCTGCGCTGCTTGGAGAACAGCCTTCAACTCCTCGACCGGTGCGCCCTGCTTGTTCTCGATGACCAGCCTCAAGATATATAACGTGTTGGGCGAGGGTTCATCGCCTGGGGATCGGCAGTACCGATGCATCCAGATGGCCCACACTCGACTGCCTGGTTGTCCCGCAATGGCTCCCTTGACTGCTGGTTTCTTCCCGACCAATCTTTCGCAGTCAAACTCCTCTTTCCGATGGTGCCAAAGCATATGCTCATGATCAGGAAGTATCATGAACCGTGCCTTTCCGTTTTCAGCTGGAACAGCCATCGCTCGTCGGATCATTGCCTCGTCCTCTGAACAAAGCCGGCCTACCTGGTCGGCTAGAATATCAGAAGCACCAGGATTCTCGACTACCATAGGGCTGAATTGGATCTCGACACTCCGCGCCGGATTCCACCCCAGGGCAGCATAAAACGCCCCTCCAATACCCGAGAACAGCACGCTGCCCACGACCTTTTTGTGATCTTCGACTTGCCAGGTGGGTAGAATCTGAGCTACTTCTCTCAGCAATCGCGAGGCGTAACCTCTGTTCCGGTACTGCGGGTTGCAGAAGACGCTGGCAATCCCGTGGGTGATGGTCTCGGTGACATTCCCGGCCGCATCGCTGAGCAACGAACGTTTCCGGATTGATTCACACGACGCCAGCACGGGCCGGTGGTCTGGAGGCAGCGTCCTGTCCACGAGGATCCATTGCGTCATGCCCCCGTTTGCCGCGAGGGGGACGGTGGTGAGATGGGCGCATTCCTCTAGGAACTGCGAATCGGTGAGCGCATCTTTCCAGAGGGGTGCGGCAAGCGTCCAGATTAGATTGTTCTCATGGTCGGTGGGATGGCTGAGGTGAAGGGCCGGTGATTTTGAATCTGGCAGTGCAAGGTCGTCGGGGGTGCTTTGGTCTGTCAGTTTAGAACAGTCCGGGTTGCCAGTCCCCTGGGATGAAGCTGGAGATGATGCGATGTGCAGCTTTGCGTTCTCAGCCATTTCTCAGCCCGTCTCTGCCTCGAGTCGATATATTCAGCATCATTGATTCAAGACGAGAGCAGATCATCGCGAGACAGGCCCTCTCTTGGCGCTTAGCTAAGGTTGATAGAGAAGAAGAGAAGAGAAGAAATGGAAGAGGATTGACCATGGAGGATTATATGGGTTTGTATATATTGGAATCTTCTGTCCATGGCCATGAATGCCATCTGAATCCATTCTCCGCCGTAATATCAATCAATCGCACCGTCGTGTTGATTTCTTTTCTTCTTCAGCTGGTTCTGGGCGCCCAGCACAGGGCTGAACTCAATGCATCGCCTTCGTCGCCGTCACCATCCAGATTGCAGCTCGAACACGATGCAAGTGTTACACCAACTGACTGGCCGCAGGGATGCACACTGACCACAGCCTTCTCGCACCTCCACGCTCTGTCTCTCGCGATGAAGACGTTCCTCCAGGAAGCAGACCGTAAGGCTGACGGCCGCTAGCATCAGCTCTCCAGCCCTGGCCCTGACTAACAAACTAGTTTGCGGATTTCGCCCGTTTTTCGGCTCTCTTCGTACGGACGTATTCGAGGTCCCTCCATCACCCGGCGTGCATTGGCTTCGAACTCTGAGCCAACGGCCCCCCATTCTCATTCGACGGACGACTCGCAGATCGAGAAACGGGCTTGAGCGTGAAGCGATGGATGAGGGTCTCTGGCGATGATTGGAGATGCGGTCGAATAGCGTTGGTTCATTTCGGCATGTCCTAGTCTGGATCTTTCGTCCGTTGGGAGAAACAAGCGAAGCGGATTGTCTTTGGCGATGATTCCGGGCTGAGGTTCAGGCAAGGCTTAGGATGCATCCCAACTGTCGCCGGCTATATAATGAAGCACCGCCAGCTCGTTCTTCTGGGAGCTTGGTCTACAAATCTACATCACCTCATCACCCTATACAAGCTCCCTCATTCTTGTGAACTAGATAGCTCTACACTGCTATTGTTTCCCTGTAACAAATCATTATGAGCACTGAGACCGGCGGCCGCCGTCTGGTGCTCTGCTTCGATGGAACCGGCAATCGGTACAAGGGCAACGAGTCCGACACCAACGTCGTCAAGATCTATGAGATGCTAGACCGTCATGACAAGAAGCAATACCACTACTACCAGCGTGAGTGCCCCGAGCTCCTCATTGCTCCTTCGCGGTCTCGCTGACTCTCTACGCGCCAGCTGGCATCGGGACGTTCAGCACAGGGACCAGCGGCTCCGGCTTGACCTGGTTTGGACGAATGCGCGCAAGCACAAGCCAGCTCGTCGACCTGGCCATTGGCAAAACGTTTGAATACCATGTATCCTGCGGCTACAAGTTCTTGATGAAGTACTATGAACCCGGCGACGACATCTACATTTTCGGCTTCTCCCGCGGCGCCTACACCGCACGGTTCCTGGCCGAGATGATCGAGAGGGCTGGTCTGCTCTCCCAGGGAAACGAGGAGATGGTGCGGTTCGTGTTCGCGTCCTTTAGCGAGGTGCAGAACGCGAGGGGGAAGAAGGTGAAGACGCCGCTGGAGCTGGAGCATGAGGAGTACCTGCAAAAGTTCAAGCGGACCTTCTGCCGCCCGGATGTGCGCGTCCATTTTCTCGGTCTGTTTGACTGCGTGAACAGCGTTGCGCAGTTTGAGATTCCGTTCAGGCGGCAATCCTATCGATATATAGCACAGGTGAGTAAGCGCTCCAGCAGGAATAATGAGCCGCCTTGAATTAACCCGGCATTACCCTCCTAGTCTCCGGCCAAACACATTCGCCATGCCGTCTCTATCCACGAGCGTCGCCTCAAATTCAAACCAGCGCTGTTCGCGTACGACGAACAGTCACTGCATGCCGATATCAAAGAGGTCTGGTTTGCCGGGAACCACTGCGACGTCGGTGGAGGATTCCGATACGAAGGCAACTCGAAGCATCTCCTATCCGACGTCTCGCTCGCGTGGATGGTGGACGAAGTCAACAAGCTGGAGGACGCACCGGCGGGCAAGCTGGCCTTCCAGCAGAGCATCCTCGAAGGGCTGGGACATGTGAGCACCGGCCACAAAATGGCGGCCCGCCCGGGCGACTTTTGGACCCCGCCGCCGGATGCACCGACCCTTGATGCGCCCATCTTCGATGCTCCCCAGCACCATGACTTTTTTGTCTTTGAACCGCGGCGCAACCTGGGGTAGAACATTTCCTTTGGTGGGATCATAGGCAAAGTTTCTCCCCCAGACAAAACCACCAGAGCCAAAAAGCCAATGAAAGCTAATTTCTGGGTTCTAGAAATCCTCCCATTCTTCACCCGTCTCGAGCTCGAACACGGTGAATGGAACCCGCGCTACTGGCCCCCCAACTTTGGAGCTGCACGGGACATCCCTCGCGACGCGGCGATCCATCCGTCGGTGGAGAGGATGTTCAAAGCGGGCTTGCTGCAGGAGATGCCCAGGCTCGGCGGGGACGATGCGCCGCTGCTCAAGGATCCTCTGGTTGTGTTTCGCGTTTTGGCGCCGTGGAAGTGGCAGTTTAAGAAATCCGGTGGTGGTGCGTAAAGGAGATTGTTGGGAGAATATGGATTATTTTTATGAGATTATAAGGGAAAAACAGCGGGTTAGGGAGTTTGGTTGGGATGGTATCTGTTTTGCTTGCGTTTAGCGTTTACGTTTATGGATACTGTTTATACCCCTGAAGCATAGTACAAATTGATATATATATATTACCCCCTAAACCATAAAGACAAGTTTCAATATTGACCTTCCAGAGTAAAGGTTCCCGTCTTGGTTATCAAGTATTCGTTAACAGCAACGTCTTTGCCGCTCTCCTTGCCATAGCCGGATTCCTTGATCCCACCGAACGGCGATTCAGCAGCAGATGAATTGCCTAGTCAAATTAGCCGGGCGTCCATGACACAGAGAAAGGAAAAACATACCGGTGTTCATCCCAATCATGCCCGCCTCCAGATTCTCCAACATCCTCCACATGCGATCCACATCCTTTGTAAACGCATAGCTCGCCAGGCCCATACTCGTATCATTCGCCCACCGCACCGCCTCCTCCTCCGTCTCAAACCTGTACACCGCCGCAACCGGCGCAAACGTCTCCTCGCGCGAGATCAGCATCTCCGGCGTCATACCCGTGATGATCGTGGGCTCGAAAAAGTATCCCCCGCCGCAATCCGTCTTGGGCTTGCCCCCCAGTATCACCTTCCCGCCCCGGCTGCGCGCATCTTCGACCTGGCTGGCTGCCTTGTCCAGGCTGCGGGGCGTGGTGACGGGGCCCATGGTGGTTCCCTCGTCGGCGCCGTGCCCGACGACGAGGGCGGCGGTGCGCTCTTTGAGCAGCTGCACGAACCGGTCGTGGACGCCGGACTGGACGTAGATTCTGTTTGCGGTGATGCAAGCCTGGCCGGCGTGGCGCCACTTGAGGGCCATCAGCTGGCCGAGGGCCTGGTCGAGGTTGGCGTCGTCAAAGACGATGAACGGGCAGTTGCCGCCGAGCTCGAGGGTGAGTTTCTTCAGGCCATGTGCGCAGTGGGAGGCGATGAGCTTGCCGACGCGAGTGGAGCCGGTGAAGGTGACTTTTTTGACGAGCGGGTGCTTGCAGAGGGCTTCGCTCAGGGACGGCGTGTTGTCCAGGTCGGTGGTGAGGACGTTGAAGACGCCGGCGGGATAGCCGGCTTTGTGCGCCAGATGGGCCAGGACGAGGGTTGTGATGGGTGTTTCGGGGCTCGGCTTGACGACCATGGTGCAGCCGGCGGCGAAGGCGGCGCCGGCTTTGCGCAGCACCATGGCAATGGGGAAGTTCCAGGGGACCAGTGCGGCGGCGACGCCGATCGGCTGCTTGATGGTGAACACACGGCGGTTGGGAGCCGCTGGCGTCGCGATCCCGCCATGGATCCGCTCCGCTTCACCCGCAAACCACCAGGTGAAACCCAGCGCGTAGTCGATTTCCCCCAGTGACTCTGCGATGGGCTTGCCGGTCTCGTGCGTGAGTATCTTGGCCAGATCCGAGCGAGCTTCGCGGATCAGCCCGTCCCATTTCAGCAGCAGCATCGCTCTTTGGCGGGGGTTCATCTTCTTGTATTCCTCAAAAGCGGCATGGGCCGCCTCGACTGCACGGGCGACATCTTTCGCACTGTTCGCTGGGCAGCTGGCCCATGGTCTGGCGGTTCCGGGGTCTAACGGTGATTGCGCTCAGCATTGGAGGTCTCTTCTCACGGACAAAATCTAGATACACACCTACGACTTCGAATCGGCTGCCATCTGAAGCAGTGACCCATTCGTTGTTCACAAAGGAATCGAAGTGAAGCAGACTGGGATCGTCAAGCTGTGCAGGATCCCACGATTAGCCGTGGAAGAGTAGTTGAAGTGACCGTTTGAACGTACCTGAAAAGGGAGCTCGTACTGTTTCGCCATCGCGACAAGAGTGAGAGGAGTCTTGACTGTGGCAGCGTTGCGCAGGGAATGCCGACTGCAGCCAGCATTATGAACTCGGCCTACAGATAAACCAGTGCGGGGGACGAAGAGAGCAGCCGAGATCGGCTCTGGGTCAAGGCATCACAGGAACAGCTTTGGATCTCGCAGAATCGCCTCTTTGCGGATTCCATTCGCTCGCCGCACTCCACCTGGATGGAGAACACCCAGGAGGGCTGTCCACAGCACGGATTTCGTCTACCACGGAGCTCCCATCAGACTTTGATTGGTCTGTGCAAGCCGAAATGTCATACAGATGGGCCGATGGTGATATCAGTCGCCGTATGTTGTGTTGAACTGTTGATATGGATTCATGACTTTGGGTGAAATGGAATCTACCATGTCCCTCTCTCCTTGAAAATCATTCTGGGGAAAGCAAAGAATGACACCGTATAGAATCAGACTGAGTAATGAAACTGGGGATATCTGTCGAGGACATCAGTCTTGGATGTTCGAATTGCTGGATCTTCAGATAGAAATCGACAGCAGAAGACAAAAGTCAGACTGTTCGAGCCATGTCAAGAGCTTGGAGCTGAGCTGGTTGGCATTGGGAGGCAGATGGGAATTAATAGACATTAATTAGTATTGTAGATTCTATCCTCCATGAATTCCGTCTCCGCACGACTTCACTTTTCTCCTGATGAGATGAAACTGGATGTTGGGGCAAAAGGCAACAAGGATGCGCTCGGCAACAAAGAGTTCAGCCCTGAATCCACCCAGAGACAATTAGCCACTCATGTTTTGCAGCGCTGGAGCAGCTCCACGCCGGAGTCCTCGGGGGTGTTCTAGATGGACCTGCTGCCGAGGCGCGGGCGATGTGGTACCATTTCACCCGTTTGGGGCAAGATATCCAGGGCTGGAGCATCCAGTGAGGAGTTACGCAAAACAGGGGATCCTTTGATTTCGCGATGATGTATAGAGTACAGAGTAACAGAGGGTGATTACGATCAAGGACAGTCAATCGATCGGACGACTACAAGGAAGAGTGTCCAAGTTCGGGCTGGAGTGGCAGGCAAATTGGCCGTCAACTAAAGAATCACTCCAGACACGACAGAGCTACAGTCAAGCTCAACTGATTAATATTAGCATAGAGATCCAAACTCTCCCCAATGCATCAAGCGAGCAGCGGGAACGAGAATCTGCGGGGAAAGCAAGCATCCATGGGAATCCCGGGCACAGCTAGCTGATCAAGCTCGAGACCAGCCGGGCGGGAGAGGGGATTTGGAGATGAGGAGGCTGAGGGGAGTCGAGGGAAGATGAAGACGAAGATGAAGATGCGGAGAAGCTGATGGGTTGAGTCACCAACTAGAGGGCTCGGGAGTTAGAAAGGCATATAAGAACCACGCCGGCCGGAGGCAGAATGTATCGGATACCTATCGTCTACACGCTGAGACGGATGGATCCCGCCTGGCAGGATTCTATGGTCAACGATATCAAATGCCTCCCGGCCGGCAGGGTTTTGATTGAATAGATAAAAGATAGGAGCCGGCTGATAGATAACTGCTTGGATTATGCTTGGGTTTACTGGACGGCATCAGGAGAATGATAACTAATCGACTCTGCGTTCAGATTCATCTGCAATCCAACGCCAGGTCCATAACAGGCACATATTAACCACGTCCAAGGAACGATGTAGCTGCAAGGTATCGAGTACACGTCTGTCTCGCCCAGCATCCCGAGAAACGGTCATTCCCATTGCAGTAAAGTTTCCCCGTAGCTTCTTGATGGCAAAAGTCTCGAGTCTGCGATGGTCATCGTGTTCATCGAGAGAGATATCACTCAATGGGACTTGCAGCTTTTCAAATTGCACCTGGACAAAGCATTGGAAGGCATATCACGATCTGCTGCGCGCTGATTTCCTATAACATTGTACAGCGACTGAGACTGTTCAGAAGCTGAGAGAAAAGGAGCGCGAATGCGATCTGCTCCATATCTTCCACACTCCACGCGGATCATTGGACGACGCTAACCAAGTGGCTTATGCCAACCTTACAGACGGTATCAGGCTCCCGAGCTTGTTTGATGGACGTGACATGCGAGCTGGGCTGGTTAGCGCTGCTCGCGTCCGTTTATCATGTTTGGGCCATGATAACGAGACGGCAGCCACACGAACTAAACAGGTCTCGTCGAACTGGGCATGTCCCTACTAATATTGCCTGTCGATAGCTCGTATGGATTTGTGATGTGCCAATGCGAGAGGGGCAAGGGCGGGCAACCCTGGAGCAAGGGATATATACATATATATCTCCGGCAGAGCAGGATGTATATCTCGATATACGTGCTCCCTGTTTGTAATAGTGTCAGTTCAATTGGAAACAAAACCGATCATCATACCCATTTATCTTCCTCTACTGTATTTGCATCTGCAGGCCAGAATCATCCCTTGTGCTTTTGCTTCCTTTTCTTTCTATCAGCGTCGCCCCTTGATGGTTGATACCCCGACCTGAGCCATCAGGAGCAAAGGACGGACCAAGCGACCATGTCCATCTTCGAAGACAAGTCCAAGGACGTGATCGGCTCCGACACCAATGTCAGCAGCGAGCTGGGCGGCGAGGCAAAGGACACCGATTACACCCTCGAGGCCCTGGGCTACGTCCCCGAGCTGCGGCGGAATCGCTCCCTGGCCACGCTGCTCTTCCAGTCTCTCGCAATCGCTGCGATCCCGTACGGCGAGGGCGGGCCCCTGATCAGCTCCATATACGGCGGCGGGCCGCGAGCCATCTTCATCGGCTGGCTGGCCATCCTCGTGCTGGACGAGTGCATCGCGCTCTCGCTGAGCGAGCTGGCCTCGCGATACCCAACGTCCGCCGGGCCGTACTACTGGTCCTTCCAGATCGCCAAAAAGCACAAGGTGGTCCTCTCGTTTGTGACGGGCTGGGTGTGGCTGGTCGGCAACTGGACCATCACGCTCTCCGTCAACTTTGGCTTCGCCTCGCTGATCGCGGCGACCGTGTCGCTGTACCATCCCGCCTGGGAGGCCACGAGCTGGCAGCTGCTGCTCATCTTCTACGCCATCTGCCTGCTCGCGTTTGTCATCGTGGCCTTTGGCAACCGCTTCCTGCCCAAGGTCGACATCGTCTGCGCCGCCTGGACGGCCATCACCATCCTCGTCATCCTCATCGCGCTCTCCGTCAAGGCCGGCGCCGGCCGGCACAGCATCTCCTACGCCCTGGCCCACTATGACACCTCCTTCTCCGGCTGGGGCGGCTTCACCTTCTTCATCGGCCTCCTCCCCGCCGCCTACTGCTTCTCCGCCATCGGCATGATCGCCTCCATGGCCGAGGAGGTGCCCAACCCGGCCATCACCGTCCCGCGCGCCATCAGCCTGTGCGTCCCCGTCGGCGGCGTCGCCGGCCTGTTCTTCATTCTCCCCATCTGCTTCACCCTCCCGCCGCTCGAGGACATCCTCGCCGCCCCCGGCGGCCAGGCGCTCCCCTACATCTTCGGCGTCGTCATGGACTCCCCCGGCGGCGCCCTGGGCCTCATGGTCCTCGTCCTCGCCGTCGTCCTCTTCTGCTCCATCAGCATCACCACCGCCGCCTCCCGCACCACCTGGGCCTTTGCGCGCGACGACGCCATCCCCCTCGCCGGCCTCTGGTCGCGCGTCAACAAGAAACTCGGCAATCCCGTCTACGCCCTCGGCCTCGTCACTTTTGTCCAGATGCTCCTGGGCCTCATCAACATCGGGAGCACCAGCGCCTTCACCGCCTTCGTGTCCGTCGGCGTCATGGCCCTGGCCGTGAGCTATGCCATGCCCATCGGCATCAGCCTGTTCTACGGGCGCCGCGAGGTCATGAAGGCGCGTTGGAACTGTGGGCCTGTCATCGGACCGGCCGTCAATGTCATTGCGCTGCTGTGGATTGCGTTCGAGGTCGTGCTGTTCAGCATGCCGGCGGCGTTGCCCGTGACGGCGGCGTCGATGACGTACGCGAGCGTGGTGTTTGTGGGATTCCTGCTGATATCAGTGGTGTGGTATTTTGTATATGCGAGGAAATGTAGGTTGAATGGCATTCTTCTTGTATGTTTTTTTTGCAATGACTGACTTTCTTTGCAGCTTTCAAGGGCCCACCGGAATCCGACGGGATCTGAGCCGGCAATCCCGATTCTCCCCGATGCGCCTCCAATTCTTCCGAAATATTTGTCCCTTTTGGCGACGAGAAGGATTTCCAAAATACAGTAAATAATATATATGCTTTCTCCTGATGTTTGTGTATACTCTCGACCTGGTTTAGAACCACATGAAATACTCTTAATACAAGTTCCTGGAATATGAACCAAACTAGACAGGCCACTTTGAAGCCTCTACGAAAGTTGTCCTGATCAATTGTTCAACTAGTATAGCGTACGCCTTTGAATTGCTTGTAGAAAACCTGCAGGTACATACATAGTAAGAAAAGAGTCCATGCGTGTGGAAGGCAGCCCGTAGCCGAGGGGTATCATGCAATCATTAAACGAGGAACCGGGTATCAAAGAAAAAAATTATAGCAGCAAAAAGTGTAACAGGATAAACAATGCTGTGGCCTAGCGATACTGAATCAACGCTGCACATCCTGGCATCCGCGATCAGATCTAAACCTCGTGCGGGGAGCCGGAAAATGAGGAGAAACCCCGTTTTGCTCAGTCGAAAGGATACTAAATGCGGAGAAGATTGAATCGAAGATGAGGGGGTCCATTAGTGTGTAATCGGTGGTAGATTCCCATCAATGACTCTGGGTGACTAGTCTCCTCTTGCCATCAATTCTCTTCTTCACAAAGCCGTGATCTTCTTCTCTCCTCCTTCGAGCCGAATCCCGCTCGCGCGACGACCCTTCCACCTCGATAGCACAAAATCCGAGAGCGCAGTCAGAGTTTCCACCATAACGACCGAGAGAATGAAGAGACCAAGCATAAAGGCAAGAATCACACCCCACATCCGGATAGGGTGGCCTGAAATCCACACGAGCATAGAATCGTACGCTGATTGCTCATCCGAGTCGAAATAATCTTCCGAGTCCTCCGGAAACGTGGCGCAGTTTTCGGACGGTGAGCACGGCTGGTGAGGCGTCGACTGCCCGTTTAATCTCGAAAACAGAGTCATATAGCGCGATGTGACGATTCTCATCCGGCTATCTCGTGGCTCGCTTTTCCCCGGCTGAATTTCGCCTTTTGAGATGGAGTTCTTATCGACAAAGCGTGTTTCCGGAGCCCAATCTGAACCTTTGACCATGTCGGGGGTCAGTGTGGAAAACATATATGGCCATCGATCGCCTGGCCGCGACTTCGCTGCCCGTGTTAACACTGTGGGGGTTTTGCTGACGACGTTTCTATTCTCGAGCTGGCTCCCAGCTAGCAGCGTCGACCGGCTCCGGGAAACGTGGGCCGGAGCTTCGTCCTCATGCTGATTCCACCGAGTAGCAAGTGGTGAAGCAGCCTTTTGGGGTAAAGGCGCTGCAAGAAGGGTTGGGAGCAAGAGAATTAGGGAGCAATACAGCCGGACAAGTTTCATCATGGCGCGGTGTTCAGGCGCTGGGGTCTGTGTATAGATGCTTCTTTGGTTGTCGCCCTGTTTAAAATGACAGTAAAGAAGAGAGCTGATGGGCAACGCGTTCCTTTTCGTTGAATTTCTCGGGCGGTCTATCCTCAACGAGCGCAGAGACCGGTGAAGTCCATCGTGAGGAGGGTTTGATATCTGGGAAAGCAGAGGAAGAGCTCCTCGAACGAAGAGATGGCCTCCAGCGATCCATCAGTTGGATTGCTGTTGGTTTTATATTAATATTCGTAAGATGCTGCCGTGCCAAATGCTACTCGGGCTAGTCCAAGCGCCATCTGGAGTGGCCACTCACAGGGACCTGACTGGACCCATGTGCATGAAACAGCGCCCTTGACTGGAACGACTGCCGGCCTTAGATAATCAGGCGGCTCCCAACTTAACGGGGGCCGCGCCATTCCCTCAGCAGCTCGGCGTTGGCAACGTGGAGGACCCGCGGTGCTGATTGGCTGCCAGGATCCCGGTCGGCTGCAAGTTTTAGCGGCTCCGAGACGGGCACGTGATATCTGGCACGGCGACGGAAGAATAATTTACCGGCGCTGATTTTCGACCGAGGTTGCGGATGTCTATCAGAGTCGATTTCTAGGAAGCCGTGATAGAGATACATGGCCCCCTGCGTCCAGCACTGCAACTTCAGTCAGCCTGTCACTTGTAGTCAACGTGATGGGGTACAAAAAGCCAATTGGCCATGGCCCTGGCATTTTGAGCAAGGAGTGCAGTTTTTGTGCGAGATGTTTTGCAATGCGCAAATTTATGGGTGTTGTAATGAGATTGCTGGCGTTGAATAATAGTACTCTGTAGAAGTGGCATGATTTGGAATCAACTCATCAGAGGCCACCCAGTCAGGGCCAGGCTAAATCAAACCTGCATTGTGAAAAGAGTGATAAACATTCTTTCAGCGCCATTCTCCTTGATATGCGAACAGCCCTATGCCAGGAAGAAATGGGATCCTCGGAGTTGATCATGTTGATCTGACGCTTGACTCGATCAAGAGCGGGCAGCCGGAAGAAACCAAGCTTCAACCAGTTCCACCCAGTTCATTTCTCCGGGCGGAGTTCCCTCCACAATGTCCTGTGCTGAGAACCTGGTCAATAGAATAATATTTAGGCGGGACCCAACATTGTTTACATAACATGCTCGGCGATTTATGAATGAGGGAAGGAGGGGCTTGTCGCATCAAGAGCGGTCCTTCCGAACGGAGAGTTGCATCCCTCACATGGAGTCACCGCGCTAGTCCAGGAGTGGAAAAGCGGGAGCGGCTTCCAGCCAATCACAGCCCATGGGTTTCGGCTAGACTAGGCTTGGCTATAGCTTGGCGCCGGGTCTGCTTGCTTGCCCGCTTCAAAGTCGAACCTGCATCGCATCGCTAAGGAAATCTCTGCTCGCCTGGACCACACGCCCTCATACCCTCATTTCCCCAAGCGTTGGCTTGGGGCAGAGGCGTGAATGTGACTGGAGGCCTGATTGCACCGGCATGGGTGTGCCTGCCAGGTACCAACTGTCCCATTTTTGGAGCCGCATTATGGACCTCTCATTTGCCTCCAAGGGTTGCCTGGCTCGCTCCCCACAACTCGCATGTCTTGAACGGTTCCTGACTGGTTTGTGCGCAAGTAGTCGCGGAACCAGAGCCCATGGTTTCATCTGTTTTGGTGGCGTCTTCGGAACTCGTCCTCTCGCCATCCGGGTGAGGGAGCACTCCAGAACACCAACACTCATGGGAGCCTCACAGACAGTGATATTCGCCAGTTGATTGTGAAGCAGCAGGAATCAAGAAAGGAGCACATTCTGCCCTTTATCGCGACGTGCAAGACTGACCTCATGATGAGGCGCTTCATCAGAACGGAGAATGGGATATATCTCGGCATTAAAATGCACCATGAGCATGGATACGAAATTACTACTTTTAGCGAGCGCTAGGTTGCCATACTACTGACTCGCAACCCTCCTCCGTCGGCGTTTCCCCTGAGTTATGTCCGTTGTTGGCTCGTCCGGGTCCCAGAGAAGCGGAACCCTGGGTGATGGCCTCATTTAGCGCTGAATGATAATGTCCTTCCTCTCTTCATGTCGAGATTTTTCCCATCCTTTGGCTTCAATCCTGCATTGCGGCAGTTCCTACTCTTTGCAAACCTCTGGTTTGCGTCCTTTCTTTGACCGAACACCAGGCCTCACACTCTTTTTGGCCTGTCGACCGTCTTTGGTCGTAGTCAACTATTGCTCTATTCCCGTTGCCGCTCTTTCCAATGGGTTTAACTAATATACTCGCAGCGTTTATCGCTGTGTCCTCTCTTTTCGTCCAGTCACTCGCTTTCAACCCTAATTCCAGAACCAACTTGGTTGTCTACTGGGTATGAGCTAGCCTCTTCACTTTCCTTCGCCTGGTTGATACTGATCCTCTTGACTAGGGCCAAGGATATGCCCAGGAGCGTCTCAGTTATTTCTGCCAAAAGACAAATTTTGATATCATTGTCTTAGGTTTTATCAATGTCTTTCCGGACCAGGGCCCTGGTGGATGGCCAGGCAGTAATTTTGGGAATCAATGCGCCGATGAAAACTACTACACGCCGGATGGGACGAAAACGGAGCTCCTGAGCGGCTGTAGACAGATCGTCGAGGACATTCCAATTTGCAAAGCACTTGGAAAAACCATCTTGCTCTCTCTGGGCGGGGAAGCTCGGGTCCCAGGTGCCTATAAGATCAAGAATGCTAGATCAGCGCTTGATTTTGCGGACTGGCTTTGGCATGCATTTGGCCCACGAAAGCTTGACTGGACCGGTCCTCGCCCATTTGGGGATAACGTCGTGGATGGGTTTGACTTTGACATTGAAACGGGCGGCAGTTTCGGTTTGTTTCTCACCTGCTCCCTGTCAGTTGATTTCGCCGACTCACAAACTATCAGGCTACTCGATTATGGTCAAACGCCTTCGACAGCGCTTTCTTGAGGATCCGCTCAACAGATATTACATCTCCGCTGCCCCTCAGTGCATCCTGCCAGACGCGCAGCTCTCAGACGCCATCGCCAACTCGGCGTTTGATTTTGTCTTTGTCCAGTTCTACAACAATCCGTCATGCTCGGTTAAAAAATGGCTGGCCGACCCCAAATCGGTAACTTACACTGTGGCCGACTGGGCCAAATCCATCCTCCGGAGTGGGAATCCATCGGCTAAGCTTTTCATTGGTCTCCCTGGATCGGAGGATTCGGCCAAGGGCTATTATATCCCGCCTGTTGGTGCTTACAAGCTCATCAACACATTCATGAAGCAGTATCCCAATACAATCGGAGGAGTGATGATATGGGAAGCCACAACATCAGAGAACAATCAGATCAGTGGTAAATCTTACGCAGACATTATGAAGGAATTATTGCTGGTCTGCGATCCAAGCCCGCCAACCAGCACTATTACAACCACGACTGCAACAACTTCCTCGATGACCACTTCATCGATAAGCACGACTTCAGCAACATCCTCAGAGGTGACCACATCGTCTACCATGTCGACAACGAAGGGCAGCTCTACTATCACTACGGAAACCACGTCGTCTACGGAATCAAAGACGCAAGATACCACGACTACGGTGACTTCTGCTTCCAGCTCGGCAACTCAAAGCACCAAGACCACCGAGACCACGACTACTCAGACCTCTGAATCTAAGACCGACTCGACTGAATCTGCTTCCACTGGAACTGTCTCCACCGGATCAGCTTCAGCGACTATTCCTACTGGGTCTGTTTCAACCGGAACTACTTCTGCCACTTTGCCCAGCGAGACTTTGTCCAACACAGTCTCTGACTCTGCCACTGTTCCAACCGGGTCTGTCTCAACAGACACTACTTCGAATGGATCAGCGACTCAGACTCTGTCCAACACTGCTTCTAACTCTGCTACGGCTTCAATTGAAACTTTGCCCACTCAGTCTCAATCCGCTTCGGCTTCTGATTCTTCAACGATAGTGCCAACCGTGCCTTCTGACTCTGCTACCGTACCAACGGGATCTGCTTCAACGGACACCACTTCAAGTGAAATGCCTACTCAGACTCTGACCAACACTCCTTCTGGTTCTGCCACAGTTTCAACTGACACTGCCACAAATAGCGTACCTAGCCAGACTCTGTCCAATACGCCGTCCACCACTGTCCCAACTGGATCTGCATCAACTGACACTACCACGAACGGCTTACCGAGTCAGACTTTGTCCAATACACCCTCTGACTCTGCCACTGTCCCAACTGGATCTGCATCAACTGACACCACATCAAACGGCGTACCTAGCCAGACTCTGTCCAATACACCCTCTAGCTCCGTCACTGTTCCAACCGGGTCTGCATCAACGGATACCACCTCGAACAATTTGCCCAGTCAGACTCTGTCCAATACGCCCTCCGCTACTGTCCCAACCGGGTCTGCATCAACCGACACTGCCACGAACGGCTTACCGACTCAGACTTTGTCCAACTCAGAATCCTCTGGATCGTTGACGGTGCCGACGGGAATGCCTTCTGGATCCACAACAGGCCCAAGTGAATCTGTGCCTACCGGCACTGAGCCTACGGAATCCTTGCCTTCCAATTCGGCGACCGTTCCAACCGGATCTGCTTCTACTGATACATTGTCGAATACCCGCACCCCATCCGCTCCACCATCCGGTTCATCTACGGTTATGACGGGAACGCCTTCTGATTCCGCGACAGCATCACCACCAGGGCCTACGGTCGAACCCTCTCAAAGCACTGGCATCACAAACACTGGCACCCAACCAACCCAGTCTGGCAGCATCCCTACCGACTCTTCTACCGAAGTGGGCAACCCAAGCACTCTCACCACCGCTCCCAACCCGACAATCACAACTGGGCCATCGTCCTCGAAAACTGAAGACCGCACGACAGTGACCACCGTGATCACCACCAGCTACGTCACCATCTGCCCAACCGGCTTCACCACTGTCACCATCACATACACCACAACCTACTGCCCCGAGACCGTCTCGCCGGCACCCACCCAAGGACCGTCCCCCGGATCTCCCGCCCCTCCACCAGAAGACGGCTGGACAACAATTGTCACCGTCTGCCCACAGTGCGCGCCGACACCCACCACCGTCACGCTCACTGTGCCCACGAGATCCGCCTTCCTTCCTGCGCCGACCGAGGCGCTCCCCGTCGTCACCGTGCTCCCGGTGCCAGAGCCGCCGATCAAGAACGTACAGCCTGGCGATGACGAGGAGGGAGAAGCACCGGGTGTCACGGCGACCCCGACAACGGTTACGAAGACATTGGCGTATAATAATCCGGGACAGCCTAGTGGTCCTGCGCCGGTGGAGTCTGGTGTGGAAGCGCAGCCTACAGGTGGCAGTGGCGGTCCTGTGGAGTTTGAAGGTGGTGCGATGAGTGTGAGAGGTTTTGACAAGATGCTGGTGACGATTGGGGTAGCAGTGTTGGGTTTGTATTTGGGGCTTTGATTGATTGATTTTGATTATTTTGTGGGGGAAGTTGGGGGGGTAATGGGTTAATGTTGACATGTCTGTAGTTTATATCTACATTTTTTGTTGTATATAATAGACATTGTATATTCTTTGGTGGAATTATCTTTCTGTCTTTTTAATGATTTCTCTATGCGATTTCTACTATTTCCCACTGTACTTTTTAAGGATGGACTCTAGAAGGTCGCGCGAAGAGATGTTACATAGATTAACCCAAGTCCACTATTAGATCCCTTGAGGATTACACAATGTTCCTCCCAATAGTAGTAGCCCTTTTTTGGTCTATTTTTGTAGAACAAACAACGCCATATACGAATGTGTGAGTAAAAACGAGTGACATTGATTCGATTATGCATGTGAGTAAAGGAGTAGAAAATCAGCCAATCAACTTGTACGCCACTTGGTATAATTGCACCTCCTTTCCTTTACATCCAGCACCCCATACCCAACGGTAAAATCACAAGGAGCCCCCAAACAAAATCTATAAGCTTTTCAAAGGAGATAAGTGGAAACGGGTTTCCAATCGAAAAAAAAAAAAAACGAGCCAGCCAAGAAGTAGAAGTGAAGGCTGTCGGAACAAACGGGGCGTCGTTCGATGTTGATGTGGTGACGGACTGATTTGTCGAGTTCCGAAAGTATAGTATCACTAAACAGTCCTGCTGCCGAGCCGGTATAACGTCAAGAGCCCATTTAATTCACGGAGGTGCTCAAAGCTGGGAAGTGGAAAGTCTTCGAGTTCTCCCCGGTGGGCCGAATCCCAGTGCCGGTGCCGGTGCCAATACCAGTACCGGTTGGTCTGACACCAGTTCCTGTGGGAATTATTCCTGTGCGAGTTGTTGGACCTGGACCGGGAGTGGGAGGAACTTCACTTCGGGTTGGTTGCACAGGAGGCACCGGTGTCCCGGGATGAGTTGGCTGCACAGGAGGCACCGGTGTCCCGGGATGAGTTGGCTGCACAGGAGGCACCGGTGACCCAGGATGAGTTGGCTGCACAGGAGGCACAGGGGGCGCTGGTCGAGTAGGCTCCTCAGGTGGGATACCGCCTCCCGCACCAGGGGGCTGCGGTGGGCCTTCAGAGGGCTTTCCGGGCTGAACAGGGGCACCAGGTGCGGTGCATTGGGGAGGAACAACAGTGACAGTAACGGTTTTGCCTTCCGGAGCTTCTCCGCCCATAGGACGAGCGGCAGCCACAAGGGCGAAAGAAGCAGCAACGAGCACGGAAACTCTCATTTTGATTTGAAACGACGTATAAAGGATATCAGAGAACAATACAAGCCTGGAAGCGATTTTCTGATAGCTTTTCCGCGAAAAACAGAAAGATAGGGAAGCACCTCGAGAAAATGGGCGAACGGCTTTTTGGGCTGGAATTGACGGTTGCTTTTCAAAAGAGGGGAATCCAGACAAGATTCGTTATATATAGGTTGAGCAGTGTTCAAACTTTGAGAGGTTTTCCGCTACCCAAATATGCATCACGTAAGCCCGGTTCTAGGAAGTGGAGGGTTATCTGGCGATCATCGGTGGGCCAATAGCTGCGATGCTGCCCCTGAGTTCTAGAGCGGGACCAGGTGCTAGCTTTGTAACACTGCTAGAAGTACCAGGACAGACTTTCCGGCAGCAGTCGAGGGGGTAATCGAGACCAGGCAGTGAACCGTTCGGTAGCCTTTCCCACTTTGTATGACGTGTAAGCCAGCGTCAACCCCCAACAGTTAAGTTGATGAAACATGGATCAAGTAGCCGGCACAGCAGGTATAAGAGATAAGAGAGACATAAGGAACAACAGGCAACTCAAAAAGTTTCCACTTGGACACGCTTTGCGAGTTCACGCGTGTATCCTTGGAGAATACATATCGTTTGATATGCAACATAGATAGAACATGCAATGCCTCGAAACATTGCAAGCCTTGCTTCCAGTAGCAACTGCTGGGAATTCCGCAATCAACATGGTTGCTCCCATCATCGAGGTCAAGATGATGTCTGGAACCGTTGATGTCAAGAACCACCGTTTGGATGCGTTGGGATGGTTGACGTTGCAAGCAGGCGCTAGGCCCATTGTGGCGAGTTTGCCATGTTTGTCAGCCAGGAACCACGCACCGCTAATCTTCGCTTCTCGCACCCGCGACGGTGAGACTGACGGCGAGCGGGTTGAAACACGCGGTTCATCGACTGCAGGCAGTCGTTTCAATGTGGAGATTTGGTGGACTCACTGGTCATCGATTCCCACAGTCTTGACGCGTCCAGATCTCTCTCTGGTTGATGGGAGGTGGCCGCGGCTGCCAATGGACGCACCTGGTTCGTTGACTCTGCTCCTTGAGAGAGATGCCTTTTTCGCTCTTCGATGAAGTAAAACGTCAGATGTGAAGTTAGTAGCATCTTTGGCTCGACAAATCGATTCTTAGCTTCGTCACTGCCTTGAACCAGTCGCTTCAGATGCCAAAACGATGTGCAGATCTTCCAACATGTCAACATGGTCTAGAACAATCGGGCCTCCATGTTCGAGAACCTGCAATGGGAAAGCAGATTCTTTGTGGGTTTAAATGAAGAAGATCGCAATTCTTGGAGTGCCTTGAAATCCAGAGCACCGATCAACCCTTTTCCAGTTATGTTCGACCGTGCTTCCACAAGCAGATACAAAAAATAAGCCTCAGGGTGCTATGCACTTTCCTACGCCGGCCAGTGATTCAAATTCAACATCTCGCCTGCTAGGCCTTTAATACCACCCAGCTTGCTGACTCTTTAAGGGCTTTCTGTCCCCTGCAAGAGAAACCAACAAGGGTGATAATTGCAGAGGCAACTGTAATCCAAATTTGCCCAAAACAGGGCAGCTCGACTCTGCAGCCATGAAGACTGCAAGTGGTGTAATAATCAGAGTTTTGTTCTGCACTGCAAGAAAGGGCCGAAAGGGAAGTTTAGGGATTTGATACAGCCACATTTTGACAAAGAAGCTTTATGGCGTCACGAACAAGCTTTGGGCTGGCCGCCTTTACCGCGCGTCCTTGACTTCTGCGTTCAGATCAATCCCTGGAGTGATGATACAGAGTTGGAATGGATATCCTCTCAAACGGCGACTGAAGCCTGCCAGATATGAAGCATATCATCCTCACAGATGGAGCATTGATTCGTGGTCTACTTCATCTACGGAAACTGGCAGCCAACGGACGCTAACCGTGATTTTCCACCCTATTTCTGTCTGGCTTCATTTGAGCAAAAGATACATTATATTTGTCTATAAGTATGGCCGTTTTGATTCCCGCAATGATAGCGTACGGAAACCTAAAGATGTGGTCGATCAATCCCACTGCCTTCTTAAAATCGGCTTTGCTTGATCCCACGGACCAGCGACAACGTTCTTATACTTCTGCAACCGAATCAACCACCAACTACAGCCACCCATGGCCAACGCTGTCGAAGGGGCGCCGATGAATATACCTAAGATGGGCCCCTTATAACCACCCTTCAGCGTAACCCCCACTCCCGCTGAGGCGGAGATGACGAGGAACATTGTAAGTATGACATGTCCACGCCAAGAAATTGCGCGAAGATGTCGACGAAATATTGGAAAAAGACCAAATACCTCTATGGAGAAAAGAGTAAGGCTGAACACGTGGGTTGTGGATTTGAGCCGAGAGGCGAGAACGGTGGACGCCATTAAAGCTGCGTTGGTCGAGAGAGAGGCGGGGAATTTAGCAGCTACGGCGCCTGCGCCTGCCGCAGTATTGTTGCTGATATGTTGATTTTCTTCACAGCCGCTGCTGTAGTCAAAGAGAAGATGTTGATTAGCCATGAGCCACAGGACATTGGCCCAGATCGAGTCACTTGTGGTGGATTTTGTGAGAGATTGAAGGATGGGGGAAAGGCCTTGAAGGGCACAGAAAATCAAGAGCGCGGACTTTGCGGTTATCAAGCGGTGCCTCGTGCGTGACGGGAGTTATGGCATGGGAAATCCCGAGACACCAGACTGAGATATCACGTCGGAGAACTTGACAAATCCATTGGAGTTGCTTATGGAAGGGGACCATGGCGAAGCAGGAGATCGTGCTGAGTGCAAGGAAGTCGCTGAGGTGTTGTCGGAAATTGCGCTTGACATGCTGCTTTGCCGGCTTAGTGGGCATCCTATACTAGACAAGCCCAGCGATAGTCCAAGTCCGTGATCAATGGACTTTCTCTTGGAATCTTCGCCCGTGGAAGAGATAGAGCTTGACCCATCGTCCACTGAATCGGAAACAGCAGCATGCGCGAAGCGGACAGCTTCCATTTGAACCTTTCCTTCCCAGTAATTCCAGAGACCCCAGCAGAAAATAGTACATAGAGTCGCCCATGTGACTACCGAGACCGGGCTGACTCTTTCTTGGAAAATCGCGACGAAGCAGCAAAGGAAAATAATGACGGAACAGACGTGTTGTACAATAACGGTAAAATCGGCCACGAGTGGCCAGAAGTCGTAGGGCCGTAATCTGGGATTCCTTTGCAAATGGTCGAGAAAGGTTTCAGTATCTGTGTAATTATCCGGGACTAAATTCATTTACATGTTAGCGTTTGACAACAACAAATAGTCAAGCTCGGCTGCTACACTCGTGCGCTTCGGCTCACTTTGTTTCTTGATGGGAACCAGTAACTTACAAGATTGCTTCACCCATAGCAATTTCTTCCATTGTCGTTTTCTCCGCCGACTCCGCCCACGGTCCCTCCTTAGCTCTCTAACAACTTTCGGCTCTGTTCCAGGTACTGCAGGGGGGGGCCTTAGCGCTGCTACCGCCGCAGGTGTTGCGATAACTCGATTGAGTAAATCAGGGTTGGTGGTCGGGTGGTTATTGGGGACATTGAGCGGCCGCAAGCGCGGCGGGGAGTGAGCAAAGTATGCATCTTCGGGGGCAAGCCGATTCGGGTCTGGCGGAGGGCGTAGAGGCGGACGAGGCTTTAAACCCGCTCGATTTGGATGGGTTTCGACTGGTACGGGTGGAGGGATGGGCGCTGTAGGAGCCCCAGAAGATTGAGGGCGGGAAGTGTTGTTTGGCGTCGGAGGGGGGCTAGCCATCGGAGGCTAGGAGTTGTTATTTACCTGCGCATTGCTGATGAGCTCATGAGACAGACAATCAAAGATGAAGGCCAGCTCTGGAGAGCGTAGCGGACTTTGTGCATTTCTCTGATTACCCAATTGAGCAGTGATACGACCGAACGGCTGATGACGAGTAATTTACCGGTGTAATGAAAATGGTTTATGTAAGCAGTATCACGTGGTGGTCCGCTACTCCCACGTGATAGAGCTCGTCGACCTCACAACCCATCATCAGGTCAACCACCACCATTCTCTTCGGTAGACATCATTTTCGGACGCCATTTGGATAGAAGAACGTGGCACAAGCAAGAAATTGGGAGTCGTGCTGGATTGGGATACACCAGATTCATGGATCGAGCTCGAATCTCTGAATACACGGCCCCGTATCTCCATCTCCCCTGGCAAGCATTGACGTTATGTCTGCTCCCTACAAATACGTGATAATGCTAACTTTGAAGGACAAATTGTATTATTCTGCTAACGATTAGGGCTAGTTTCATAAATATTCCGAGAATGACTCGATGAAGTATTCGTGGACGGGCATAAGTTAATTGCAATCCATGCAGGAGCCTTGGTTAACGTCCTTCATCGCGTTTACCAGTTCAGAAGTGATGCGTCCCGTTCAGACGACAGCGGCATAGGGCTTCTCAGTTTGGCCCTGGGTCAAGGGTTGAGGTGAACGTTCCGCCAAGTGACTCCCAGCCGGTTGCCGATGGTCCCCATCTTCCATTCCACCATTTATGGTACATGCCGTTATTCGTTCCCAAGCCAAAGATGTCAAGGCGACCCCTGCTCCAGGAGACTGCAGCTGGTGCACTGTTGAAGGTACCGCCGAGAGCATCCCAGCCACTCCATCTTTGGCCATTCCAGGATTTGTGGTACATCTGGTTATCAGTGCCAATTCCGAAAATGTCGAGAGTGCCTGCCGTCCGAGACACAACTGCCGGAGGGCTGGTCAGAACACCGCCGAGATTCTCCCATCCAGACGCTGAAGGACCCCATCGAGAGCCATCCCACCACTTGTGATATAACGCATTGTCTGTTCCCAGGCCGAAGATGTCGAGCCGGTTGGCACTCCAGGCCACAGCGACTGGTTGACTGTTGAAGGTTCCGCCGAGAGCTTCCCAGCCAGTCACGGAGGGTCCCCATCGAGAACCGTCCCACCATTTGTGGAACATCTGGTTGTCAGTGCCGAGACCGAAAATATCGATACGATTTGGGCCCCACGAAACAGCACTCGGAGGGCTACTGAAAACGCCACCAAGATTCTCCCACCCCGAAACCGATGGGCCCCATCGAGAGCCATCCCACCACTTATGCAGCATCTGATTGTTTGCTCCGAGTCCAAAGATATCAAGTCGATTTTCAGCCCATGAGATGGCAGACGGGCGGGAACTGAAGACACCCCCCAAAGCCTCATAGCCAGTGGTGGAGGGACCCCAGGCTGATCCGTTCCAATATTTGTGGTACATTTGGTTGTCTGTACCTAGGCCAAAGACGTCAATTCGGTTGTCTCCCCAAGAGACCGCAGTTGGCTGGCTGCTGAAAGTGCCTCCGAGATGTTCCCAGTCATTTTGCGAGGGACCCCACTGTCTCTGATACCATTTGTGGTATAGAGCATTGTTTGTTCCTAGCCCAAATACATCGAGTCGGCCAGATGACCAAGAAACTGCTGTTGCAGCGATATTGTGCAGAAGCTCGAGAGCCTGCGGCGTCGTCGCGGCGATACGCATGGTTGAAAGTCCCTCACTCGATTATTAGCTCTAGAGAGAAATATGGGTTAGCGGTTGGGCCCAACGATACAATGACGAGGCTTCCTCGGTGAGATCCTTACCGTGCACGGAGTATCGAGATGGAAAAAGGAGAAGCACACTGCCTGAGAGCTCATTGCAAAATGTAGCGGGAGATAACCGGCCTTTAAGTATTTGCTGCCAAGTCAAGACCATATCTTCATTTTGCGTCATGGAAGGTCTCACGTCGCTCGTTTTCCCGGCAACTCAACACTTCAACAACTTGCATGGCCCACATATGGCGAATGTAACGTGAACACGGCGATACGAAGCGTGGAGTACAATTCAAGAGGCAGATTAAAAAATTCCTCAGGTCAACCGAATACTTCGTAGTATCACGACGAAAGAAAGGATCAGGTGTTCCGGGAAATGTCCGGGGTTTGGTCGCAAAAGGTATGGATGGGGCTGGCTGCAGCTGCAGCTGCAGAGTGCAGTGGCCGAGACTCGTCTATACTTACTTCCATTAAGTGGAGTCCATGAATACCAAGGAACCTCCCTGATTTACCTTGCAGAATGCTTGTCCAAAACCTAGGCAGGGGTACCCGGATACCTTCTCAGCGCTTGGGCAAAATAAAACAAACTGACTTTTCACCGGCCCAAGCATGTTGTCGAAACCCGGGTCATATTATGCATTTTCCTCCTCTTGACACTTGTTCCTCTGAGACCCCAGTACCTTACGTTTCCAAGTATCTGGGCGGGCACCATCTGGGTGGCTTGCCTTGGCTTTTGTGCAACATTAATCGAATTGAAACATGGGCGCAACGCTGTCCTTGGCCCGATGACCGGCCAAGGATATGTCCATGCAGCTCCTTTCCTTCGTGGAATTCAAAAATAGTCGAGTCCTGCTGGCTTGATTTGCGACTGCGCAGTGTCCACGTATTGACACCTCATGTCAATGACTTCTCACCGTTGTATAAAGGCGATCCTTCGCGTATATGTGCGTTAAGCTGTGCATCGCAGTTCTTGCACCGAGAGGACCTTCCCATCTCTCATGTTCATCAAATACCCAAAGGACCATATCACGACGAGGAATCCTTCCCTTCGGTTCCCCGCATATTTAAGAACCGACGTGGCACGGTGGGGTCAGAGGAAAAGCGCTGATATTCTTGTAACCTCAGACACATCCGCCTTCATCTTGGCCACGGCCTTCTTAGGCATTTGGTTGCCATCCAGACGCCGAGTTCTCGAAAATCACCTCGAGGTGTCGCAAGATTGGTCACTTTCTACGAAAACCTGCCTCCTGGCATTGCTAAAGACTTTGGGGGGTGTAGTAAGGCTGGTCGAGACGGTTCAACAAAGAACGTGCCCAGCGCATATGCACCGTGTGCACCTAGATCCTGTCGGCATGGCGAGTCCACCGTGTCACAACCGGCCTGCCCGGGAAGGCGAAATCAAAATGCGGCTGGCTGACCTTCGGATATGGCAATACTGCATGGATGCCTGCACATTTCAAGAGCGTCGTGACGCCATTCTTGACCCGATTTGCCTCCGTCGAGTCTCCATACTCTTGTGGAAGACGCTCAGAATCCTTCATGATGAAGCGATCGAGCATGGTCAGGGGTTCGCGGTTATTTGGGTCGAGACCCATCTGATATCCCTTGCCCCAGCCGGGTAAGCACGGATCTCTTGGTAAGACAGTTAAGCGAAGATCCGCATAATTGCCTGATTTCTGAGATGTCCCGAAAAGGCGAGGCAGGATGCGGGAGCTTGAGGGGTCGGGATTCACTGGATCCTTTCGGTGGTCATCCTTTCTGGTTTGTGATGTCACGGCACTATAAATGTGTTGATTCCTTGAAGAGGAGTGGAATGGGTTAAACTGATTCTGAGCATCGATTTCTGTCTGAGTTGAAGTCCATCTATCCCTTCCTAATATTCGAAACCTAGGCTCTGATTCGTACACAAGTGAAATGACACAGATATAATCAACACAAGGTAATCCTAACAATTGAACAAATTGGGGATCAAAATTATACCTCCACGGTAGTGTTCACGATAACAATCTATTATTATTCAAAAGCAGATGTAAGTAGTAAAACAAAAGATCTAGGGGAATCTTTGAGAAATCCAACAATCCAACTATGACAAAAAGCCCGCCAAGACGAAAGCGAATCAAAATGCCAATATCCAATTAAGTAGACGGCGATTCGACCTCTGTCCGTGCCGCATTTCGTAACTCATCTCGGTACGTGGCAAATCGGGTAGCAGTAGCATTTTCAATACTCCGCCGTCGACCCCAATCTTGCGGTTGCCGTTTTAAGAATGCTCCGACAGCGCCTAGATAGCCTTCATGACGGAGGAAGTAGGCCTGCTTCTCTCCCTTGGACCAGAAGCGTATGGCGTAGGAGAGTGTGTTCATGGTTTGGCGGTGTCCCCGGATGAACGACCCTCCGAAATAGATGTGTTTGATTTGGTGCTTTTCCGACTGGAGATAGGCAATTTGGCCAATATTGTTACTAAATAATTATCAGCCGTCAAGTCATTGGTAAAGGAGGACCGCAATAGAACGGCGAACGAACCTGATGGCGAAAAGCAAGCTTCGGCTAATATCCTCACGACGGAATTGTGACACGTCGCGTTCGGATTCTGTATCGCTCTGAGCAAGGGATTCATGATCTTTGGCACTGCGTTCCGCTAGACGCTGCATTTTAAATACTTTGCCAAAGGTACTGGCGATGGTCGACGATTTTAGGCCGATCTTCGAATAGTCCGTGCCATATATATCGCCAACCAACATGTCTACTCCGCTATTGTCTCCTATTTCGGCCATTGCGAGCATTTCATCGAACGTCCGGGCGCCCGTCAGGAGAGACATAAGGCCCCAAAAAGTACCTCCACCCAACGATGTGCCCCCAACACGTTCAAAGCGCCTTGGGCCGGAAACCTTGACCATCGACACCCCGGAACCAATATTCACGAGGAGGTAGGGGTAAACATCTGTTCGAGCTTCGGCGAACTCCATGGGCGATGTCTCGCTGTAGGTGAAGACCTCGTTTGGGATCTCGGTGATGAAGAAGTCAAGCCCTGCTCCATCTCTGGTTAAACTGCGTTCACAAGATATCCGATAGTAAATCATACCAATGATCAAGCACTCCATCTCATCCTCCCTGATGATGTCAACGCCTAGTTCCTCTTTCAAGTGGTCGTAGTACTTAAAAGCGCCTCCTCCAGTGGCCATAATACAAAGGGGGCCTGGTGCGGAGCCATTGAGCTTCCGGTGATTCTCTTTTAGCCGTTTGAGAAACTCGATACATAAATCGATTCGATCGGTCTCGAAGTTTAGGAAATTCAGTCTGCCGCCATCCGAAGAACCGAGCTCTGGGGAGAAGTAAACGAGCTTTGCGAGCGACCCTCCGATCTAGCGGTGGCGAAGATATCAGCAAATTTTGGCCAAGACAGGAGCAGGGTGAAGACGGCATGCAGCCGCAAGCGCGTGGATGTGCAAGTGAATTTATTTTTGGCGGCTTTTCGGGGGTCAGACAGCAAAAGGAAGCTTACATCGACTGCAACGTGACTAACGACGTCGGTGTGATGGGGTAGCCGGATATCCTTGTGCTCGTAATGGATGCCGTCCGAGCCATCGACAGGAACTCCGTTCTGCTCTGGCGGCTGTTCGTCCACAATAAACGCCCCCTTCACATTGATCTTCACGGGCCCTGGATGCAAGATGGCTTCCTGCAGTCGCTGGACGGCGGCATGGTCTTCCTGGAACTTGTGAGTCTTGGATCGGGAGGCATCCGGGTTCGCGGCTGAGCTCGTCGACAGCGACATGACGGATTCTTCATTTGCAGCGGGGATCCTGTGCACTCGAAGGGCGGGTTGGATTGATGGACGTCGTGCTGGGGGCGATGCGGGCTTTTCTGGGGTTGAGATGCCTCGCCGTGCCCACGCTTACGGCGTATATCTCCTTCTGGCCGGCAACCGACTAGTCAAGTTGGCTCGAGCTGGATGGAATCGTCGTTGACCGAGGAAAAGAAGAGGCGATGGGCTGCACACTGGCGGGTGTCGGCGATCTGGCCGAGGGATCTGTTCTCCAGACCCGACGGCCCATCCTTTTGTGAATCTGAGCCGGTCTCATGAAGATAACTAAATTCGGGAACTCGTAACTGACTACAGTGTTATGGAGTTGGTGAAATGGCTCTCCTTCCGGCTCATCGCCAGCCGGGATTACCTGCTTCCAATTCCTACGGGAAAAGACAACACTCCAGCAACTCAAGTGATGATTTTCTCGCTGGAATTCGCCAACCCACTAACTAGTTAGTTGATGCAGTTGCTTTCGCTCTCAACCATTCGGGTCTTCAACAGCTCCCGGTTGGTGGCAACTGTCTTCGAATATGCTCATGGCGCTCATCAGTGATTCCTGCGCTGTTTTGATATCATTTTCTGGTCGAAATTTCCCGGCGAGCGTATATTCTCTACTGCAGCTGCCGTTGCATCCTGACTGATCCTGCCGTTGAAGCTTCCGGCTCTGCAGTATGTGAACAATATATGTTGTTTCTTGTACTTTCTTCCTTTGCCTCTGTGCATGGAGCTCGTTGCGGTTTCAAAAGACAGCGCCTTTTGATGACGGGAATTGTGTAGCTAGCTTCACGTCTCTCCTATGCCACATACCCGGCCACTTGGTCCACTGGGGCAGCTCAGTTTTCATCCGTTTCCTGTCCACGACAATATCAAAGTATCTCCTGTGTTTATTGCCTGCAATGCGCCTGATTCCGGTAGCTACTTTGATCTCCGGGGTGAGCGCGAATATTGTTGTCAAGCATGCCCTGCTTCGATGTGACCCTACCATTCCAATGTCGACGAGATGCATGCGCGGCCAGATTTGCACTCCATACGGAACGTGAGTTTATTTCGGGGTAGTCTAGCAGTCACCTTGCTAACGACGAAAGCAAAGCTGTGAGCCTAGCCGAGTAGATCCTGGTGGGAGACCGTGGCCTGTATCAGTGCAGCTCGATACCATCCCTCCTCCCACTTGTCCCTCACCGAACGCAATGGGCAGGCGTTCGTTGAGACGGTTGCTAGTCGATTCAATTGTTGGCAAGTTGGAAAATCATGGGACCTTGCCTGGAGCGCTCGATCCTATCTGGTCCGTTTGCTTTTTGTTCCTGTCCTATGTCCTATCTAAGCTCGAGCCCGGATATCGGACCATTGATTTATCGATCAACAACCTCAAGTATAAATGGCAGCTAATAAAGGAGTTTTAACCTTCAGTGAAATGCCCGCGCAGGATTCAATAACACCTGAACACACCGACGCAGATGCAGATGACAGCCCAGAATCTATTAACCCGCCAGATTTAAGTGCACGTGCAGACGATCCAACTCGTAGCCTCGACGCCTACAAGTATGCCCGGGTGTAGACGATGGCATCATTGAGCTCACGGATGACGGTCATTGCGGCTCGACGCATGGACACACTCTGTGCGGACCCTGGCCAAAAGGCAGCTGTTGTTCGCCGTTTGGTGTTAGTACCATCCTTGGTTTGCGACTGGGATCATTCACTGACCTTACTGTAGATCTGTGGGAATACAACCTCACATTGCGGATACGGCTGTCAATCAGGTCCGTGCCTTCAGGAGGCCCTTCTTAAACCTCCTCGCCCAATGGCGTTCCGACCCGAGGGCGTCGCTGGATCATTTCGCATCGTTGGTCGATCTGGTGTGCCCCCCATGATTGCTGTTCTTTTGCCAAATGGACAGGTTGCTTTTGCGGATAAGGTTGAGAACTATACAGAATTGACATTAGATAACGGAAGATATGCGTATTCTGCCGAGTATGACCCATCGACGGGGTCTTTGTTTCCGCTAAGCTACAAGGTCTGATATGTCTTCATTTTCCGTTTGGGCGACAAGGTGGCTGAGGATTAATCTAGACAAACGCATTCTGTAGTGGCGGAACATTTTTGAGCGATGGGCAGGTACTCTCAGTCGGAGGAAATGGCCCGTTAAAATGGATGGACCCTACCGTTGACGACGGCTTCAAGGGAATTCGTTATTTGAAACGACAGTTTGATGATGACAGGTTCGACGGAGGATCGTGGGTGGAGCCGGGTCACTTATTGTCGACGAGCAGATGGTACCCGAGTGTGCAAACCCTTGCTGATGGCACGGTGTTTGTCGTCTCCGGCAGTTTAAATGGAGACGATCCGAGTATCATTCAAAACAATAACCCAACATATGAACTCCTTGACAAGTACGGGCTTCCCTACGGAGTCAGCCACGAACTTCCAATCCTCGAAAGGAACCAGCCGTATTATATGTACCCGTTCCTCCATCTTTTGAACGACGGCACCCTTTTCATTTTTGTTTCTAGGTCGGCAGAAATTTTTGACGTTGATAATGGGATTACAGTCAAATCTTTGCCAGATCTACCTGGTGACTATCGAACCTACCCTAATACAGGAGGAAGTGTGCTTTTGCCCCTCCATAGCTCAAACAAGTGGGAGCCAAAAATCATGATTTGTGGCGGCGGTGCGTTCCAAGACCTCCGCAGCCCTAGTGACCCGACGTGTGGGTTTATCCGGCCTCTATCCAAGCATGCTAGGTGGGAAATAGAAGCCATGCCGGGCGGAAGAATCATGGGTGAAGGGATACTACTACCTGACGGAACAGTCCTCTGGATTAATGGCTGCAGCACCGGTGCTCAGGGATATGGAGTAGCAGAGAGCCCTATCCACGAACCATGGATTTACCGTCCCCATGGGCCTCGGAGAAGTAGGTGGGCCGTTGGAGGCACTAGCAAAGTACCGCGAATGTATCACTCTGTGGCACTCTTGTTGCTTGACGGCACTGTGCTGGTTGCAGGGTCCAATCCTGTCGAGCAACCTGTTCTAGTTGCGAACCCGACTGATCCAAGATATGCGTTTCCCACCGAGTTTCGGGTCGAAATCTATACGCCTCACTACCTTATGAATGGCAAAGCAAACAAGAGGCCGCGGAATGTCTTGATTTCAACAAACTATCTTGAGGCTGATGGCAGTCGATTCCGTATTAGCTTCCATAGCACTCAACGTGCCCGAAAAGTGAAAGTTGTGCTTTACCACGGAGGGTTCGTTACTCACAGCGTTCACATGGGACATAGGATGATCATACTAGACCATCAAGGATGGAAGCCTCGGAGAAGGAGGCAAAAGCTCTCGGTTACGATGCCACCGAACAATAATATTGCGCCTCCAGGGCCTTATGTGATATACGTAGTGGTCGATGGCATACCAAGCGAAGGACAGTTTGTTATGGTGGAATGAATGAATTCGCAATCAAGTTGAGGAGGACGAGGCCACAGTTTCGGCAGGACGAGGACAACCATGTGTCGCTATAAATTAGACTTGATCCGTGTAACTATGTCGATGATGAACCAACATCGGATTAGCTAACTATATATAATCAAGGAGGCTTTAGTCAACCTTGCGATTCACTGGACATCCCACGCTCTCGAAACAAGTAGAAGTAGTCAGGGCATCCTTGAGCTTACTAGTTAACCGCCTGTGCCATTGCCCCTTGCCATAGAATTTGTCGAATGTTAGTTATAGACAGGTGACTGCCATAACTCCTTCCTCCGTAAATATCAACCGTTCCAGCTCTCTCCAAGTTCTCCGCGTTCATATCAAATTATCACCGCAAACGACAGTTCTAATAATAGCTTTGGCGGAGACAAAGTTTAGCCGTTGATCGGTCCGTTGCGATGCCAAGTTCGGGCGACAGCACACGATCCGCGTTTTGTCAACCTCACAATAATGCCTGACAAGAGGCATTCATACCAAGTACGGAGGCGCTGTTATGGCGAGATTGGGCGCCTTGTCCGTGTCTCAGCACTGTATGATTGCCTCAGCCGGCATGTGTTGAACTGGGCAAGACAGGAGAATGCGTCCGGGCGGTCCAACGGTGTTTCGGGTTCTCTGCCCGTTACCTTTCTTGAGGTATTGACGGTGGACTATCCGTTTCTTTTCCTTTTTAAATGTGCTGATATCCGAATCGGCCCGATGGAATATGGATATGCGCAATCTGAACTGTTTTTGAAGGGCTTTGTCCAAGCTGCAGCTCGCCTGCTTGCTTGCGCTGTTCTCAAAAGGGCAGAGGGTCTCGTTTTTGGCTCTCGCACGGCCTATTGCGGCTCATGTCTCCATGGCGACAGTTGCAATGTCCTGCATCCTAGACGGGAAGATCAAGATGCTTTGTCTCGTGAAGCCTGCTCGCTTAGTCGTTAGCTCTGGGAATCACAAGATCTGCCGGCTTTTCTCTCTCACCTGTTGAAAACTGGATCTCTTCTCTTTCATCACCTTCATCTCCATCTCTTCTGCATCCAGAGCAAGCAAGTGGAAAGAAATCCCCAGTTCACAGAGTATCTTTGGCCCCCATTGTCTCTGCATTTCCTAAAGCGGGAATTCTCACGTCTTCCCAGGACAAAAAGTCACGGGATGCCCAACACCACTGAGAATATCTGGACTTTTGCACTTGTTTTCTTCATCATCATCGGTCTTCTCTTCTCCATCCTCTTTACTGTTCTCTTCTGCTCCCTCCGTCGCTCCTCGGATCCAGAAGAGCCAGCCAGCGCCGATATTCCTCCTGAGGCCGCTGCTGAACCTGAGGAAGCATAGTGATTTGACAGAAAGTCAGCCGCTGAGTTTTAGAGGTATGTCGTGTCCCCCTCACTGCAGAATTTCTCCCACTGTTTACACCACTCGAGTTTTCTCTTTTTCGACGAAGTGATTGAGAGGCAGCCCAAACTGGCGTTGTATCTCTTTTTCTCTTTTCTGTTTGATCTTCTTGCTGTTCCTAAAGAAGCTCCTCTGTTGTCTCTGGATCTGTTGGTAATCAGCTGCTCTTCTCTATCATCTCCTGCACAGTTCCCATTCTCGTCTCAACATTCACTATCGTCTGTATTATCAAACAAGCCTTGAAGTTGTGTTCCCTTTCCAAGGGGATTGCTGATCATTATTTTCAAAGCTCAGTTTCTGTTGCTAACTGTGGTCACAATTATTTAGCTGTTCACCTTTCGTCGTATCAGGTTCTCGTCCCTACTTTCAATGTGAGTTTTTCTCTTTCAACTTTTCTGTTTCCAACTCTGTTTCCCTCTTGTCCTTTTGTGTTTACATTTTATGTTTCTTTCAACCCTGGTGGCTGTCCGACGCGTCGTCAATTTCAATCGAACGTCTCCCACCCCTAGCACCCTGTTCAAGTCCTTTTTACGCGTCGGGTAAAGTTTTGTTGCCAGGTATTAACGTGAAGTTTATAGCAAGATGGCGAGCCTTGACATTGACTCCGCCGCCACGGCGATCAAAGAAGTATCTGAGGCTTTTAAGCTCAACGGAAATATGAATGCTGAAGCTGCCGCTTTGGCTCGCGAAAAGGGCTGGGGTGCACCTCAGTCTTATAATTATGATGCTTACAATACTAAACCCCAAGCTGGCGTGGGCCCGAATGGTGATTATGATGTTTCTGTTTGGGCCTCCAATGGTGCCAAATACGAATGGAAGGATGAGTATGGTGACGTTGGCCCCCGAAATGAAGAGCTTGAGCAAATGCTCTTCCGCGACGAATACATTAATCGTGCTGGAGAATTGTTTCGAACGTAAGTTTTATTGGTTTCTAGATTCTGGTCTCTTCGCTAAAAGCCTTATCATTTAGCCTGCGCGAAATCAAAGTGACTGCTGAGACTACTCACCAACCAGAACCCATCAAGAGTGTAAGTCCCTTAACCATGCTGAATTGCCAGACAGTAAAAACTAATTACGTCCAGTTCGATGACGCCGGCCTTCACCCAGTCGTGCTTGAAAACGTGAAGCATTGCGGCTACGAAGTTCCCACTCCTGTCCAAGCTTATGCTATCCCAGCTGTTTTGACTGGCTATGATTTAATTGCCGTTGCCCAAACTGGTAAATCTGTCTTCATTCAATGACCTTTACTGAAAACATTCATCCACTGACTAGAGATCTCCTTTAGGCTCCGGTAAAACAGCTGCATTCTTGATTCCGGTTATTTCCAAGTTGATGGGAAAGGCAAAAAAGCTCGCAGCTCCGCGTCCGGACCTCACTAATGGTTTTAATGAGAGTGTTGATGCCGTTCGTGCCGAGCCATTAGTACTCATTGTTGCTCCGACACGCGAGTTGGCCACTCAGATTTTTGACGAGGCTCGTCGTCTCTGCTACCGCTCTATGCTTCGTCCTTGCGTTATTTACGGCGGTGCACCTACTAGAGAGCAACGTATCGATTTGCATAAAGGATGCGATATCCTCATTGGAACTCCCGGAAGAATCTTGGATTTTATGGCCAAACCCCATTTGTTGTCGCTTAACAGAGTCAAGTACACCATCATTGACGAGGCCGATGAGATGTTGCAGTCTGACTGGGAACGTGAATTTACCCAAATCATGTCCGGTGGAGGTGAGTGACCCCAACCCGGGTGTTAAAATGGAACGGAATGTTGACCATAGATGTTAGATGTTAACGAGGACGCCGATCATCGTTATATGATGTTTTCTGCTACCTTCAACAAGGCATGCCGTCAGCTCGCTCGTCGTTTTCTTTCTACCGACCATGTCCGTATTCGCGTTGGTCGCGCCGGAAGTTCTCACTTGAATGTGACGCAGCAAGTACGTTTCATGTCTCCTTTGTCTTTTTCAACTACTTGCTAATAATTACAAGGTTATTTTCACCGAGGACGACAAGAAAAGAAAGGCTCTTTACGATTTGATTCTCTCTATGCCGCCGTCCCGGACTTTGATTTTTGTCAACAGCAAGCCGCAGGCTGATTTAATCGATGATTTCCTTTTCAACAACGGTTTGCCAAGTACTTCTATCCATTCTGATCGCACTCAGCGCGAACGTGAGGACGCAATGTAAGTTTCCCCTGCTCATGACTCTCCAGAACCAATATAGCTGATTGTCAAATAATAGCCGTGCCTTCCGTACCGGTGTCTGCCCAATCATGGTTACTACGGGTGTCTCCGCACGCGGTCTCGATATCAGGCATGTGATGCACGTCATCAATTTCGATTTACCAAGCGTGGACCATGGTGGTATCGATGAATACATCCATCGCATTGGTATGCCCAGTTTTCAGTATCTAAAGGAATTATGTACGTCTTCTAATGGTTATTTAGGGCGAACCGCACGTATTGGAAACCAAGGTCTCGCAACTTCTTTCTACAACGATGATCGGAACTCCGCTATCGCGCCTGATCTGGTCAAAGTTCTCCTTGAATGCAAGCAGGCCGTTCCGGATTTCCTTGAGCCGTACGCTCCGGGCAACGGAGAACTCGAATGGAACGACGATACCGATGGAGAAGGAGACGATGAGGAAGTTCCTGGCGATGCAGCTTGGGGTGCTGATGCTGGTGGTACCGCGGGATGGGGTGAAAACGCTGCACCAGCTGCCGAACCTGAACCTGAGGCCGCTGGCTGGAATGCGGGTGACTCCGGTGCCGCCTGGTAAACTTACTGACCACTGTCCGCCTTAAGTTGTCCCTGACGATGCAGTCGTTTCCGTTTCCGTTACCAATTCGACCTACGAACAGCAATGCCTGCAGAAGAGGAAGAGTCGAGAGAGCACAAATCTGGTGAGTTGTCTAGTTGAGGGTCTTTCCAACTGTAGATTCTCGACGCCGACTTGGTGGATGAGTTTGCCTGTTCTCTTCTATCTCTCCGTTCTGTTCTCCTAAAGGCACTGACTGATACTGGGAATCTGCTGCGTTACAATGAAACTTGGCAGGACTTGGGGGATTTTCTTCATTTTAAAAAAACCGAGTCTAGTGAAATGGATCGTAGATAGTCTAGCTAGTCCGAAATTGAATGCTCCTTCACTAGCACCGACGTTTTGACAGCCTCCAGCTTCCTCCTTGCCCAGTCCTCACGCGTCTCAAACACCTGATTAAACATTCCCGGCAGCACCCGGAAGGAATTGGCGTGAGAGTCATCAAAGCGGATTTCCGTAGGATCTAGTCCTTTGTGACCAACGAAGGAGAGTGCCTCCTCTAAGAGCCCTGTTCCGACCCCCTTCAGGCGATATCGACGTTTGACAGTCCAGGCTCTCACGAGGACCGGCCGCTTTTGTGCGTTTTCAGATTTTGAAGAGTGGGCTGGTAAATGCGTGTATCGTAGGAGGATTGTTCCGATGATTTCATCCCCGTATTTGGCAACAAGAAAGCCATCTTCTGAAGGGGCTTTGGACTCGGACTGGAGCCATTTCCATGTCCCAACGCGTGCTGCCTCTTCGAGATATTCGCTCGTCATCCATTGCACGAGAACCAAGAGGATCATGATGCATCCTGCTCCAGTGGTGCCCACGAAGGCGAGGTCGCCTAGTGATTTTCCATTGTACTGGTATTTTCCGGCGAGGGATATCAGAAGAACTAATGACGCGACGGAGAGTGGATGTGAGATCAATGACTTTGCAGCGGTTTGACGTTGCTGAGCTACACTGTCCGCGATGAGGCGAAGGGCAGATATCTTGTCGTCCTCTGATACTGCAGGATAAGTGATGAGCTGCGGGAGGTCAGGCTGAGAGGCAGATTGAGACATGCTTGCCGGGCAGGAAGAGTCGACAAGCGAGAAGTGCTTCTGCGTATAGCGGATAGATCGAGTTCATGTTATCGCCGTTGAAGCCATCACGTGCATCCGGACTTGCCATCGCGGAAGGCGCGACGGGCAAGTGGCCAACGTGCTCTCTTTCCTGTTTCGTGCGAAGAGACTGCCGGTCAAGCCTTGCCAATCACGGAAGGCACTTGGCGCCAAGCCGAGCTCCCAGCCAGTCACGGCGCCCACGTGTGTCGCTCCTGCCCGTTGAATGGGGGCTTGGCGTCCATCCCGTCGGCACCAAGCTTCAACACAAGCAAGTTCCAAGACAGGAAGTCGCGAGAGAACGTGCTTGGCTCAAGTCTTGGGATAGGAAGAGACTCGCGCTGATGGCGACTGGAAAATGCCGCTGCGAGGTCTGCCTGGGCTGCCTCGTGCGGCCTGAGAGCGGGAAAAACCTGCATGGAAACGAGGCAGAGGGGGGGACGGGAATCGCCATCTGTTGGACACAGGCCTGCACTGGAAACGGCCTGGTTGTCCGAAAAGAGTCCACCACAGGCTGACTTTTCTGGGGGCTTCGGGTATTCCAGGACCAGGTCGCTTAGCGCTCGTTGCTGCTCTTTATAAAGGCCCTGGTCCACATCCTACTCTGTCTGTCTCTCTTTCGTTCAGCAGACTTTTTCTTTTCGCGTTGACAAGACTGCTCGCTTCGAGGAATCTACGCCATAATGGCCACGCTCACTTCTGGCGGCAATTCTGCGTTTAAAAACTTCCACAACCAGTTCGCCCACGTCCAAGATCCAAATGAACGTCGCCGTCTGGCCCTTGCAGAAATCGACAAAGCCCCATTTGGGTGGTATCATATTCGAGCCGTTGTTGTGGCAGGTATCGGCTTCTTCACAGATGCCTATGACATCTTCGCTATCAATCTGGCGAGTGCCATGTTGGGTATTGTCTTCTGGCTCGACGCCAAGGAGAAGCCAGGAAAAATCCCATCAAGTGCCGATACTGCAATCAAGGTTGCAACTTCTGGTGGAACCGTGATCGGCCAGGTTGGCTTTGGATGGCTCGCCGATGTTGTTGGGAGAAAAAAAATGTATGGGCTTGAGTTGATGATCATTATCTTTGCGACTCTGGCCCAGGCATTATCTTCAGACTCGCCTGGCGTGTCCATTGTTGGTCTTTTGATCTTCTGGCGCGTTATCATGGGAATTGGGATCGGCGGCGACTATCCTTTATCTTCCATTATCACTTCTGAGTAAGTCATGCCTTGAACCTCAAGTGCTCTCAGCTCCATTTCTGACCATTGGCTTATCAAAGGTTTGCAACCACCAAATGGCGAGGTGCAATGATGGGTGCAGTCTTCGCCATGCAAGGAATCGGGCAGTTTGCTGCAGCCTTGGTTGCCCTGATTCTTGCGGCGGGTTTCAAGGAGTCTCTAAAAACAGCAGCAACGGAAGCCGAATGTTCTGGTGTTTGCCAGGTTGCTGTCGATAAAATGTGGCGCGTGGTCATCGGATTCGGTGCCGTTCCAGGCTGCATAGCCCTTTACTATCGACTGACGATTCCAGAAACGCCACGGTACACATTTGACGTCCAGCGAGACGATATCAAGGCTGCTGAGGACACCAAGGCTTATATGCAAGGTCAGCCTGGGGGCCACCCAGATGAAATCCAGCGCATAGCCACATTGCAACAGGACAACACGGAACTCGAGGTCCCAAAAGCTAGTTGGTCCGACTGCTGGGCACATTATAAACAATGGAAACATGGAAAGGTCCTCTTGGGTACCGCGGCCTCTTGGTTTTTCCTCGATGTTGGTAAGTATTTCGGCCAACCATGCCGTTTTGATGGCACTTGGCTGACTTGTCCCCATCGTTTAGCGTTTTACGGACTCGGTTTGAACAACTCCATCGTTCTCTCTGCAATTGGCTATACTGGCGGCGATAACGTGTACGAAATCCTCTTCAATAGCGCGGTGGGCAATCTAATCTTGGTATGCGCCGGAGCCATCCCTGGATACTGGGTTACCGTCGCCACCGTGGACACTATCGGCCGTAAGCCGATTCAGATTATGGGGTTCACGATGCTCACAATCCTTTTCATCATTATCGGCTTCGCATATGATAAACTTCTCCAGTCTCACAACGGCCTCCTAGCGCTATACGTTCTCGCTCAGTTTTTCTTCAATTTCGGCCCCAATGCCACGACCTTCATCGTTCCTGGCGAATGCTTTCCTACCAGATATAGATCCACATCCCACGGCCTCAGTGCAGCTTCAGGGAAAGTGGGTGCCATCATTGCACAGTGCGTGTTCGGCCCTCTTGTCTCGAAGGGTGCAAAGCCAGGCTCATCACAGAAGCCTTGGCTCAAACATGTCATGCAAATCTTTGCTCTGTTCATGCTGTGCGGATTATTTACCTCCTTCCTCATTCCTGAAACTAAAAGAAAGACCTTGGAGGAGCTGGCTGGTGAAGTTCCCGGCACGCCTAATTATGACCCTGTCATGGCAGGTCACACAGTAAAAGGCAAGGCAGGCGGAAAGGAGACGTCAGGGACAGGGTCTCCCGAAATACAACCAAATGATGTGCATACAACGATTGTTTGATACCCCTATTACTTCCTGGGCGAAACAAAACTCCTGTTATTGTTTTCTTACCATACCTCGTCTGATATGCTTGATATTCCCCTTGAGTTGCGCCAATTTGTTAGTATCTTCAACTGCCTGCTGGAATCTTGAGTTGATTTATACCCTCATAGAGTTTCCTTTTGAAATACATACCGATTTCACATACAACGATAGTTTAGCCGTGTTCTCAAACCCGCTCATACCCGGTCCATGCAAAACATCTCAGCAGTAAACATGAAAGGCTGTTTCCTAGAAGGTTTCCCTTCTCAAATCCACTTAATTACTTGATCAGACAACTTTGATATCAGTTGGTGAGAGGTGATGGGATGACTTGACGTTGAAGGCCACGGCACCCCATAGCAGCCAACTGCGCAGTGTTGGTCAGCATAGACTAACTAACCCCAATATAGTTAGGTCCAGTATAAACTTCAAGCGGGCCGGGCGTCATCTTCTTACCGAAACTTAAAACCTCGTTTACGATTTGTGCCGAATGGACGAGACAACCCAAAGCTTTTCTACGAGCAAATACGGAGTAGGGGTTTTCAACAAAGTATGTGGCATTTATAGATCAGTTTGGGTATTGAGCCACGATCCCAAAGCCAAATCGCTGGCAATTAGCAATTCCGCGAAATCGTGTTCCAATGCTCACCTAGTCGTACAAGTCTACTGGAGCAGTATGATCCCGCTTCAGACAGTTAGGGGCCGTGGCCTTGATCGCACTCTCTATCCGCGACAGCGTCATATCATAGCCTTTGATGTCGCACCATGCCTTGACCATATTCACGGCATTCTTTATCTCTCGCCCATTCAAGTGCCACATGGCTAGCTCCGATAAATGTTCTTCATCAAGATCTTTCATCGCGCTCCGGATCCCTTCATCTCCAGGTCGAGGTGCCATGGGCGGCAATCGTTGCAGAAACTTCCGCCACACCGCTAGCCTCGCAGTTGGAGAGAGCGGGTTGAATACGAGATGGAGTTGAATTCGTGATCGAAACGCGCTGTCTATAGTATCGAATAGATTGGTCGTGAGGAAGATGATCCCGCGGTAGTACTCAAGCTCCCGCAGAAATATAGACACGAGCTCATTGCGAACAATGTCGTTCGGATTGCGCTGGGCCATGAAGACATCAGCCTCGTCGAGTAAAACAACCGCGCCCCATCCCGTCGCCATTTCGAATGCCTTCTTAAGATTGGTACCGAGTTCATTAGCCGCAATGCCGAGATCTTCGGCTTGAAGGTAGAACAGCGGTCGACGGGTCCTATCGGCAACTGGCTCGGTGTCAGTGAGGCGTAGTTACAAATGATGGAGTTGCAGGAAAGCATCCTTACCTGCTTCAGCTGTCAATGTTTTGCCGGTGCCAGGGGGCCCACTGAGGAGGATAGTGAGTCCCTCGCCTATTGAAGAGCGGTCAGTCAAAGATCTTGGGTGCAGATAACGCTCAACCGACCTTTCCCGGTAATAACGTCAGCACAAGCTGATCTGTCGCGCTCGTGATTTTCAACAAAGGATAGAACCAGGTCCTTTTGTTGTTCGTCGTACACCAAATGACTAAAGGCTTCATCGTTCCATTGCATTGGTTTGATGTCTTCAACAAAAAAGTTCACTTTGGCTCGTTAATCACCCGAAGAATTTCAATAGCATTTCGTGTCTCACTTACGCCACTCTTTGTTCTTCAAGGCAAACCCTTTGACGAATGGCGACATGAAAAGGAGATTTTCGCTGGTTTCCAACACTCTCTTCTTATTTGCCTCCTGAGCCGCTTGTGGTAGGTGGTTAGGCTGGGAGGACGGCGAGCTTTTCTCGGGCACGTCGACATCGCCTAACACTTTATTTTTCTGCACTTCTGGATCCTGTGATTCTCGATTTCCTTTGGCCAAACAAAACTTGTTATATCCTATGGTGTCAACGAGAATCCTGCCGTCAACCTGGAGAAAGATTAGACGACATTTTGTAATTTCATCAGGGGTGGAACGCAATGGCATACATTGTGCTTTTCCTTCATTTGGTACAGCGCAATCCCCGTATATGTGCAGTAAGTCAGGCCCTGAAAATCGAGAGCCTTTCGGGCTCTTGCCATCATGGCGGATTTGATCCTTTCTGGGTTCTCGTGGAACTGTAACGGATAACATGGCATATCCGTGATGCGAGTGTTCCCTACAAACTGAGGGATCACTAGAGTCTTCTCTTCCCATATGTACTGTTCACCGTTAAACTCCATAAGCTTGCATGTGACCACCAGACATAATCTCGTTGCGACCATTTGATAATCCGCACTGACAACTTTTCCAAGAAATTCGCAGTTAGACTCCCAGCTGTACACAATGCAATCCTTGGGAAAGTAAGTCCAGGCAAGCCTAAATGCCACGAGGCCATTGGCTTGCAGGCGTTTCACATGCGCTTTAGTATCGCCAAACATATGGCCCATGACCCTTAACAGAAGTTCGAGATGGGTCTTCAGAGTGGTTGCATCTTTAGTGACATTGGACAGGTCAGCAATCTCGTCCGAGCGAAAGTACAAGGCTCTAAAAGGTTCTTTGAAAGTCGCCGTCTCCGTCGGTTCGAGATATACGTCTTCCTTCTCTAGGATGCACTTGAGGGCAGAGATAAGAACGGTACTTTGAATGTCAACCATGTGGAATTTCAAAACGGAATGACCGTGTATCACGGGCTTTTCTTTGTCTTTGATCTTGTACACTTTGATGGCCACTCGATCTTGGGCTTTAGCGGCACTTTTACTAAGTTGCCTTGGTGGGTAGTCTACCCAATTATAGTAGTTGTCAACGCTCCCTTTTCCTTCGTAGAGAGTCTTTATTACCGCATCCGTGCCATGGTCAAGATCCTCGGATGGCGATCCAGCAGCAGGGTGCTTGAAGTCTTCTTTATTACCGATGACCTTGCATCTCCATTTCCATATGAGGTCCGCGAGGTCACGCATGGCTCCAGGGTAGTTTGATCGGGAACAGCCGCTAGCAGTTCGATAATCACCTATTCAACCATACCGGCCAGTAAGCCAAACTTGGAGCAGAAACGGGAATGCTTCACAAGGAAGGCTGCGCCTGGAGTACATACCGACAAGCACGAAGATGACAGCCCCGACTGATAAGCGAATGTCCCAGTAAGATAAAAAGGAGTAGATAATCCGAGCAGTTGTTGCAGGGAGGACCGCTTAAATACGAAAAGGCATCGAGCCCAATGATCCATGTGCCGCTGGCCTGAAGCAAAGTGATGCCAGCCACGCCAATGCAAAGCCACGACCATCAGGCTGCCGGATTCCACGGTTGGGTCGACGCATCATGGATCACAAATCTGCTGCTTCTGCTGGCCTTGGTTTCAAGAAGCAATTGGTCCTGTTGGTCCAAGGTTGCCTCAAGGCTCGCGCCCAAGAGCTGAGCAGCAAGGCTGTGGTGATTGTGGGGAGCTGCGAAGCGAAGGCTGGAGCTCTGGGGAAGCCCGCTAGCTAACTAATGAACAAGGAAAAGATCTCGCCCCCTGGGCGCCGATGGGAGATCAGCTTGCCCCGGGTCTCGCTTGAGCCTGATAATACCTGGTGAATCGGTGAATTCGGACGAGTAAATTGTCTGATTTACTCTTACTTTCACTCCGCCACAGCTTCTCAGGCTGTCGCAATTTCAGCCAGCAAATCCGCCAGCCTTCAAGACATATCTTCAGAGATCCCCATCTTGATCAATATCGACAACTCTCTGTTAATGAACTCCGAGTGGATTACGGGTCTCTCAACTTATCAAACCCCATTGTTGCTGAGGTTATGTTCTCACAGAACGCTCATCCGGATGCTCGAGGATACAATCCTCTCCGTGTTTCTCAAGGTAATAGCAGCCACGGGGATTGCTATTACCTGGAGAATCCAGTTGTCTGGAGCACACTTTCTGTTGTCTGCGGTTTCCAGCAGAGATGCCACAGATGGCTCCTCTTGCAGTTTTTGCATCTCTCTGACGCCTTTTTCCCTCTCTCATCTCCAACAAGACATACGAGACCATCTTCCTCCCACTAGGCACTACTTGGCGCATCTCTACCAGGCATAATATCCACGGTATCAATACTTCTTCCTTTCAGAATGGCACCGGGGCGCCTGCTGACCATTTCTCGTTTTATTCCGTTATGCCTTGCTTTCACGGGTATTCTCTGTCTGGCGGCGCCAACCCGATCGGAGGTGGAGGCCCTTGTCATTGATACTTTTGATACTCCCGGGTCAAATAACGTCGGAGGATGGGCTGGCACAGACGAAGGCATGATATCCCAATACGGGCCCGGTTACCTATCTCTTAGTCCAACCGACCCGGATATGAACTTTCATACCAAGGTGGCACCCGAGTGTCTGGATATGACGGCGTACATGGATATGTATTTGCACATCGGTTTCTCGGGAACAGATAAATTCACAATCTCATTGACTCAGCACAATGAGGATTGCGATGAGATGAGATCACCCTATCCTGAAACCTGGGACTCTGTCGAAGCAGCACGCTACGCCCATGGCGAGGATATCTACATTCCGCTTAGCCATTTCAATATTGATTTCTCAAGGGTCAATTCTGTTGCATTCAACGGCTTCTATACCAACGAATCGATCACGTTGTATAAAATCGAAATTACGCCAGATGTCCCGAAGGACATAGATATCCCAAAAAAACGTCCTAGCGGTACCTTGGCTCTCAAATGTAAACGACCAAACTCCTTCGCTTTTGGCATCGATGACGGCAACCCAGTATTCGCGCGGGAAGTGATGCAAATCTTAAAAGAGGAGGATATAAAGGTTACCTTTTTTACTGTCGGGAGTGGGTTGCTAGATCGAACAACCAACTTCACGGCAATGTACCATGACATGTTATACCATGGTCACCAGGTCGCCTTACACTCGTTCTCTCATCCGAGGTCAGTGTTTCCCGTGAGATTATAATTGACTAACCTAACGAGTTTGTAGGATGGAAGGGCTCGCTAATATCGAAGATATTGATTTCGAGATAGTCGGAAATATCAAGGCAATGAAAAGGCAGTTGGGAATTGAGAGTATGGCTCTTTACCCATTACGACTGTGCCATGGTTTTACCCATCACCATACTAATTGAAAATTTCCAGGCCGATATTTCAGACCACCATTTGGCGTCGTCGGCGCAAGGACCAGAGAGCGACTTGCCGAGTTCGTTAAAGATCCGTATATTATCAACTGGAGTGTTGACATTGAGGACTGGCTCTGGGCACATTCGCCAACCCCCGAGAAGCAGTACGAAGCTTTCAAGCGGGATCTCGAGAAGGGAGGAGATCTTGCTGTCATGCATTTCCTGCATCGTTCGACAGTAGACTATTTCAGGGATGTTTTCCAACTTGTGAAAGCAAGCGGCAAACGAATTATGAGAGTGGATCAGTGCATGGAGGACCCGAACGCCCCTCCCTTGGACGATGAATGAAGAATCAAGTAGTCATATTCTGACCAGCAGCGTGTTTCGACGCCCCGACCAAAGTGATATTCGAGCGTGAATCGTTGATTTCCTTTACTTCAGCAGACCCGCATGTCTTATTCAACATTAGCAAGAACAAATAGTGTAACCCAATTAAAAGGCTCCAATGTTCAAAATGAAACTCACATGGAACTGAAAAGTTGGGACTAAAGCCATCAAGGTAGTATATTCATTCCAAATCACTCAAGTAAAAGTCTAAATACTGTGGTTGATGCGGCAAGTCCTTTCACGAAAGCGAAGGACGAAAATATACAATGAGTCCAAAAATGCGACATACCTCCGGGCTACGCTCCCCCCGCAAGTGTTTGCCGGCCATCATATGTCCCACTTGCTAGAAGCCCATGCACAGAAAGTCACGCTTTGTCAGCATGCGCAGACTTTGCTTTTTCAATCATAGCCGTGTGCATCTTCTTCAGCTCCGGAATAATCACACTCTCAATCTCAACCTCTTTCCGAGAATGCTCTTCGGCTCGCGCAGCTGCCGCCGCCGCCGCCGCCGATGCCGATAACCCAGCTTCCAGTCCCGCACACATCCCCGGCAATGCACCGCTCACGCTGCCCCTAGGTCTCGGGATACGAATCCAGCGCTCCTGCATACCTCCGTCCGGTTTCCGGCTCACGAAGACAACCTCCCATTTTCGATTGGTGAGTAAATTACCAATGACAAGGTGGTGTGAGTAGCGTTGGATAGCTTGTTCGGATTTTAGTATCAGGAGGTTTGGATCGGTTTCAAGTTTGAAGCTGACGATCATGGAGCCTGCGGGTGCCCAGCCGTTGACCAGGCGGTGGAGAAATTTGGGAACGGGGTCAAGGTCGACGATGAGTTTCTTTTGCTGCTTTTGGGGCCCATTGGGATCGTTGAAGCCCGTGTATATGCTATCTGGAGATATTGCGGTGTGGGCAGCGGTGACTGATTGCTGCTCAGGAGCTGGAATCTCGTTCGACTGGATTTTGTGCTCTGCCATTCGATCGCGGGGAATAAAGAAATCGGACACAGCCGCTGCGAGGTAGAAAAGAGCGTTGGCGCCGAGAGGCTTCATGAGGTTTGCTAATGTGCGGAGTTCATATAGGTAGTCGGTTACGGTCGTAAAGGGTAATAGTAGCAAGAGGTGGTTCTCCTTGGCGTAACGGTATTGTCGAAGCACCTTGCGCATCTCATCCTGATATTCAGGACGAACCACAATGGGGCCATGCTCACTGTTTTGTCCACCAATCGTCGAGGAGAGCGACGAAGATGCCGGCTGGGAGGGAGCCTCGTCCATGAAGTCAAGGAAGCAATTCGTTGAGTGGCTGTAATGTCGAGAATAAGGGAGCAAGCTGAATTGCCGGTGAAGGAAGATCACTGCGTAGCCCTCTTGGAGGAAATACTCCGCCGATGTAGCGCCACGAGTACCCGCTGAAAAATTGTCTATGAACCTAACCGTTTGCGTCTCAAGCGGTACCGTAGTACCACCGGATGTAACCAGTACGACTCGTCGATTAGCCTCCACATGCCTGTCTATGAACGTTCGCGCAACGGAGGTGTGAGTTTGGAGAAAGACAGGCTGTGGGTTCGTCTTGAAGTAGTGAGACTCCATTTCATCGGGGCTCAAATTGTCTGCCGGAGCGGTTTTGGCAGCCATTGTGAGACGAGAGTTAGAATGAAAACTGGTAAGTATCTGGTTTCTGTTGTCAATTCGAACGAGAAATGCTTCAAATGATCGACCTGTCAAACCGTGAGGAGAGTCGATGGACGTAGTTTCGGCTGTTCTCCAACACCGACGCAGGCTGCAGTAGACTGAAGTAGACTGAAAGGGCCTGAATATGGTTGAGATTCGCTCGCCTTGTATGTCTGCGGAGAATCGATCGGATACCGAAACACGAGGCTGCCGACTAGCAGTACCAGATGCTACTTTGTATATTCTATCATTGGCGGGGCAGGCAAAAGATCGCTAAAACGAGAAGCGATGAAAGAAGACTGAGCGAGTGTCGAATCGAGAACACTCCGAGTGAGAGGCAGAAAGGGTAACAGAGGCAGAGATTCAGCCTGAGCGAGTTGATATCCGGCTCCCTTCGTCTGGTCGCGATGAACGGATGGAAGTGCTCGAGAAGAGCTCGCCTTTGCCTCGGAAGTCACTCGCTGCTTGGTTACGTCATGGCTGATTCAGCAGCGCCAAGACATCTTTGCCTACGGAGGACCAGAGAGCCCCGGTGCCGTCACAGATATCTACTTCGGAGGGCTTGACTGAGGGTGCTCATCCTACTGGCAACGCCACCATTCTGCATATTGCTCAGCAGAGCTTCTTCCAGGGCTGATTGGGTCACGCTGGCGTCTACATATCAGAGTGTCAGCAGGGACTCCTACACGGAAGTGCACCTTAATCGACTCTCATATACGGCATCTACGTACCATCCAAGTCGCTGAAGCTACTGCCCATACTTGGTGTTCCGTCGCTGCGTTTAGCCTGATTGTGCGGGCTCAATCGCAATTCAGCTGCTCGTCGCGGACTAAGAGCGCCCAGGTGGTGCCGCCTCTGTTGTCCATCGGAAGCAGATGAAGCGGATCCCATTCCCGAACTAGTAGTACTAATCGATGTTGTTGTAACCTCCTTTTGCAGCGCCACACGTCTTGAGTGACCTCCTCCAAGCTCTTCGCGTAGGGTTGCACCCGGATCGTGTTCTGTAGTATGGGTTGCCCGCTGGCTCGCTTGGTCAACTGGAAGGAACGCCGGCGACTCTTCGTCCTCCTCGTCTTCGTCGAGTTCAGTATTGCGGGGTCTAAGCATGGAGAATTTGCCGAATCTTTTGAATGGTAGGTTGGGCCCATCTGAATCGGAGTCTGACTCGGACGTCGATGGTGACAGTGGCCCAGGGCTTTCTTCATTTAGTGGAGGTGATGCTAATGGTGATCCGAGTGTTCGCGGCTCATAATCCGCAGCAACGCGTGCCTTGTCAATTGATTCCCTTCTAGGTGACGTCAAAGCTTTCCTGACTTCAGCAGCTTGGCTTGGGTCAACGGTCGATGAAGGTGCACGGGAGTGCGGCGCTGATTCCGGTTAGTTATCAGACAGGGAATACTCATTCGCATCCTACCAACCTTGGGTTCTTATCGGTGTCGGGGAATTCATTGTATCGAGCCGCGAGCTGGGGCTTTCACGTTGCTCGTTGGATGACCTCGGCGGAACTGGGGATCCTGAAGATGATCAGCCTGACATGCTTCAAATCAATAAAGCAAACTGTACCCCCGCTGCGCCCTCGAGTTAATGCATGTCCCCCGAGAGCATGGCTTGCCGAGCCAGAGACCGGTGTTGCAGCCGAAGAATCAGGCTGCCCGGCTCTCAACATCTCCGCACGAACTTGCGCCAGGCGATGGCCGTACAGCCATGCTGCCTGCTGAAGGAGAAATGGCAATGTAACATCGAGTTGAGTAGCACTTTTTTTAGATTAGCAGGAAACATTTGGAAAGCCGGATGGTTGGCCATTACAGTGCATTCCCTACAAATCAGCCCGGGTTAGTTCAAGCCCTCAGCGAGTGGGGAGTCCCGTTCTCAGGAACTCACAGTTTACGGGTTTAGATGGCTGCAAAAGCACTTCCCATAACACACGATCCTTTGCCGCAGTCCAGTCAGGCTGGGAGTGTTAGCATGATTTCGCCATGCATCTCTAGGGGGGCTTACTGGAGGAGGATCAACAAAATCACCTCGTGGAAAGGGAAGTCGAACGATCACAGTGAAGTGAGGATCAGGCGCTGTGGACTGTGCTTGCATGTTTAACTGTCGGTTCAGAAAGTTCGAGGTCGGCCTGCAGAGTGAGACAGTCAATATCGGGATCTTGTCGTCAGTTCCGCTTGTACGGAGTTAGCTCCACTGTTTCCGGCTCGGCTGGAGCATGTGGCTTTAGTCAGCTAACTAACTAATTGAATAGTTGCTATTCTGCAGCACCGGGTCACGTGAAAAGGATTAGCTGTTCAGCCGCTGGCACACACTTTTGATGCCGCCTAACACAAAATATGGCTATGTTTAAGAAATATAGAGCTTTGCTGGACAGGTCTCTGTCACTGTTGATCCGTGCGGAATCTGCGGATGGAGCTGTGAGACTTGGAGTCCTAGCGTAATCAGCCAGCTGCCACGTCGGGCTTAGCGCCACCCTTTTCTCGAAGGCAACGGCGGTGTGTTTGTCAAGCAGAGCCCCAACTTGAGCCAACGAGTCACTAACTATTGACTCGGCACGAGATGGAGCATCATGCCAACGATGATCACAATGCGGACAACGGTCATAAAAGCAGTCAACTTCCCCTTTCCATCCTTCGTCATCAATTCTCATCATATGACAGATATGCCCTCACGCTGACTCTGACGGGAGTTATGCTGGCAGCTATTTATAGCAGCAGCGGCGATGTACGATGCCTCCAGTTGAACGTGTATCTTGAGCGTCGCTAACGTTCCAGTCTCCCACAGGGTCCAGCTCCAAGCCCTCTCTGGTAGATCAAGCACCCGTTCCCTTGCGCCTGTCCCTTTCCGATGCCTCCATGCACATATCGTGATACGACTGCGCGACCGGCATCTTCTTGACGTTATCGTCTGAAAACCGCTCTTGAGCCTAGCCGCTTTACGAGACTTGCCAATACCCGAAGGCGGGCCAAGGGCTTTGACAAGGCAGTCGTCAGATTCTCACAACGGGATCCCACCATTTCACATCCTCGAGACTAGATACTGCGAAACGGTTTTGCTCTTGCCTAGCGGGCAAACAGAGGATGACATTGATAATAAGCTACGCAGCGAAGCAAAGGCGCTTGGCCTGACTGTCTGGAACAGTGACATTTTAGTGACTGGTGCTACGACGAAATCCCCCAGTGGGAGCGATGCAGTTTCGATACGGAGTCAACATGAATCTCCGTCTATAGCTGCACCATCGCCAACCCGGCTGGCATCTACCCCATCCATGTCTTGGTCCTGGAAAGAGCGCATGTCTGGTAGCAGGCACTCTATTGCTTCATTATCGACTTGCCCCACAGCCTATAGCATCAGTGAATCGGAACCAAGTCGATCAATTGCCGATGGCCGTCCCTCAAGACACTCCCTTAACCTGGAAGGCAGGGAGAAGGGGTTTAAATTTGGTATAAAGCACGCCATCTCCCGGATTCCAAGCCTTCGGAGACGCAAAGGTTCTACACTTTCTAGCCCGCTGTCAATTACGCGACCTGAATACAGCCTAATAGTTGACAATGGCGTTGATGGCATGCGACTAGGAAATAGTCTAGATATCAGCTTTGCTGACACCTTAGCAAGTAAAAGTACTCTCGCGCCGATCGACGAAGGGTCGTTGAGAAGGAGTTTGGAATCTCCAGACTTGAAATCCATGCGCGCCGTACACGAAGCCCAGGTGCAAAGCTATCTAGTGTTTCGGAAAGCGGTATTGAAACCTATTCTCCGCAATCATAGTCGCGTTTTTGAAGAAAGAAAACGGGGGCATATAAAGGCTGTAGATGCTTTGGTGGCACAGGTAATGGAATATCTAACCGACTATGCCGGAAGCATACAACAATTAATAACGTCTTGCGCAGAATTCCCAAATGGCTATCCGAATTGAAGAGAACGACCTTGTGACGGAACTGGCTTTGATGGAAGAGTTCAAACGGGAAAAGCAAACCCTGCGAAGCCGCATACGTCACATGGAAGCTTATTTCAACACCCCAAGAGCCAACGACACAGACCCTCTGCAACCTCCACGAGAGTACGGCAAGGAGTATAGAGATCGGCTTCGGCAAAAGCTTCATGAGCTTGCGACCATCGATTCTCTGCACCAGTCCAAGATCAAAGTTCTTCGAGATATTCAAGCAAAGCGATATGAAAAGGCTTTGGAAAAGTGGGAGCAAGCAGTTCATCGGCTACAAGCAAGTAATGAACACGATCTTCGCAACCTCGAGAGTCGCTGTCGGGAGGAGAAGGATGCGGCCATTGTTTGGCTAGAAGCAAAACGAGCACGCTTAAAAGCCAGGTGGACGTTTGAGGAAAGGATTATTCGAAGAAAACTAGAAATTGACACTCGAGAATCTTTTGGACCCCTACCCGAACTATCTTTCGGTGACATTAGAGATGACATTCCACAAAGTCCTGGGGATTCAGGAAATAAAGGCGACGATTAGTGACTGGTTGACATACCAAGCCGGAAACGTCTAACCTCAAACAGGCCCGTTTTCCAGCATTAAAACTTTCGATCACCCCAATATCAGGCGGATATTTTCCTGGCATTGGAATTGTTTTTTTTCGTGGCGGCGAATGTTCTTGATACCCTTGCTCATAACTCTTATCTAAGTAAGCAGAAGTCTTTTCCTTTTTGTTTTCTATTTGCACATATTTGTTAATATTATACCCACCTTTGGCGCATCCCCGTTCTGTGGACATACTTGCAACTCTGGCTCTCGTCACTCATCTTGGGCGTGGGATATACTGTGATATATACTCGCAATATCAAGCGATTTGCTGTCATATACCTCAGCAGCTGTATAATATACGCTTAATGATCCCGTAACGCTCACAAAGCTAGTAAGTCCCTTGGCCTTTATGGCAAGGGCTTGATTTGAGATCCTCGCCAACTTCCCATGTATGGCTGGCAACCTAAGACGGAACATGGGGGTTGAACGATGTTGGAAGTTGTCGAACACGCTGGTTCGGAGGTGGTTTACGCGAAATTTTGAACTGCGGTTGAAAGGTTGGTAGCGGATTCATTGTACCCGAAGATAAGTTCAACCTGCAATAACAGGGGTCGAAAATCCCGCTTGGTCTGTAGTTTGTTGTTCAACCCTCCCCAAAGAAGAATAGAATCAAAGGAATTCAAGGGCTCCCTGGGGAGATTCCTAAGGGTTGTTCGTTGGGGCAATCCAGGTACCAGGCCCAAAACCAAGCTAAAGATGGTCAGACCCTGGCAAAGTTCCGTACATATAAAGCATTGAGGGACGAGGTAAAATTGCTTTTTCTGAACCACAATGAATGGTTGAAGTTCCGAGGGTAGCCAGTCTCTCAAATGACTCAAGAAAGGGCTGAAAATATTCCTAGTCATGAATGAATGATACAAGGCTCGAGGAACAAGGATAGCTGCAGGCACAAAATGGCCCATGCTCGGAAACTTCGTGCATCATAGTCCGCTTTCCACCAACTAAAGCGGTAAGAACTTGACAAATGGAAATTGAGCGAGATATGGGTCACGTCCAGCAGGGTGTTGTAAGTGGTAGGATGGAGACTTGTGAAGGACAGGATACCCCTTTTCACCGTCCAGTTAGCAAGATTCGCAAGCAACAGGCCCAGGGCACCTTTTCGTTCCCTGGGAGGGTTGCGACTGTGTCTCCAGGATCTGGAATCGAAGATGATAAGGAGACAGTAGTTATCAAGAAATACTCCCAGCAGAAAGTCCAAGATTGTGCCTGAACGTATCCCAGGGCTGATGTCATCAATGCAAAAGACTCTGGGCTGGAAGTCTGGAATTTCGCAATGCAAGGGGACCATGTAATTAAGCAATCAACCGAGTGCACACTCTTGTCGACTACATCAACGGGGATATACCCCAGTTGGGGAGCAATGGATCTATGCGAGTATGCGGGAACCGTCGCGCATCCCGTTCACTCCAATTTGGCCATAGCAATGATCAAGTCGGTGCATCAAGATAACACGGGTAGATAGGTCGGCTTCAAATTCATCATGTAAAAGTTCCATTAAAAACTTTTGAATTTGACGAGCAGAATCTCAAGTTAGTGATCCGCTTTCCCGCCATGCGGTCCGGGGACTGTTGTGCCTGATGATAACCATGGGTTCCAGGATTGGTCAAAGTGGAGAGAACCGGGCCGATCAGCAGAAGAATGAATTTCCGGAATCCGTCCTTTAGGATCCATGAACCCTAGCTCGTATATGTATAATATGTCGGCAATATTTCAAAACCGGCAAACTATCAATGCTCCCATCTTTCGAGGGTTTGGCCCTAGGCTGATGCCGGTGCCGATCCCGCAAAGCAAAAAATAGCAGGAAAAAATTGATTCTCCAGAACTGTTCCATTCTGTAAGCGAGGGCGCGGAGTATCAACCGCCAAGAGATAGAACTGTGTGCAAAGACATGACTTGGGGTTCAGAAAGGCAGCACAAATCCAGCTCTGACCACGAGCGGTCTGTTGGAATGTTCAGAAGAATGGGATGGATGCAGACAGGCCCAGAGTGCGATCCCTGAAGACGTAAAAGCAGGTTTGAACGTTGAAATAAGGTGACGCCAATCACTCAATTAGACTCCGAGCTAGCCTCTAAATAGTAAGGCGCAGCAAACCCCAGGAACCCGAGCCTTGGCTGGGATTCTGGGAATGTACGGAGTATGGGATTCGAAAAGATCACTGTTGAGGAGCTGAGTTGATGCTCGGTGCTGAAATTGACATCCAACGATAGGCTACTAGTTATTGTGGGGAGAAAGATAGAGCAACCTGAAGATGCACAACCTGTCGATCATTCCCGGGAAATGAGTGTAATGACGCTGAGATCAGTTGATGATGTTGGAGACGTAGAAAATCGCTCAAGGGGAATGTGGGCATTGTATTCAAGAGAGGAAGGATAAATAGTAGCATCCATTCCCCCTCAAGTTGAATCAACCCTCTATCTCTAAATTCGCAAGCTCCTGGGTTGCCTATACAGTTTCACGAAGTAAGCCCACCGTCACCAAATCCCCCATCAGTATATAGATTGACAAAAAGAGAATTAGAGCTCCGCAATCAGCATAGCATTAATCAAACACTGAATTGGGACGATAAAGTTCGAAACCGGTCAGTATGTGCCGCCCAAGTCATTTCATGATGCCGTCGACTAATTCAAGCAGCAATCGAATCTCAAAATGAAGTTTTCAGGATACTTATGCGTGCTGTTCGGTGCGGTATTTGTTGCTGCCGCTCCCGTAACCCAAGCCGACAACGATACGCCTACCCCGGGTAAAGATCGCGAGTTTTGCAAGGCAAAGTGCAAAAAGGACCACGCGGAGATGGTTGAGTACTGCAAAACACTTGACGCGGGCCAAAAATCGTGCTTCGATTTGGCGAAATTGGCGGGCTCTCCGGAAGGCCAAGAGGAGTGCATTTATTACTGCATGCGCCTTGGCTGAATGTTTGCCACAAGTGGATGGATTTTGACACGATCTTCTTAAAGGCTCAGCTCTTCTTAGCCTAAGCGTAATGACGAAATTGAAATAAGATATGAACCATCATGAATAGACAATACCCTTGTGAAATCGTTCTTCGTCCGGCACGAACCCAGATGATACAACAGGTATTTTCATGCGGAGCGTGTCAGACTAAAGCAGAGAAACGCAACCCCGTATTTCTGGTGGTGGGAACCCAGTCACTCAATCCGCTCAAGCAAGTTTCCGAATAGGCAAGGGTCAAAGAGAAATTCCGGGGGTGGCTACTCCAGTGCGTAGACACTCTATGCACAAGGAACAGGAACACTGAGTTCTGTATAAATTCCCGGTGACGACCATATCTAGTCAAGAGTAGCCGCCTATCACGAATAACTGATTGTTATGCTGAATTACCCGCCGGCGTCCCACTGCGCTAGCTTGAAGGAATGCCGGATATGTCGGCAATAATTGGAATGACTCCTGCCAACGTGTTGTTCAATTCCGCCTCATTTACCAACCGTACGGGCATCGAGTAGGGTTTGAACCACGGTCTCAATCCTACGATCGCCCCTCAAAAATAAATTTTCCGTTTTGGTATCGCGCCCTGAATCGCTAGTAATCACGGCACGTTCCACAAGTCCTTGGTTCGATAGATGGATCCGGCCTACACGTCCATCTCGCCATTCAAAGCGGATGTACCGGGCCTCAAGGGACGTGGCGCATAACGACGATATTCCGTGCTTCAGACTCAAGGTATCGATTTCTTCACCCCTGGTTTGGCCAACACCTAGTTCCTCTTGGAGGTATGCAACTGCATCTTTCCGTAAATGCCATGCTGCAAGCTCTCGTCTTAGTGCCACAACAAAGCGTTTGAGGTCTTGGTTTTCCGGCTTCCCTGCCTTCAAGTCGCCGGAATCCTCAGCACCAGCATCTGGGCCAGCTAGATACTTGGCTTCTAACTGATTTAAACGAATAAACGCAGGTATCGTATGTTTGTGAACTCTTAATAAAGTTCGATCGTTACCCGCACTTTTGAGGAGGACGTAATACGGTTCTGAATATCTGCCATCTCGCGTACAAACGTCGATACGTATACCCAATAGATTTGGCGAGCCGGTGTGTGGCGAGGGGTCTTTGAAAGGGAAGGATGTGGTGGAAAACACAGCTCGGTGATGATTTGACTGTGCATGGTTCTCGGTGTTCAGAGCAACGGGCGCAAAATCCGCGCTGGCACCAGATGTGGCTTGTTGTCGAAGAGCATTTTGAACCGCGTTACTGGAGAGGAGGCTCGCTGATAAGACGCGTCTATGCTTCGTGAGGCTTTGAACTAGAATCGCCAGGTTAGCCTCAGACAACAACCAGAGACGCGTTGCAAGCACAGACTTTCAGAACGTATCTTGGAAATTTCTTCGTCAAGAACAATCGAGGCATCCGCCTCTGAAGCAGACACTTGCTCCATCTCACCACTGTTAGACCCTTTCTTCCGGTCGAACGCAGCATCCGCCGGCGTGGAACGCGATCTGGCGCTAGGGCGGGGAATTCGATCGTCCGTGCATTTTCAGGGGTGATGTCACCTGACTGCTAGTTTCAGCAGCCAACAGAAGCGCGATCTCACGACGGCCGGCCATGAAGGAAACGGGGTGAATTGGGTATCCTTCTTCCCCAAAAGAGAGCCCCGAGGCAGCAAGATTCGCAAAGATCGAGGAATGGGAGAATGACATCTGTCGTAACTGTCGAAGCTTCTCCCAGAAACCTTAGTCAGCTGCGGGACCCCACAGGCTGAAGAGCTGCTTTTCATCTCGTGAGGACAGGTTGCCTTTTGGGCTTTGATCTCTTGCATGCACCCGCAGTGTGACTCCTTTGTTCACAATACTCCCCTGCACCCTCGATCTTCCCATGTTACCGCAGACGCAACACCAGATACCCGGCGTGACGACGTGGAGCTTCAACCCCTAGCGTCGGCGCGAACGTACTCCCGCGATCACCACCGAAGCCTGAGTGCTCAAATCAGTCAGAGAGACCGCGCCAATTTTTCATTATCGGATTTCGACCTCTCGGACGAGGACTTTGACAGTGGATCAGGATCTGGGGAGAGCTCTACGCACAGACTACCAATGACGCGAAAACATAACTCGATAAAACGCCGTTCATCCAGACCTAGCCTGAAGCTTGTAGCTGGTGAGAACGGCCACGCAAAGAGCGGTATGGATTCGAGTATCGGGGTCCGGAGAAAAGACGTATCCCTGGATTCATCATCTTCGCATGCATCGAGAGTTATGGGGAGGTCCAACTTCTCGCTGGACGACGAGCCGCCGCCAACTCCACAAACACCAGGTCTCACGAGTACGAGCTTTGCGGACTTGCCTGTACACGACAGGAGGAACTTTCTCTTACTCGTTCTACTTTACTTCTTGCAGGGAATTCCGATGGGCTTAGCAATGGGCTCCGTACCGTTCCTCCTGAAACCATTCCTTTCCTACGGCCAGATCGGCATTTTTTCTCTCGCTTCGTATCCATACTCGTTGAAGCTTTTATGGAGTCCCATTGTAGACGCGGTCTGGAGCCCGCAGTTTGGAAGGAGGAAGAGTTGGATTACACCAATACAAACAATATCTGGATTGGCGATGCTGTATCTGGGTAGCAAAGTGGAGAGTATGATGAAGGCTGCCGAAGCACAAGGCACGGACGGCGTTTGGAATTTTACCGGCTGGTGGTTCCTTCTTGTATTGCTTTGCGCAACTCAGGATATCGCTGTTGATGGCTGGGCTATTTCGCTTTTGTCGCCTCAGAACATCGCATACGCTTCTACAGCACAAACAGTTGGCCTTACCGCCGGAAATTTCCTATCGTATACGGTCTTCCTAGCCTTTAACTCCCCCGACTTTGCGAACAGGTGGTTCCGCGCAGTTCCAAAAGCCGAAGGACTCATGACTCTGGGAGGCTATCTCACATTCTGGGGCTGGGCATACCTGCTGATCACCTTGGGTCTCGTGTTATTGAAGAAAGAAGACAAAACAACCGAGCGAGATGGCATCATGGACGTTTACAGGTCAATGTGGGGTGTGCTGAAGCTAAAGAATATTCAGACTATCATCATCATCCATCTTATCGCCAAAATCGGCTTCCAGGCAAATGAGGCTGTAACCAATTTGAAACTCATCGACAAAGGTTTCGGGCAAGACAACATGGCTCTAGTTGTCCTTATCGATTTCCCGTTTGAGATTGGCTTGGGCTATTTTGCTGGCAAATGGTCCACTGAGTATACACCTATGAGACTGTGGTGCTGGTCGTTTGTGGGGAGACTTTCTGCTGCGGTCCTCGCTCAAATCGTTGTGATGATATTTCCCAAGGCACCGGTTCCCGGATGGTATATATTTGTTGTTGTCCTGGAACATGTGTTTTCAACTTCCATGAACACAATTATGTTCGTAGCTGTTTCAGCTTTCCATGCTCGAATCTCCGATCCAACTATCGGTGGAACATATATGACCCTACTCGCAACGTAAGTTCATTCTTGAGACCTTTTCACAATGCAACAGCTAACGGTGGATCCAGCGTGTCAAACCTCGGGGGAACATTCCCCAAATTCTTCGTCCTGAAACTCGTTGACATGTTTGCCAAAGCCATCTGCGTTCCGCCTACCGACCCTACTAATTTCAAATCTCCCGTTACGTCACCCTTCTCTTGTGCTCTTGAGACTGATAAACATCGCTGCATAGCAGGCGGTGGAACATGCCATGTCGAGCGCGATGGCTTCTATATCACAAACGTTATTTGCGTAGTTATCGGTGCAGTGACCTTCTGGATGTATATCAAAGGCTCAGTGCTCAAGCTGCAGAAACTACCGTTACGAGCATGGCGCGTATCTCCAGGCAGTGGGAGAAAGTGACTGTCAAACAGCGAATAGATGCTTTTTTTCGATATTTTTGAAGATAGAACCTTTGGCCTCGGTTGAGTAGGCCTGATGTATTACTAGATACTCCATAGTTAATCAACCATCATATGCTTTCACCATCATTTCTTCCTTTCGTGAATCATCTAGTTAATGAAAAGCTTTTTAGCCACTCCCATCTGAAGGGCGCAGTTCATCCGCCTTGGGAGCTCTGGGCACAAGAGCTGCGGCTGGTCGCGGGGCCGTTTAGTCCCTGGTCCAGGGTCACTCGGCTCCATTGCGGCCCCCGAGAAGCCCGCGTCGGATGAATTCATGTCGACCCGGCATAACGTTGAGCTGTAGACGGCAGCATTGTTGCATGTGCATGTGGAAGACCTTTAATCGTGACAGGACAACCTGTGAAACATGTATAACTATCTGCCAGCCGCGTCCTTGTTTGCGGCTTTTCTCTGCAGATGCACCGCGTGATATAAGTCGATTGTTTGACTACAGAAATCCTCTTCTCTTCCTACACAGTCCACGATCGATTAACGATTATCTACCATTATGCTGAATACAACGAATACGGCGCTTATTCTCGTGGCTGCGGGTGCCCTGCACTTTGGATACAGATATGTCCGGTCGTACTTGGAAATAGAACGCATTCGAAAGATGGAGAACGCAGAGGAGCCACCAAGCGACCCGGACGAGGGCCTTTTGGGCATAGCTATCTACAGGCGGATGGCTAAAGATCAGGGCGAGCATGTATTTCTCGAGGAACAGACCAAACTGTACGAGAGACTCGGTGACACGTACAAAGCCAACCTATTTGGACGACCATTTATCGACACCCGAGATCCGGAGAACATCAAGGCAATTCTGTCAACCCAATTTGAGCAGTTTTCTCTAGGAGAGAGTCGGCTCGATGCGTTTCATCCCATGCTTGGAGATGGTATCTTCACGCATGTCTACGGTGGCGGCCCAAAGGGAGAGCCCTGGAGGCACTCTCGTGCGATGCTTCGACCCCAGTTTGCGAAACAGCAGATTCAGGATCTCGAAAATTTGGAAGGATTTGTTCAGACTCTTATCAGCAGGATACCTGGCAATGAGACCTGTGACTTACAAGAGCTCTTTTTTCGTTTGTCGATGGATACTGGTGAGCATTCAACGGAAACGGAATTCTGGCCTCAAAGAAACTAATACAGCTATTCTAGCAACTGATTTCCTGTTTGGAGAGAGTGTGAACAGCCTCCTTCCCGATAGCCCTCCCAGAGAGACTCGATTTTATCATTGTTTCAGTCGAGGCACAGGTATGAGCCAGCTCTATCTCTTCCATCCCCCGTGGAATCTACAATACTCACTAACTGTGCAAAGAAATTTGCATGCTACGCTCCCTACTAGGAGATTTATATTTCCTTCAAAAAGATGGCCGTGAATTCAAACAAATCTCTGCATTCGTCAAGGAATATATCGATAGATTTACCTACAAGGCTTTGCAGCTCCACGCAGATGGGAAGCCCACGTCCTATGATGCTAATGGTAAATATATCTTCCTCGAGGAAATATCCAAAAGCATCAAAGACCCAGTGCGGTTACGGTCAGAACTGCTCAACATTCTTCTCGCTGGAAGAGATACCACAGCAAGCCTACTGGCCATTTGCTTCCACCAACTTGCAAGGCACAAAGATGTCTGGAACCAATTACGCAACGAAATTATGGAAAATATAGGACATAGACATCCAACCTACGAGGATATCAAATCCTTGAAGTACCTGAAATACGTGCTTAACGAAAGTGGGTTGACAAAATTAGTATTCATAAGACAAGTGTGAAATATCTCATACTAACATATTCCTAGCTCTTCGTTTGTTCCCTGTTGTCCCATGGAATGGGCGCGAGGCTGTTGTAACGACGACTTTGCCGCGCGGTGGCGGTCCGGACGGAAAGAGCAAAATCGTGGTGAAGAAGGGGACGTTTGTTTTCTATTCCCCCTGGAGTCTACACCGAAGCAAATTCTACGGGGAAGATGCGAACGAATTCAAACCGAGTCGGTGGGAAACCTTGCGACCGGCATGGAATTATATTCCGTTCAACGGAGGCCCTAGAATCTGTTTGGGACGTAAGTGCTATTGCTGGATACTTTATGATATCACCCTACAGGCTAAAAGAACCATTTGCTGACATATCAACCAGAACAATATGCCTTGACCGAAGCTTCTTATGTGGTTATCCGGCTTCTCCAGGCCTTCAAAGACATTGACAACCGAGATCCAATCGAACCATTTATCGAACATACAACGCTCACTCTCTCGAGTCATACTGGAACCAAAGTTGCCCTTACACCCGCTTGATCTCATTTTTCAGAATGGATGATATGATTGCAAACTTTTTGGGGGTATTTTCTAGTTATATTTGTATCGCCTGTGACTTTCCCAAAGGTGGCCATTCCGCGCGTTACGTTTGTGTTTTTAAAGTTCATCTGCTTCAACTACGCTGTACAAAGTAGGGGGTTTATGTGTGTACGGGTGTAAATATATGGATTCGCTAACCGGGCCCTCTCAATTTCATTTCTTTGCGTTTGATGTATCTCCTGATAATATACCGGCAACCAATACAATAGATGCAAGCCTAAACAGCTTCATCAATCTCCTATGTGATCCACTCAGGAAACTTGACCAAAAAGCGTCCTCTGGCGAAATATTATCGCAAAACATCAGGGTAATATCAGGACTAACCGGTTGCTCGAAACGGACATCGCAGACGCCAACGTGGGACCAACGATAGTATCAACGCCGTCGGAATTCGGTTCTACATATTCGCAATTTCCAGCCTAGTTACTCCTAAGGGTGCCGACGCCACGTAATATGTACGTATATACGCCCTTGAAAAGATAAATCATCGAAATTGACGAGGAAAATGAGTTTGATGACAACAGTAAGGATATTTTTTGGCATCATCAGGGGTTATCCGGTTCATCCGTCGAAGCCAGCGGTTTCTGCGCCGTGAAAACATAGCTATGGGACAAAGTTAGCCACGTTGGCCTCGAGTTCCTAGAGTGCACTCGGCGAAGAGTACATACAAGTCCATCTTAGCATGGATATCATGATTTCTTGTATCATTCCGTGCTCCCGCGCACATTGCATACACCTCTTGCTCAGTCCATCCGCTACGGGTCAAAACTGCCATCGAGGCCGCCTCCAAAACTTCCGTTAGCTGTTGAACATTGAGTTCTCCGAGTGTTCTCTGCTCAAAACAAACAGTTGACTATTAGTGACGGTAGTTCCCAAGGGCTAAAAAAAGGGAGAACCTGCATTGTTTTCGTCAGGGCCCCAATTTCCCAAGGGAATGGGAAATTTTCTCATTTGGATATTAATGAAACCAGCGTCCTGAAGCAATTCTGCAAAACTTGGCTCTAATCTGGTCCAAAATCCCATATTGGCAAATGCATCCACGGTGGACTTGTCCCAATGCTCAAGGCATGTGCCCTTGATGGTGTCATCTGGGGAATTGATCTTCGAGTCGAAATCCTGGACTTCAATCCAGCCCCCAGGTCTGAGAGCGCTAGAGTTAAACGGAACGTGAGTATCGAGTTATTTATGTTCCCTGGGGTTCTTACTTGAAGGATTGCTGAATTAGATGCTTCATATCTTTGATAGCGAAAACCATATAGCGGGAGTGGATGAAATCGAAGGGGGAATCGTCATATTCCCACTCTTCCTCCACGTCGTCAACAATGAATCTGACATTTGGAGGGATGCTTAGACTTGGATTAGCAAGCGGACAAAAGTAAAGTCATACAAGGCTTCTGCTTACCTCGCAGGTTGCGTGGGACTCAGGTCATTTCCAATCACCTATGCGTACCGTCAGCTTCTTCGTCCACATTCAGGGTGGATTGTAGCATATTACCTCTGCGGAAGGGTACTCATCGGCTAGCCTCGACTGTCAACAATTGAAGCTGTGTATAAAAGTAGGGTCATACCAAAGCTGATCGCCCACTGTTAATGATCACAGTTAGCCCATTCCCCATCGCAGACTTCAAAATCGGCACTCCACGACTTACAGATCCCGACCCCGTGCCTATATCCAACACTTTTTGGGGATTTGGGCCGACTGGCGCAAAGTGCAATCCCCCCATGGCAAATCTTATCATCTGGTCAACCAGTTCCAAGCGCTGCATCTCTTTATCATCATTCGGAAGAAGATACCCTTGGCTGCACGTTAGAGTCAACGGCCAGCGGGATGGACAGCAAAGTACACTCACGCCCCTGTCGAAAGGCATGATACCGCCTCCCATGTTCTTCTGGATATTCCGTAACGCTGGGAGTCAAGGAAACCGAGTAGGAGGACCTGATTGTGAATTGTCAACGTCTGCGCTCCATGAGAAATCCCGAGGGAGCCTACATGGCATCCGAGAAGGTTTCATCTTCGAACTAAATATTGTCAGTCACGCCAGCATCATCCTCAGTGAGTACGAAAATCGGTGAAATTGATAGAGCAATTGATCAAACAACGCTCTAGGAACTCACCGGCTCTTGACGGTTCCCCGGCGCTGGAGGAAGAGAAGGTCCTGCTTCATCCATGAGGGGCGAGATACATGCTGTAGTCATGCGGTAGCAAACTAAAGCAATGAACGTCAAGCGACAACGGCAAGCAATCGAGAGAATGCCGTTGATCAATTATATAGCATGACCGCCATACGCCGGAATGGCCATCATTACCTAGCGTCGTGCCCACCTCGCCCCCGGAAACTCTCTCGTCTCTTATCGTGAAAGGGCGAGGTTGCAAAAGTTGCAAGTCGAAAGGTTCCGACTCCACGGATACGGCAGAAAGTTAGATGAGATAGAATAAATCCCAACGGTTTGTCAGGCAAATCCTCTACGCCTCGCAGCTAGGTTCTGAAGTCAAAAAGAACGAACTTGATGAATTCTTGGACTAGAGCTCTACCGTCGGACCATAATCGTATATGCGATAGCCTTTCCATGGGCTGGTTGATGCGTGAATATGAAAACATTTGATATCTGGCCGCTCTAGGTAATAACAGGTACATAAGTGAGAAGATCTCCGGGTGATAAATAGGTCTGGTATTAAGAATCGTAGATCGAGATTCCTGCCTACAGAAGCGCGTAAATCATCAGATTAGAAAGAAAGCTGGCAAAAACGGAGACAGGGTTAAAGCATCAAATGATCTGATAAAACAAGGAGCATGAGAGAAGTAAATACCGATTATACAGAATTGGCAAAGTGTAAGCAAATGACATTGAAATCCAACCTTCTCTAGACCATCTAATCACCCATTATATCGTCTTCGATAGGGGTCAGTGGTGACTCCGCGCCTTCGCGCTCGCCATGATCCTCGTCATTCTCCATGGGCCCTCTAGAGCGCAAATCGTCCTCTTCGTCATCCTCCGCGGGTCGAATTTCCTCTTCTTCCTCTTCCTCCTCATCATCAACCACTCTTTCAGTAGATTTGAACTTGCCATTGCTGATATTCGCAGTAGTACCGTTCGGCCGTTGCGGTTTGACCGAGGATTTCAGGACACCTCGAGCTGCAGTTGGCGCTTTGTCCTCCTCTAGATATGCCAGAACGGCTTTATAGTTATGGCCTAGTCGCGATTTATGGCGGAGTAATTTCGCTTTTAGTTTACCCGCATTCGAGCCCGACGAATCCAATACATGACCAATAATCGCTAGGACAATCTTGCCTGTGAACTCGCAGAGCCTTTGCTCAGCTAGGAGCTTGGCACGCATGCGACGCGCACTCGACTGTACATCATCCTCGTCATCATCCATTTCATCATCCTCCTCGTCCGAGCTAGATTCAAGATCAGACTGAGACTCGGGCAAGTCTTCATCGGTTGTCGTTATGTCAATCGTGTGATGAGATTTCTTAGCGTATGCTTTCAATACAGCATCGTGGATGCGAGATATTAATGTAGACGCTGCCGGGGAAATATCTTGCACTAATTCTTCGACTTGCATAAGAGTTTCATTGTCGCCGTCCTGGGCCTTGTTTGTCACTGTATGTCGGAGAGTGCCAAATACAGTCTGCAAATCTAACAAAGTCGTAGCGGCTGCGATCCTTGTATTGTCTACCCCTTTCCGCGTTTGCATAATAGCCGTAAGGGTGGAAAGAAATGATTCTCTGCGTGCCGATAGGTTCTCAAAATATCGTTCATTGAAAGATGCCTTTCCGTTTGATAGACCAGAATCCAATGCCTGAACTTTCCACATGAAATAAACAAGTAAAGTCCTAAAAGTGTTGAAAATCAATTCTCGCTCCAGGGAATCGACCTCTTCATCAAAACTCGCCTCGCGTAGCCCCCGTTTAGCTACGTCCAATAATATATCCACGGCTGGTTGGGTTTCAGAATTCCGCTTTTTGGAATTCTGCGCCGACGTTTCGAGCGTCGACGTACAATCAGCTATACTGGCCAGATTTGAGATCCGGGCGACATTGTTCTTGAGTGAAGAGAGGACTCCAGCAGAAAGTGTGCTAGTCTCTTGAACACGTTTATTTGCAACAACCGTGCACAGCGCATCCAGCGTATCATCCCACAACTCTTGCACTTTATTTTCCATTGCTTCCTTGAGCTCCTCAGATGTTCGAGCATGGAGGAAGGCGACCGTCGCTTCAGCCAGCACATTTTGGTCAGAGTGTGTCAAGAATTGTTTATTGATATTGTTTAAGATTTCAGCATACGATGCAGCGTCTTTTTGAAGGTCCTGAATCAGGTCGAGGTTGACAAGGTGCTCGAGTCTTAAAACTGCCGATGCAGCCTCTGGTGCGGCACCAAATTTGTTTAGCAGCTGAGGAATTATTTGCGAGAGGTTATGGGCGATAGCTTCTTGCTTGGCTTCCATCCTCTCCATCAGCAGCTTTGTTTTCCTGCCCTTCTTGTCGGTATCGGATTTGGATATCTCTTGAATGTGAAGTTTGACCGCAGCACTTAGTACTTCTAGCAGAATAACTTCCTGACCTTCGTCAAGTTTATATAGCTGCTTTACAGCTTCGGCGGCGTCATCATCTTCACCTGCTGACTCTGGTATCTGAGAATGGTCATAGAGCAAATATCCGGCCAGAGATTCCCACCGGTTCAGGTCCTGGAAATGAGGATAGATACTTTCTGTTGCAAGTGCAAATCTGGATTCCACTTGATTGCCAAATAAATCGGTTTTCGTTGTGAGCTCGCGATTTTCGGTCATTTCCGATTGTTGCTCGTCGTAGGCTTGAAGCATGTCTACCAAGCACTTGTATTTGATCCAAGAGCGTCTGGGGATCTTGAAATCGTCATCTTCGTCGTCATCTACAAACGATTCGCTGAGTTCTTCTTCCAGGCCTTCTATTTGTGAGTCGTAGACGTCTTGAATATTTGCAACGAAAAATTTGCCAGCCGCTTTTCGCACCCGCGTCTCGCTATCCAAGACAAGTCTCCCAACGCCGTCAATGTCGTCGGGCTCCAATAATCCGGCGTCGCGGATCAGGTCTGATAATTCCACAGCAGCTGCTCTAACGCTGCTTTCGGCATCTCTCACAGCCATTTCCACGATCCTTGGACGGAAACGTTCTGTGAACGCCCTGAGACCTGGTATGTTATCCTTGTTCTGGAATAAACGATGGAGTTGCTGAACAACGATTGATCGCGTGTGTGGAACAGTGTCTGAGAGAACCCAGCCCAGATATCGAAGATACTGGCCTTCGAAGAATAGCTGTTTATAAGTGACCATCCATAGGCCAAGCGCAGACATACATTCCGCCCGAATTTTTGGATCAACATCCCGATACCGGTGAACGAAGACGGTGTCAAAGGAGTCATGGAGAACGTTATCTATCACTTCGAGTTTTTGTTCGTTTTCTTGAACCTTGGACTGGAGAGCGCCCACCCTGCCTTTATTAACCGTTTTCTTCTTCTTTTCCGTTTCGAGTTGCTTCCGGGTGTTCGACAATGTCGTGGAGACTTCTTTCGCGACGTAACATAATGTCGTAACGATTGTCAAGGAGATGATCGTGGCAGTATGCCTGAATGGTCGGATAGGGGCAGAGGACATTGAAGTAATCCAAGCCTGAATATTTTCTAGCAGCGCGGCATCGTTATACAGCACCGAAGCACTATGGATTGTTTTGATGAGTGACTCGAAAAATCGGGTCAGTACGGATTGAAACCCTCTAAATTTTTTAGATCTCGATATAAGGGGGTATTCGGTAATACTCTGCGATTGGTATTCCTCTTGCAAATCGTCCAGGCGGCTCGCGATGTTGTCTACGTCTTCGATGTCGTTGTCGTCGACTTTCAAATCGGTGCCTGAACATCGCAGGATAAAATTTACAAGTTCGCGCATCGCATGAATATTATGCTTCTCGTATTTTGTAAGCCACTCCGCAGCAACGGCGTCGGTAGTATGACCGCGAGCAAAAACCTCAGCTGCCATGAAATCGATTAGCATTGTGTGTAATGTATGCAATCCGAGCCCGGCGGTGCCTACCGTATAATCCTTCCTCACCAGCAAATCCACTTGGTCGAACGCGCGGTTTTCTCGGCTTCTTTGGCTTTCTTCCTTCACCATTGACCAGCGGTCGTAAAGCAAGATTCGTTTCAATGCCGTTCGCGATCCTCGGTTTTTTGGTGGCACGTTTGGCCCTCGACGGGCCCTTATTGCTCTCCTTGGGCTGTTTCCGTTTCGCAGCCTTCTTGGTTGATCTTCGCCTTTCCCTTAGCTCTTCTTCATCGGGCTCACCTTCGCTCTCATCATCTTCCTCCTCTTCCGCATCCTCAACCTCTTCATCGTTGACATCGTCGCCGGCATCGCCTGAATCTGACGCGTCGTCGTCTTCGCCATCGCGGCGTGAGCTTGTACGTTTCCGCTTCGTAGTCGCAGAAGAGAAGGTTTGCGAAGAAAAGAATTCCGGTTTCCGCCGCATGCGCCTGGACTGCCGTCTGCGTGTATCTTCGGCCATGTTTGACGGGGCGTCAGACAGCAGACTCGAGTCACGCTCGTCGGCAGCTGTGGTGTCTTCCATTGAAACGGGGTGCGAGGGCGCGGAGATGCGCCACTTGGTGAATATTCAATTATCTCAGCTGCTTTTATGAGGCAGAAACGGTGAGGGCGGTTTGTTTTGGAGGATCGGCAAATTTGGACGCGACAAAATCGGAGGATGGAGACGCGTTGCTGTGCTGGGTGGGGTGGTAGACGGTAAAGTTCTTCTGTCTAGGCAGCAGCATGCACTAGACGGAGCAGCAACCCATCGATCGAGATAGTTGTGCACCGGATGAATCACCGTTGGAAACCGACAAACGCTGGCGATGGCAGACTTGGTGTGGGTGAGAGATATACCCGCGAGACACCCGTCTCATCCCTCAATTGTGTCACGCACCGCACCCTAGCCTGTATTGATACTTACGGTACGGCAGGATACCGCTCATATACGCAGGTTTGGCTGGAGGTGTGTAATATATTACGTGTTTTCGAGCCGCATTACACTTACCGTTGACAACAGCATCGGCTGCCCGCACGCCTGAGTAGCTCTATTGATGAGAGTCGGAGGAGGCCGTTTGACCGAGACTGCAAATGATGCTGGGAGGAGTTATCTTTCACTGCATGGATATAACATAGATTTATCCGTTCATGCTGCAAACCGCCCAATGGCCGCTCCGCTCCTCTCAGCATGCCGTCCAACATCATAAACTCGCCGTTCTCGACCTCAATTCCGCCAGGACACGGCGAGGTTGTCCTCTCGATTCTTCCTCCCGGTATCCCTTCTATTAGTATACTCTCGTACAGATATCCTCTGAAGTTGATATCGCGCATACCCGCCTGCAGACTCGATTCCAAGTACCCTGCCTCCGCGACCAGACCAGTACACCTCTATCTCCTTTCTTACGGCGGAGGATTCCTACCAGGTGATCATATTGAGGTATCGATAAAACTGCAGCCGCGAAGTCGCCTCGTTGTTACTACTCCGCAGGGTAGCACGAAAATATACAAAACGGAGTCCCAAGCGGAGCGCGATAAGCGGACCGTTCCTGGTTCCAAACTGGACAGAAGCCAGCAGATAATAAACGTGGAACTGTCCGCTGAATCTGGTCTATGCTACTTGCCTGACCCGGCTGTGCCGTTTGAAAAGAGTAGATACGAACAGATTCAGCGATTTACGCTACTTGAGGGCGAAGATTTGAGCAGGACTACAGCTCCATCAGCCAAAGATGGAGAAAAGGACAAGAGCTGTCATCTGGCCAGCCTCTGTGTACTCGACTGGGTAACAGAGGGTCGCAGTGCAAGAGGCGAAAACTGGGCGTTTGATCTATGGGAGGGTCGCAATGAGGTATGGGTCCGGGACTGCAAAACGGGCAAGACAAGGCTCCTCGTCCGCGACACGGTAATCTTATCCGATGAGACCAGTGCATCAAACGAGAACGACACTCCTAACGGAGACATTAGGCAGCATAAGCGTCAGGCACAGTTTTCTGCAACTCCTCTTCCGATCTCTTCTCGGACGGCTCCTCACGGCGTGTTGGGAACGTTGATTCTATACGGACCCCTATTCGATTCTCTATCCGCATGCTTCATGGAAGAATTCTCCTCCATGCCCCGAATCGGTAATCGCTATGGACCGTCTTCTCAGCCTGCCCACGAAACGGGCACCAGCAAAACCAGCAATGTTACGTGGACAGCAGCACGCGTCCGCTCACGCTTCGTGATTGTTAAATTCGGTGCACCAGATTTCGAGTCAGCCAAATGTTGGCTAGGAGGCATACTTCGCAAAGAAGGTAGTGTCCAGAAGGAATTTGGTGAAGAAGCACTCTTGTATCTCTAAAGCAAATTCGACATTTGAACCGGGCTTCTCGTTCAAGGAAGACACGGAAACAAACTTGCCAGTCTAGTAGGTATATTTTACAAGATTGCTGTAAAACATTATAGATTCTATAGCTGGATAGAGCAAAGACATCTCATTTGTAAACAGATATTGCATGACAATAATCCCTCACTCCAAATCGCCAGGCCTTGAAAACAGTCACCAACAAATGCATCGCTCTATTTTGCAAGAAATACTATGCGCCGATCAATGCACCAATATGGCCCTAAAACCTCGGGGATATTAACTACACGTTCCATCTTAAACTCCGCGACCAGTCCGTTTTGGTTGCGCCTTTCAAATCATCGACATTCAAGATATCAACGCCTTCGCGAATCAGATCTGTCCAAATTAGGTTACGCAGGCTGCGTGGCCAGGACGGAGTATTCCAATATCGTACTTTGAGGCCTCGATCGTGTGCAGCTTTGATTTGGGATTTTACCAGATTCCGCTGAGTGTCTGATAGTTGGAATCTCCACGGAAATCCGATAGATTTACGAAAAGACACCGACGCATAGTAGCTGTTGGTGAAATCGTAAGGAATAGATACCGCCGCATCCTTGGCTGAGGATGGCGCAGCATCTGATAGTTCCGCCAATGGCGCATCAAAGAAGATGTCCCGATAGCTCGAGTTGCCTACAACAAGGTCGAAAGGAGCATTTCCGGTTGCAACGACTGTAATAGGCCTTTTGATGACGGCCGTCCCGTTGAAGTGAGTAAGGTAGCCCCTTTCCCGGAGAGGAGTCAGTTGCGATGTAAGATATGGCCAAATATCAGAGCCATTCGTTTTGAAATCCACCAGAAGAGCAAGGGTTTGATCTGGTTTCGTATCGAATATTCCATTTGGAGGATTATGCCGGGTAGGTTGAAACTGCGTAGCGGGGTTCTGCTTCTCAAGCAAGCTCAGAAGCGGGTCAATGTAAAGGCTTGTCAATGTGCGATTGATAGTAAGCGATGATTTCGTATGCCCGACGTAAAGGTCGTGATTGAATAGCCAGACATCTGCCTCCACACCGATGCATCCGGCCTGAATAGCGGAATAAAGGGGCACCCTGCGCCAGTAATCGTTATGAGAATGACAAGCCACTGGTCTGATATCGGCTGTTATATCAGTTGCCCAGTGTGCTAGATCCTCGCCTGGTCCACCAGGCTTCCCCCAAATGGCAACGGTCTCGTCGATATAACTCGGAAAGAAAGACACGAAAATCCCAAAGAGGAGGGAAATCAACTGAATAAAGCCCCTATAACGAATGCACGGATGTCAGGAACTAGCATTCGAGGGAGTTGGCAGCGGGAGAAGATAGTACGAACAGCATTATTAGACCACCCAGCATTACAAAGAGCAGTAACCGCACTCTTCTTGATCGTCGACAGAGACAAAATACCGTGCCCAGAGTCTGGCGACGGGTGAGAAATTCTCCCTGTTCAATATCCCCTTTTCTGTCGCTACCCCTCCCAATGCTCCTCAGCCAAACCATAAACCGGGCCAGAGGTCGACCGAAGGACATCATCCGTCGTGTATTTGAAGGATCACGCAAAGAGCCTTGGTGCAGGATATCGTTGCGACCACCGTTTCCCTGCCATGTTGATTGATTCAAATCCGTGTCACTCAGCAATGGTTCAGACTGGGGCTGGAGGGAGTTGAGAGAGTCTGCAAATCGCGGCATCGCGGCAATGACCCACTCGTCCCTGACGCCAAAACCCCGTCTTCCAATCTGATATCAAGGCGCACTGCCTGTTCGTTCACTACCAGCCCGACAGGAAAAATACCATGGTCAGATTTTGAATGGAGACAAGGGACCGATCGGCGCAAGGTGGCGGGAGAGGGACGCCCAGCCTGGAGTCGGGTTCGAGTCTCAGAGGCCAATGTGTTCGGCTGTTGGTTCCTGACAGAACAGACGTCTGTCTTAAATGAACGATCTAACTCACTAGTTACTTCAATAAATATGAGTCGATCTTCGCGGTGGCCACCGACTCCTACAAATAGGCTGCTGTTCCCTTCATTCGTGATATCCGGGAACCTCCGTCGCCAAATATGCTGACGTTTGACCGGCTTCCATACTTCCCCTGAGAGGCCTGGAACACGCTGAACCTTACGATTTCGGATTCTTCCTGATTCTTGCATTTCTAGGCTCTCCGTACACACATGTGGTGCTAGAACAAAAGAACAACATGATAGGCGTCTTAGAAAGGGAGAATGGATATACAAACTGGCTATCATACGCAATGCTCCCCATCAGTACGGATAAGACGACGTTTGGGGCTTCCCTCCGTCATCCGGCAATTCGGGCATTGAAGTCTCTTTCTTTACCTACTTGAGGACGGTTCTTATCCGAGGGTCTCTGCATCCGAAACATGCGGATGATCTGAATGCCCCAATCTCAATAAGCCGCACAAATTATTTCCGCGCTAGGTCGCGGTCATTTCACCTGTTCCCAAGGTAGTTAGCCATCTAAGCATAACCTGAATGTATTTGTCAAGGATTTCCGGCGGGATTCTCAAGGCCTCTAGATATGATCATCTGTACCCATCAGGGAGCGCCACAGGTCTGGATGCCTTATGTAAACACACCAAGCCACATCTCTTGGCGCAAGGGAAAGTGTGGCTTGTGCCTACCTCAAAATCTCACCGCAACGACGAAAGCCGGATAGATATTCTATAGAATCGAAGAGGTATTCCTAAAACCCATCTCGCTTATTTTCTACAATGCCTCATAAGCATAAAAGGCGCCGGAAGGATAACGAGTAAGTTATCGCCCACTGAACGTGGAATTGAAGTAGCAGACCAAGTTGATCGTCCACCTGTTTCCAGCGAACAATACGACCTACCGCCTAGCAAAATTGCGAAAGCGCTTCCAACGAGGTCAGATAATAAGGACAAGAAAGGCCTCCAACCCGAAAATGGCAAGCGAAAGAAGAAGCCGCATCATGGGGATGATTTCGGCGACGATACCCCCCGGGAGTTTGCACGGATGATGCGACGATTCCAACAGTCGACGAAGAACGGCGACACCGGAAGTTTAGACAATGCTTCCTCCGCCCACGAGAAAAATACTAAAAAGCGGAAGAGGCAAGGGGAACCCGCTACGGAGCCGCGAAAGCAGAACAAACCGCCCCAATCACAAAACGACGGTGTTTCGTCAAAAGGCGACGGCGCTTCAAATATCCCAAAAATCCTTCCTGGCGAAAGACTATCCGAGTACGCCGTTCGCGTGGACCAGGCTTTGCCCCTCTCTGGTGTGACTCGCAAGGCGGGTAAAACCGGTACCTCCAAGATGGACGCGGAGATTCGTAGTCTACGCGAACATCGGCAGACGAAGCATGAAAAACGGCTCTTACGGCTACAATCCCAATGGCGCGAGGAGGAAGCAAGGATACAGGAGAAGGAAGAGGCTGAGAGAGAAGAAAAGGAGGCTGAGAATGAAGAGGTAGAAGAGACGTGGAGACAGTGGGAAACTGAAGCGGGCAAGGGAAAGAAAAAGAAGAAAGGGGGTAAAAAGAAGAAAAAGAAGGGCGTTTCTGCAGCAGATGAGTTTGGCGACTCTGGAGGTTCTGATAGTGAGGGCGACCCGTGGGCGAAATTAAACAAAAAGAAACGTGTCGTGCAATCGAGCAATCCGTTTGATGTGGTTCAAGCGCCACCGGAGAAGTTGACGAAGGTTAGAGAGATCTTCAAGGTGCACGGGGTGGGCGGAGCAAAGGTGGACGTTGCAAACGTTCCGGCTGCAGCTGGAAGTCTGAGACGGAGAGAGGAGTTAGCGAGCCACAGACAGAGTATCGTTGAGGAATACAGGAGGATCATGGCCGAAAAAAGAGCGCAATAACCTTTTTGAAAATTAATAGATTGGGGTCTATATGGATATCCCAGAAATACTATACAAGTATACCAAAATTCAGACACCGCCTTTTATTGATACCCTTTTATACTTGAAAGCAAAACAGCCATCAAAGCCATTCAAGTGCCTGTACACCTAAGATTCTCCCTTCGATGACTTAACATACTCCGCAGCCCGTGCCTTGACCTCATCAACCATCTTCTCATTCCCACCAGATACACTCTCTTCAAAAGCAAGCCATTTCTTGAAGAAAAACTTTGCCTGTTTATCCTTCAGCTTCTTCGTTCCGGATTTGCTTCCATCGGCATTGACGCCGTGGCCAAGTCCAAGTACTCGTTCAAACAGCCGTCTCACTTGTTCCGCGTCGCCAACTTTAATCTCAAGGTCCAGCAAAATGTTCCAGAGATCGACGCGTTTGGGGAACGATGAGAGGAGACCTTCAAAGACAGTCCTGCCACGTTCGATATCTCCGTTGGGTGAACGGAATTCCAACTGTCCAAATTTGGAAGTGAGATCAATGTGGGTGTGGGCAGGTAGCGCTTGTAAGGCGCGAGGTAACAGTGCCCGTCCTCGATCCGGAGCGGCCATAGTATCGAAGAGAAAATTTGCGTAGTTCAGGAACAGGTTGGGAGATTGGCTGAATTTCTTTTTCAACGCAGCTTGGAAAATCTGATCCGCTTTCTGATCGATCTGTCAATACATGCACTTCCAGATTAAGAAAAGGGGCAGTGTCCCTTACCTCGGGTTTATCAGATTGAATGAAAATGCTTGCCATTCTCTCGTGGATCTCTTGGGCATCATTATACTGGCAAGCACGTTTGAACACCTCATCAAGCCTGTCATCTGTGCCAAAGGTGTTTTCCAAGTTCAGCATCGCAACCCAAACGTTCAACTTCTCCGTATCCTGACTGATGTTAATGGACCGAAGAGCACGCTCGGCAATTTCCCGCGCTTTGTCAACTTCTCCTAGTTCAAGATGGAACGCCATGTATTTCAACCAAAGCAAGCTGGAATCCGGCTCCCCCAGGAGTAGCCTTTCATAATCAGCCACGGTCTGGGGCCCGTTCACATCAAGGTCACCAGTCCTGTCGACTTGAATCTCAGCCTTCCGGCGCTTTTTCTTCTTCGATACGGCTTGCTCGTCCGAATCAGAGCCAGCGTTGTTCGAAGTCTGGTGAGCTTTCCGTGCGTTTCCTGTCCAGTCAAAACCGCCCGTGACCAGCCCGCCTGCTTCGTCGTCGTCGTCGTCGTCGTCAGCCATTTGCACATCGTCATCATTGGCGTTGGCAATTGGTATAGAAATCTGAGGAAGGTTCACACCGCCCATAATGATATCCTCTCCGTCATCAGAGGAATCATCACTTAAAACCGTTTCAAGGTTTACTCCGCCAAAGTCATCGTCGCTGCTTTCATCATCGCTGGCGGCTTCGCCCATATCTGAGTCTGCCTCGCTATCCTCATTAAAGTAGGAGGCTTTTAATCCCAATGATATCTGGGCTTTTTCTGTATCAACTTTAAGGATTTTAGCTTTCACGAGATCTCCTTGCTCATACAACTTTCGTGCATCGGCGACTTTCTGTTCCGCCATCTCGCTTCGGTGGCAAAGGCCGCTAAGATTTGCAGTGCCGTCAATTGTGACAAATGCTCCGAATTCTTCGACCTTTCGAACTTTCCCGGTGACGATTTGGCCTTGCTTCAAATCACTAAGCTGAAGTGGCGGTTTGTAGTTGGGATCAAGAGCTGATTGTTTCAGAGTCATCTGCACTTTGCCGGCTTCCGTATCCACCAAGGTGATTCTTCCTCGCACAATCTGGTCGACCTGAAATTCATCTTGCCATTCCTTCAAATAAGCATCAGACAAATCCGAGACACGGACATATGCCGTCACATTATGTCCAAGCATCACGAATAGCCCAACATCAGCCACCTTTCGGACAAACCCACGAACGATGTCGCCGACTTTGAGCTTGTCGACGGACGTAATTTCAGGGTCTTCAACCGGTAGAGATGAGCTAAGTACCTTTGAAGGGCGTACGGAAAGTGACACCTTTTTATTTGGCACATCGACATCAACAACGCAAACACGAAGGACCTCATTTTTATGGAATTTAGCCGGATTAATTTTCGAATAGTCATCGGCCATGTCAATCAATCCGATGGCCCCCACGAGTGAATCGTTAAGCTGCACAAGAGCCTGTCGTTCCGTAACCTTGGTAACCTTGCCCAGAAGAATCATGCCTTTGGAAAGATCGGATATCGTGAGAGTCTTGGATGATTCTCCATGTCTGGCAGTCAAATCAAGGCGGTTCTTATCAACGTCGACAGCTGTAACAGTAACTTTCAGGGCAGATCCAATAGGGAATGTCTTCTTGATGTCACCAGCGAGGGCAAGGTCATCAGAGATGTCCATAATTCGAAGTTTCCCCCGCACATTTGGCGAGATATTAAGCCATAGACAATCATCCCCAAAGTTATTGATAAATCCTAACAATGAGCTTCCAACCTTGACCTTTTCTATAGTTAGAGGCTCATATTCGGGAGATGCTAAGGTGCTTGGCTTTGTTGAGAGTTCGAACATAGGAGTTTTGCCTGAGCGATGACTGATCGGTAAAAACTTATGAGTTCGTGCGTCGTGAATACCCAAAACCTTGACTGGAACGATCTGCTTGGCCTTAAAAGGCCTAAGGGGTTGTTTCCGGTCTTTTATGTCTTCCCAGTTGTCAAATATCTCAGAAACATCGATACGGCCCTGAACGTTGTCCGCCAACAGGACATTGAGCTGGGTATCCTTAACTGAAGTGATCTTTGCCTTGGTGCATTTTCCAAACTCAAGATCATCGAAAGATTTGATATCTTCATCCACAGGATTGGCGACTGACAATCCGGCACTTCTTGTTGTCCCTTGACGATGACTTTTTCCTTCGTCTTTGATCTCGACTGGTTTCATAGTTAAAATGAACCTCTGAGTATCTTGTTCAATGGAAGAAACCGAACACGAAATTGTCTGGGAGCGCATAAATCCAAAGTCTGTCCGGTTTGAATGTTCATCATCCACTAGGCGTTTTGGAAGGAACCCTGTAAGTCCCTCTAGGAATTCGACAAATATCCCATCAGCAGTGATATTCTTAACGAGGCCTGTTACGCTCGAGTTCAACTGAAGCTCCTCGAACTTGGCTGGAAGTTTGCCTTGTTCAAGCGCAGTTTTTAAGCTGGGTTTGTTGCTGACCTGGATTAGGCGGTGAGCTTTCCGTATGCTGAGTATTAAAAGGCCATGAAGCTTTTGCCCCAACTCTAATCCGTGCGAAATTAGACGCAGCTTTCGAGGGTGACGAATCTGAGAGTTGTTCCGCGCTGAGTCTGGCAATCAATCCACCGTCCTCAAGCTTGAGAAGTAAATCGTCGCTTGACTTCTCGAAGACAACCCCTGAAACAAGTTGCCCCGGACGGACACTTTCCAAGGCGCCTCTATAAGCCTCCGTGACTGTTGAAGGATCTTTGCAAGACACAACCAATCTTCCCTTCTCTGAATCCACGCTCAATACATTGACGCTCACAACCTGACCGACAGTGAAATGCTGGGAAGGATCCTTGATGTACGCTTCACTCATTTCAGAAACCGGTAGGAAACCACGAACGGCTCCGTAGAATTGAACAACAGCACCGTTGTTCTGAATGCTCACCAGTGTTCCTGGAGACTGATTACCGGGGGAAATGTCCTTATAGTCTTTCCAGATGGTGGACTCGCTATGAAGCAGCGATTTCTTCAACGTTAACCGCAATTGTCGTTTTTCTAGATTAACAGACAAAATCCTAGCGGTCACTTCCAATCCCTCGCGGAACTTTTTCTCTGGGTGTTGTAATTTGGTATCGGCCATGTGCATGCCAGGGATGAGACCACTTATACCATCGGCAAGAGAGACGATAAGGCCATTGATGCCATCAGGCCCAATAAGGAGTTTTTCAATCTTCCCTTTCACAATGGCACCAACGGTAACGTCCTCCAGTCGTAGAAACGGTTGGTCAATGATATTCTTTTCCAAAGACAATAAGAAGAGGTTATCCATGGCATTAAATCCGACTACCCGACCTTCATGAGATGAACCAACCTTGAAAGAGCCTTCTGTAGGTGATAAAGACGAAATTTTCCCATCCTTAACTCTAGATATGTGGACAAAGCCAAGATGTTCGGTGGTGCCTAACTGCACATATAAACCCAGGGCAGGATCGACTTTTGTCACCTTGACCTCTGGGATTATTGCTGAAATGGCTGGCCTGCGCTTCGAATCCTGTGCGGCATCCACTGTCGTGAGTGAAAACTTGAGGACATGGTCAAGAATGGAGAACCCTAGCTTGGGCTTCTCATCTGACGAGACTCTATAGATAATCCTGCCTTTGACTTTCGTACCTAGGCGATATTTCTTTGTCAGATCTCTCTTATCGTCGGTCGAGCCAGAATGCACCGAGTCCACCATTGTGTCCAACATTCCCATGATTTTCCCGGCCATTCCGTTCGGAGTTACCTCTGTTACGAGAATTTCAGCCGCAGTGCCTGGAAGGAACGTATTAATAGTCGGTGCAGAACTAATATAATGCGATTTCTTTCCAGATGCGGCTTTCTCTAAGTTGGCTGAGAGCTTAATCACATTGCCAGCAGTATTGTGGCCAGTAACCACACATAGGAACACTGCGCCCTCCTTCACTTGAGAGAAGTCTGTGCCGGCGGGAAGTTCTTTGGAGGACATGAAGCCTCTCGTCTCACCATCCTCCAAACCTACGTCCATTATCAGGCCGTAATCTTCAACACTTATCACGGAGGCTTGCACGGTCGAGTCAATGATCATATCGGATCTCGAAAGGCCGGAATTTGCCTCGCGCGGGTCTATAGAAAGCTCGATGCGTTTTTTGCTTCTACCCCCCTTTTCATTATTGGCTGTAGTTGAAGACACAGATGCTCGAAAGTATTGGCCGAGTCGGACATATGACTTGAGGTCAAAATCATCATCGTCAGACTCCTCGTCATCCTCTTTGTCTGCATCTTTTAAAAGCTTCTCCACCTTTTCTTTCAGTAGCTTGGAAACCGCGGTCCATGGGATATATCCGGTCAAGTTGTTTGGGAGGGCAAGTGAAATATCGTGAGTGCCAATATTCGTGACTTGACCGAGAAGTTTGGAGCCCGGCGTGATTTGCTAGGAATTGTTAGCTACATCCTTCTCAGTGTTCATTTCACTTCAGCCTAGTACCTTGAAACTGAGACTTTCAATTTTGGGACCCTGGGATTTCGCAGTTCCTTCAACTGACTTTTTATTTTTCTTGTCCTTCTGCTTTTTGCGAGAGGGTTTAAGAGTAGCTTCCTTTTCCTCATCTGCTTGCTCCTCGATTTCCGAGTCAGCATCTGGGAGCTCCCCGTTTGAAGCACCTTTTTGCTCAAAAAGCACATCCCGAGTCGCCTGTATCTGGATTTGCTTTCGTTCTAACGGAGTGAGCGCATTGTTGCCTCCTCGAGGAAAGGCAGGAGCTTCGTCGCGCAAAACAGAAAGGGTCGCAGGTTTTGAGGTAGATTCTGGTTGCGGCTTCGCCTTTTTGACGCGACTGTCGCCCGCTGTTCCATCAATTGTCGAATCGCTTTTTCGCTTCACATCCTTCTTGTCAGGTACTTGGCTGGCGACCTTGACTCGTTTTTTCGAGTGACGAGAACTCGAGTCCTCCGGCGCATTTCCCTTTCGTTTGACGGAGCCCATATTCAAGAAACTGGGTTACTCCAGCATTGTTTCTCCTTCAACAGACCTTTCGTCAAGTCCGTATAAAAATAATTTCTGCTTTGGGCTAAGAGAATTTCTGTCCCCTCTCACCGCCAGGAACCTGCTTATATAATTAAGCTTAGTAACATAGCTAATCGACGCCACACGCACGGACCTCACCCGCGTCACGTCGGCACCAGCCACAGGAGCGTCACGCTTTAATTGAAAGTGGCGTCGACAATGCGCGACGTGAACCACCAGCAGTTCTCGCGGCGCTTTTCTACGGTGTGTTTCTTAAGATTATAGCAATATTGGATTACTTCTGCATGCTTTAATTTGGGAAACTGCCTCTATCTGCCATAATGGACATGTCTAATGCACTCCGTGAAAAGCAGGCGAGCAGATTGAATGAATATCCAGACCCTTTACCCTCTTCACCACCTGCTGTGAGTGTATCCCTGGATGCTCTGCCTTCATCCCCTCCAACCTTGAAGCCGAAAAAACCGCCGCCAGTTACCCCAAGGTCTTTTAAGCGATTCTTCACTCCAAGATCATCCCTTAATGGGTCCAAGACGCGGTCCAGCATCCGTACTAGTCGTCAGAGTCTGAAGGAATTATTAACTCCCCCATCAACATTGAAACGCAACGGCCCGGCTTTTCCAAATATCCTCAATGACGATAAGATCATTGCTCAGCAACTCCAAGACGCGCCGCGCACCCCAAACAAAAAGAGAAAGCTCTCGTTTTGTACCTCTAGTCCACCGTTGGAGTCGTCCCCTTTGCGGAGGGTCCGGGTTCCTCCTACGATCTATACCGATCCAATTGATAGGCAAGAAAATGCGGGACAATCAACACTTTCTTGCAATACCATTCTGGAAGAACCGGATATCGGAGAGCGGATACCATCGCCTATACGACTCCGCCGGTCAAACGCCCTCCAGGCTGCAAGCCCAAATTTTCTGCGCAATATATCCACAGGCAGATCATCGAGGATAACGCTCAGATCACCTCCCGCTAGTACAGGTCTGTCGCCCAGAACGACTTGTCAACCCCAAAAAGTAAACTAACGTTGCGTTCAGCTTGGCAAGATGAAACGGCGAATTTCTACAGTCGTCCAGAAGACCTCCATCGATGTTGGCAAGATGATCACCCTACGCTACCATTCTGCACAGCAGCTTGCCACAGTGAGGATGATACCCCCTTTCCCTTTTCTATGTCATGGTCAGCTAACCACCATGTAGCGAACTCCTTAGTAGCGGTTGGGGACGAGGAAGGTGGCATTCGTATTATAGATACGGCAAAGGAGGATAAACTTGGATTTTCACAGTCTTACCTAACGTTCCAGCCTCATATGAACTCAATCATGGACTTGGAATTTTCACCCGATGACAAGCTCCTGGCAACGGGCTCGGGGGACCAAAGCTCCCATATCATTGACATGCCGACCCAAACAGCAGTTTATTGCCTGTCAAAACATTCCTCTTCCGTTAAGCGAGTGCAATTCCAGCCTGGGTCTAATGGGAACGTGGTAGCCACGTGCAGTCGAGACGGAACCGTGAACATCTGGGACCTTAGATATAAAGCATTTGATAGGCCGTCGTTACAGCTGCGTTGCTCACTTGCTTCTGACGGCGACGACACAACGCGCTTGTCGACGGCGAAAATGAAATACGCTCAAGTATCCAATAGCATCCGGGGCGCACACTCAGACAGAGCTCGGTCGAAAGGGCAATCTGAGTCGCAGCCTTACCGGGATGATATATCAGTCACCTCGCTGTCTTTTCTTCATCCGGGCCGTGAGCATTTATTTGTCTCAAGCTGCGAATCGAATGCTTGCATTCGGCTTTGGGATATGCGAACTAGCTACTCCCTACGTCGAAAAATGTCAACTCCCCTAGCGATGACACAACAACCAGAAAGCCATTCGCGGTACAGGCAGTTTGGCCTGACTTCCATGGTGTTCAACGGCGATGGAAACAGATTATATACTTTATGCCGAGACGGCACGGTTTATGCCTATTCAACTCCGCATTTGATCCTGGGAGGTTCTAACGAGCTGTCCCTATCCAACCCGCCGCACCGGCGCTTCCCCACTGAGGAGGCCAAATTTGGCCTGGGTCCGCTATACGGCTTCCGCCATCCTCGTCTTCTTGTCGCAACCTTCTTCGTTAAACTTGCTCTCCGCAAAGCACAAAACGATAACACGGAGCTTCTCGCGGTTGGCAGCAGCGATAATTGCGCCATCATCTTCCCAACCAACGAGGGCTACTTCAACAGTTCCTCCCCGGCTCCCGAGTCCTCATCATCAACAGACGAAATGCCCCAACCTCCCGTTCCCAAGGGATTCACCAGCCGACGTATCGGCCTACACCGAACTAATTCAGGAACAAGCTTATCAGGAAGATTGGAACACAATATACCCATATATCAACATGGCACACCATTGGTAGAAGGCCATCAAAAGGAGGTTTCAGCAGTTTCTTGGACCAATAATGGGGAATTGGTCACAGTGAGCGACGATTTGCATGCCAGATGTTGGCGTGAAGGCCCCACTGCACGGAATCTCAGAGTCGGTGGTGAAACAGAGGGTAGACGATGGAACTGTGGGTGGGCAGAGGTGAACGACCCAGAATATGACGAAGAGGAGTGCTGATTTATATGACACCAACCATTATGGGTTGTTCAGACACAGCAAATTGCTCATGATTTCAATTTTGCTTGGAAAGGTATCACAAAAGACATGGCGTTAGGGATTTGATACGCTATTAGGCTGGTGCATGCACAGATTATAGAAAGGTTTTTTGTATGTAATTATGATCCGGCTTTCGTCGCATGTTAGGAAATGTTGACTGGTCTGTGGGAATTGCTTTGTGGATTTGGTAGTTGGTGTGGAGATGAAAGCAATCAAAGTCAGAAAGATGATAATGAGACCCCTTTTCAGTGCATTTCTGTCGTTTGCATATTGTAGGACATGGTGCAACAACTATGTGATTATTTCTAAACTATCGCACTCAAAACACCTAGTGGCCATGCCCATCATCCTCCGCTTTTTGTTCCGGATCCAACTTTATCAACGTATCAATCCTCATGATAGCAATGCATGCTTCCACTGCGCTCTTCAGTTGTTTAACTTTACTCATGCTGGGCTCAAGGACGCCTGCTTTCAAGGTATCAGCGACTTTACCCTTCATCAAATCAAGTCCATAATTCTGATATGCCTTTCGTTTTGCAAGAGCTTTCTCTTCTTCAGTAGCTTTGCCCTCGTCGCGAGACTGTGAGATGGCATGGCGGCGGCGAAGCTGGGAGATAAGTTCGATGGAATCTTTGGCTGCGTTGACACATAGCGTTTTGGGAATGATAAGAAGTGACTGAGCAAATTCGCCAATTGCTTGTTGCTCCCGTGAATTCTATGAATGACCGTTAGCAGCTAGAAAAAGGGAAAGACGTCATTCCAACTTACCACGGTGAGAGCAAAATACTCGAGATAGATATGAAGCGCAGTCTCCACAGCACCTCCTCCAGGCACAATACTTCCGCTCTCGAGAGCTCTTTTGACAGCACAAAGAGAGTCATGGACAGATCGTTCCATTTCATCTAGCTGAAAGTCGTTTGATCCACGTAGGATAATCGACGCTGAGGTATGGGATTTGGTTCCTTTGATGAGAATGCATTCATCGTCGGAAATTCGCTCCTGCACAACTTCGTCTGCGCGACCTAGACTTGACGGCTCAAACTTTTCATCGCCATTAAGATCTGACAGGGTACTGAGTAAGGTAGCACCCGTAGCTTTCGCGATACGCCGCAAATCTTCCTTTTTACATCTCCTGACTGCCATTGCGCCTCTTTCAACAAACATTTTAAGGCAAAGATCATCAATTCCTTTGGTCGTAAGGATTACATTGGCACCAGCCTTCAGTATCATTTCCACACGCTCAAGGACGATGCCGGATTCCCGTTCCCGAATCTTCTCAAGTTGCGTGGGGTCATCGACTGTGATATGAACTCCGAGCTTCATCCGCTCTTTCTGCAAGTTCATGTCTAGACAGGCAATCCGTGCGTCCGTAATCCGAGTGGGCATGGCCTGGGACGCGACGGTACAGTTCAATGCGTAACCATTGACAAGTATGGATTCCGTGGCACTCTTTCCATGCGCTTTAAGAACATTCACAGCCTTGACAGGATACTTGATTTCGTTTCTTGGGGTTGTTGTCTTGACCGATAGTATAGCATCCACCACCATGTTTGCAAAAAAGTCCGCATCCGATCCAATGATTTTGCTTGACATCGATGTCTTTGCAATGTTTATCAAGCTATCTCTTCCAAGATTTTCAACCTTGGTGCTAATATTTTCGTTCATATATTTGACCGCCTCGCGTAGAGCTAGTTTATACCCTGTGATAATGGTCGTAGGGTGTATCCGGTTCTTCATCAATTCGTTCGCTCGGCGAAGAAGCTCTGCGGCAATGAGTACGACAGATGTGGTCCCATCCCCGACCTAATAGAAACGTTAAAAATGCCCATCCGAAATTAGGAAGGGTAATCTACCTCCTTATCCTGCTGATGAGCTAGGTCGACGAGAATCTTTCCTGCTGGGTGTTCCACATCTAGCAAGCTTAAAATAGTTGCTCCATCGTTGGTCACAGTAACGTCCTAGCCTGGTCAGTAGTTTTCTGTAAAACAGAGCACAAAGGCTTACACCAATGTCGTCCACCATCATTTTATCAAGACCGGAGGGGCCGAAGGAGCTTTTGACAACGTTGGCGATCGCCCGAGTAGCAAGAACTACGCACACCCATCAGCAAAGCCTCAATACATCAGAAGCAATAGGGTATCAAACCATTCTGGTCTCGAATATCTTGTCCGCTGAGCTTCTGGCCCCCCAAGAACTGTGCCCAAATTAGTGAAGTTCTCATGGCCCTGTTAAGGGTCAAGACGGAACGTACAAAGGGTGCCAGAGTTCCGAGACTGCTCAAAAATGGCTGTCATTTTGGCTGAATTGAGAGCAGCAACTTATCAACAACAATCAAGCTCTCCCTTGTTGCCTTCCTACTGGTGGTGGAGATACAAAATGGTAACTTTTTTGGGCAGTGCAGTTCACCGCGCCAAGCACTTTCTGCCCGTAAGGCGGTGAAATCTTTTGATGCCCCTCGAAATGACTGATTCTGGGGAATCCCTGAGCTTCCATCGCTGACTCCCTCCTTCGTTTCTCTGTGTGCCCGGCGCATTCTCGTTCACTTGATACCCTTGACGACTACCCCTACTTGCTATGTCAAATCTGCAGCCTCGAGACGGTGCTGACACTTCGGCCACCCTTCCAATTCGGACGATGGACCCCGCTCCTCAGGGAGACGCGATCCCTGCAACGGGTGAACTCTCCAAAAATGCTGCAAAGAAGGCCGCAAAACAAAAGAAACAGGCCGCTGAGAAGGCTGAAAAGGCAGCTAATAAAGGCATTGGCAAATCTGAGTCAAAGACCTCGACCGCGAAAGCCCCCAAAAAGAAGATTGAGGGTGCCGCTCTTATTGGTATAGATGTCGCGAAGGAAGATGATTTTGCTGCATGGTACCAGCAGGTGCTATTGAAAGGAGAGATGCTAGATTACTATGATGTATCCGGCTGTTTTGTTCTAAAGGTGCAGCGGTTTCCATCTCAATTTTACTTTGAAAATTTGCTAATCGTTCTCTAAATATAGCCTCATTCTTTTTTCATCTGGGAAGAGATACAAGCGTGGTTTAATGATAAAATTAAGAAGATGGGTGTTAAAAACTGTTCTTTTCCATTATTCGTGTCCGAAGACGTCCTGAAAAAGGAGAAGGATCACATAGAAGGATTCGCCGCAGAAGTCGCCTGGGTTACACATGCGTATGCTTCTTCCATTGCCCGTTCTAGAAAACATTCTGGTTCATGCTGCTAACCCATGGCCAGTGGAAATAATCAATTAGAGAAAAAGATCGCTATTCGTCCAACTTCAGAAACGGTGATGTACCCATATTATGCGAAATGGATTCGAAGCCATCGTGATCTTCCACTTAAACTAAACCAATGGAACTCGGTGGTAAGATGGGAATTCAAAAATCCTCAACCATTCCTTCGCACTCGTGAATTTTTATGGCAAGAAGGGCACACCGCGCACTTAACTGAAGCGGCTGCACGCGAGGAGGTTCTTCAAATTCTTCAGCATTACGCTCATGTCTATGAGCAGCTTCTTGCGGTCCCAGTCATCCAAGGACAAAAAACTGATAAAGAGAAGTTTGCTGGTGGTCTTTACACCACCACTGTTGAAGGTTACATCCCGGCTACTGGCCGTGGTATTCAGGGTGGCACGTCCCATGGACTAGGTCAGAATTTTAGCAAAATGTTCAACATAACCGTCGAAGACCCTACTTCAAAACCCGATGAAAAGAAGCCGCCACTTTACGTCTGGCAGAACTCATGGGGTTTATCCACTCGTACGCTTGGTGTTATGGTGATGGTACATAGCGATAACCGCGGATTAGTACTTCCTCCGCGAGTGGCTGATATTCAGACCGTTATTGTTCCTGTCGGGCTTACGGCGAAGACTCCTGACGATGTGCGCTCATCGATTAACGCTGAAATTGAGCATTTGAGGTCCGTCTTAGAGGCAGCTGGAGTGCGGGCCGAAGTCGACAAACGCGAGGGCTATAGCCCAGGCTGGAAATTCAACGATTGGGAACTCAAAGGTATCCCTCTTCGTCTCGAATTTGGCCCCGGAGAGTCAGCCGGCGGCTTTGTAACTACGTCTCGTCGCGATATTCCCGGGAAGGAAGGGAAATCTAGCATTCCAATCTCTGAGTTAGCTACAGCCGTCCCAGCCCTTCTTGAAACCATCCAGGCAGACCTTTACGCCCGCGCAGACGCTGAATTCCGCGCCCATATCAAACACATCACGAGGTGGGAAGACTTCTGCCCTGCTCTTAATGATAAAAATCTTTGCATGATCCCGCACTGTTTGACAGAACAATGCGAAGACGAGATTAAAGAAATGAGTGCTCGAAAAGCCGAAGAAGAAACAGGCGAAGCTATTGATGCCAAAATGCCAAGCATGGGCGCAAAGAGTTTGTGCATCCCATTCGAACAGCCGGCAGGCATTGAAAAGGGTGTTACAAAATGTACAAATCCCAAGTGCTCAAAGATGGCAGAGCAATGGTGCTTGTTTGGACGTAAGTTTCCCTTCGTGTTAACACAGCTCTTGCAACCATGGTTTCAGCAACTAATCGAACCTTGCTGCTCTTCTCCAGGCTCATACTAAAGCAACTTTGGCATGCATCTTTGAAAGCTAGCTCGAATGGCAAACAACCAACCCCTAAGCCCACATGCTACCTATCATGCAGTTGCCAATTTCGTCGCGACATTTGGTAATCACAGATCTTCTTCAGTGCACGGAGTATATGTAGATGGTAACTAGCGGATCTCCACCCGATTGAAATGCAAGTCAACTCGGATAAGTTTCCTAGATCGAGATGATCAGCTTAGTGATGAATCACATTTCGTAGACGAACTCTCAATCAGTGATCACAGCGTCAAGCTTCGAGATCTGCAGTCGCATCCGACAGCCACACCCGCGTAAGCTGAGATATCAGAGGTCGGAGATCCAACCCTATCCGACGTCAGCTGCACAGCTAGCCAGCCCAAATTACTCTGTATGCAAGAGCATGATACACCACAAGTGGCAAAATTGGGATATTGAACATGCACATTCGTAAATCAGAGCGCTCACAAAACCTATTTCCATACCACCCGGGAGATCAAAGTGAGCGGGATTTGCCTTTCCCCCAAGGGCCAAATCTATGCACCAGGTTCTCCATTTGGAGTACAAGTGTAACTAACCCGGAATAGAAAATGGGAAAATTGGGTACCCAATATCTGCACCTTATGATGAATTGTTGAATAGCTCCAAATGATTCAAAACCAATACAAGGCCAAGAGATGTTTCATAAGGTTTTTCCATGATGCTTCTATGAGCTGCAATTCGCAACTAGCATATGTGTTACCCAGTGTAACTACATTCAACACAGATGTTGAGTACTCTACGAAGCTGCCAGTTCTCTATCTTGAAGAAAAAAGAAATAATCAATGGTCCTTGGGCCAGGAGAACTCTCCACAAAATTAGGAAAGCTTGGGGCCTAGCGGGTTTAGCAGTAAGGATAGAGCATCCGTCAAAATAAGACTCATCAGTTGAATTCCTGAGGCTATCAATGTCCCTCAAAATTTTAGCTTTCCTCCGCATTTTCAAGGCATCAGAGGTATCCTAAATTGAGATACAGCTCGTGAAAGTGACTATGCGAGCTATGCAAATGACTTCGATTGACAAGCTGCTTACGGAGTAGATCGTTCGTGAAAAAGATTAGGGAGATAACGACTTTTTTCGGATGTCGCTCTCACATTCGTTTAACAGCGTCGATGAGGGCTGAGCGTAAGTATGTCTTCGTTGACGTTCAAAGCGATAAGTGGCATCGCGTTCCAAATCCATCAGTGCAGGAATAGACAACTCTCGCCCCGGCGTAGTTGGGCTGCGTTCTGTTTCTTTAGAAGACGTTTTCTGAAAATATCGTGTTTCATATTTCCCTTTCCTCGAAAAATTAGTACTCGGAGCTTTGTGCCGTGGAACTTGTTCTTGGGAATGTTCTACTATTAGGACAGGAGATATCTCAGCACATGCATCAAAAGAGCCATCGGAATTGATTCGATGGAAGGCATCGTGAGAGTTGATTTCGCGAACAATGGCGTCTTGTAAAGTCTCTGTTGCCGTGCTGGGCTCTGTAAGTCGCGGACTGCACGCTTGCTTCAACAGATTTATGATCTCGTTTAATTTATGGGTTGCTGGATTCGGTATAGAGGCAGGGCCGTTTACAACTTCGGCGATACTGGGATTCCGTTGGCTTTTGGGAGAAGAGGTCTCAACAGAACGAGTACCCACTTTAACAAACATTTTGCGAGGGGCAGCTAGCTCCATGTTTATAGACAGATCTCGCACATTTTTCCTAGTCGAAAACGTGCATGGTTTGGGGAAAAGTAGAAGATTGCATTGAGGTTGAGGGACTTTTTCGCCGGCAGCCCTCGGTCCCGACTTCAGTCGGCTGGATTTTGGTGCTTAACCACTAGTTAGCTTTTGTTCCTGATTTTTAATGCAAGCGTATGAGTTGGACTTACCTCTCCTGCCCCCGGAACCAGCGCTTGCTAACTTATCATATGCATCGTTCATCTTAGTGTTCAACGCTGAAGTTGAATTGGCATGAGTTGTTCCGGTTGCTGGACGAGAGCCATTGGACGACTCAGTAGTTATCTTCGTTTTATCGAATTTTGATGCTTCATTTTCAATCGCGGCAGAAGAGTATTTTCGTAAGCCATGCTCTGAAGTGCTGGTTCTCAAATTTCCCCCTCCATTGTCAACAAAAGATTTGCGGTTAGACGCAGGCGATTGCGAACGCGTTCTGGTACGGCCCTCTTTAGTTTCCCGAACTTGTGGCCTCGTTTTCTGGACGCGCAAGTGATACCGCGAGGCATCACATGCAAGGCTACCTCCGTTTCGTATAATATTGCGGTCCGCCACATCTTCCTGGTATATCGCTGATATCACTCGAGCATAGGGATCTTGGACCTGGATCGGTGGAGTAGTGATATTTCGCTCCGCAATATCTTCATTATATAGGGTTAAAGGCGATACCGGCGTCGATGGGTAATTCTGAGGCGGGAAAATGGCTTCAAGGACATCAATATGGTGTTTTGTCCGTAAGGGGCATCGTTTCGGATCAATATAATGGTAGCGCTTTTCGGGTCTGGAACGGAAATGGTCGTGCAGATCCTCGAATTGCCTGTCAATTCCCAAAAACGTTTGATTCTCCATTTTCAAAAGGGAAGGCTGGCATATTTTTGGCGGATGCGCCTCTGTGAAGATTTTGAAGAAGTGTACGCCCCTCGATGGCGAGTAACAACCGAGATCCGCCGAATCAGGGCTACACAATCGGGATTGTATCTTCTCCGCGTTCAAGAACTTCTTTAACCCTACCATATTGGTTATTACTATTGGTTATTATTATTGAAAGGATGAAGTAGTCAAGACTTCGGCGCGCCGCGAAGATTGCCAGATAAACAAAGGAGAATGACGAACCGTTTTATAGGGGAGGAAGGCTGCGCACGGGATTACAATATCGATCAAGAGTCGGGCAAGAACATGGTTCAAGATTGATGAAGAGAGTTTGGCGATCAATGCAAGGGTAAGCGGAGAAAGTTGACCTGTATTCTCGAATTGCTCACTTGATGCCGTGCAGGAAAGATGCAAGAATTTCTCCTATCGTTACCATGATTTGAAGGATGCAGGCGTTCAATGCAATTTTATAATCAAGGCTGTTGCCCCGTCCCGCGAGAAGCCAAATTAGCTGGCATTGTGGTGATAGTTATTAGTGCACGACAGCAGGATCCACCGTCCGTATTTTTCACCCTTTTCTTTCAGAATCTCCTGACAGCTTTGGTCCCGAGGATTTCTGGCTCCACGGGTCCTCTAGGAACCTGAACCAACCTTAAAGCATGCCTGGATGCAAGCCTTTTAACACCCCTATTTTGTGATAAAATTCATCAGACCGTTGGCTGGTAGCCAAAGGGCGCGGTTGCAAGCATCAACACGGCTCCTGCCAGCCGTTCCCTTTGGCATTGTAGGTCCACAGTCCCGGCTTTAGCGCCGAAGCGGAGCATTTTTCAACGGCTGACCAGGAGCCCAGCTGCCCAGGACGGACTGTTGTTTGGTCTCGAGCTCCAAGCCGCCTTGGTGTGGAGCGCCGCTAGAACAGTTCAGTGTTAGGACAGCGAATTTCGCTGTTGTTTAAACAGGGGATTCCATGCTAGAAGCGTGATTGGACCCAGTCATTTTGTGCGATGCATGAAGCCAAATCGACAACCCGGCGATTCAGGAAAATACACGCTTGCAATGCTCACATGGATGTGGTGAACCTGAGAATCGTAGGCTGTGGGAAGGGCTTTGAACGCTCTGGCCGCATACCACGGAGTAGCGATTGATTAATATGAAGTTCGAGCACATGGTTAACTGGTTGCTTATCCGCAGCGGAACCAAATAAATGTTAGCTCAAGCCTAACCCATGGGAATGCTGATGTCACTAACCTCGGATGCTTCTAACGAGGAGCTCCGTGATCAAACGTCGTTGACGGTACAGAGCATTTGAAGTTGGCTGAGTTCCGCAAGGGAGCTGATGTTGAAATTACCCAAATCTACAACTCACCTGACCTGCTTCTTCTTCCGGCATATTGATATCGCAGCCCTAGTTGACTAGTTATTCTCTAATCCAGACCATGAGAACACGGCTTGCCAATTGACCCAAGTGCATTACTATCTGACAACAAATCTTTCCACTTGGGAGCTATAAAAGTCACGCCATATCTTCAGTACACAACCAGAAGAGCCGGTTGCCGGCATCATAGAAAGGAAGCCATAACGCCACTCTTGCTTTGAAACAATACACGGGAACAGGGCTCTAGCAGTAGTCGGGCCTCCCATCACTCTCATTCAATAACAATAGGCTCCTTGGAAAACTCAGTTTTGTTTTGGCCTTTCGGGTTCTCCTCCGCTGGAACCCATGGAACTTCAAGGTATCGTTTGACATCGTTTTCTTTGTTACTATGGCTTTGCGCACCCCCCATGGTCGGCATTCGCCCAAATGCAGCAGACGCCGACCCGAACAGCGCGTTGTTGACTGACTTCTCTGTTTTTCCGATAGCGATTGAACTGTGGGGACTAAGCCGGTTGCGAGGGGAATGAGGGTCCATATCGGTGATAACAATGTGCGGGAGTTGGTATTGTCTCCAGCTCCATTTGTCGTCTGCCGCAGGTTGGAATCCCGGGTAGCGAGTACAAAATGTATCTATTTGCGGTAGGGGCGCAATTTTTGGCACTGTCGGCTTTATCACGGGAGAATCGATGGATGAGGTTGAAGACAGGGAGATCGTGTCGCTCGGCGAAATCTCAACGTGGGAGCTAGTACTTATATGCGAGGGAGCTGCTTGCGAAGGTACTATTGCTTGAGCCCAGTTGTTTCCTTGAAAGTTCTCTGTGGGCGCTTGCGACGAGTTGAACGGATTGATAACGTCCTGCCAGGCTCGAAGAGGCAAGTCTGTGGACGCAGTATTGAATTGCGGCAGTACAGGCTGATTAGCTGCATCACTCGATATTTGATACCCGTTTTGCGGTTGAGGGACATAATGTGGAACGACCCAGTCAAGTCCATCTGAATGGCCCGCTGGTCCAACTCCAACGATTTCCATGTCGCTGTTAAACGTGCCGCCGAAACCAGTTGATATCGGAAACCCAGTATGAATCGCTAACGCCGAGTTTTCGTCCCCTGATCCAACCTTTCTGCGTTTGTCATCCTGAAATCTAAAATTTGATTCTGCATGTCGTTTCCTCGCCAGCATGCTCCTCCGTCTGATAGCAAGTGGGATGTCCTCCTCATCGTCGCCTTCGCCAATTCCGTTCATGTTATTACCAACCCCCATGCTGTAACAGCTGAGATCATCATCAATTTCCACCTTGACGACCGGTTCAGCGATTTTCGGGTGCAGATATCCTACCCTGGATGTAGGTATGTTGCTCTTCGCCTTACTGCTCAGTTTCCCTTTCTCAAGAGTTTTCACGCTTTTGGCTGCGCTGGATTGAGCTTTTCCTTTGCCACGACTGCTAGATGATGACAATCTAGCGGTACCTTCCGTCCCTCCCGGGAAAAGCGTTCCTGCTGGACTGTTCAACGCGCCGTTTTCTATTGTCTTTTTCAAGCGCGTAAAGCGCATTCGCGCTGCTGGTGGATTGATATTTGCAGCTTCGCCGACAGCATGGAAGTCGATCTAGATGTAATTTTGGTTAGCATTCTACTGGCTCATCACACAGATAATCAACTGATTTAATGTGACGAGGAGATTATATCCGCAGTTGTTACTGGAGATGCTGCTGTAGGGACGGAGCAGACTCACAGTCTTGTAATCGGACTTTTGCAAGCAGAGGTACAGGAACCATAGGTTCACGTCCAGCTGGAGTTTTGAAGGCATACCTCAATATGTGCACCTCTCCCTTGATGCAACACTTGATACAAGGCTAGAGAATCAAAAGCAGCCCTATTAAATTATAAATAGGAGCCTTGTATAGGAGCAGGGGGTTTGTTGAAAAACAAAAGTGTTTGGAGGTATCACAATTACAAGGAGACAAAGGTAAGAGGGTGAAGAATAGTTAGAAGAATTTCTACGTCAAAGAAGTCTCTAGATTAGAAAGGAAACTAGATGACGCGCAAAGGAGGATAAACTGGAATACCAGCATTAGATTAGAATGTCTTACTCATCGCTGCAAATAGGCGAACAGCTGAATGGAGAACCAAATTGTTCTCAAAAGCCCTAGAAGCATAGCTTTTAAAGCCATCAAGACCAACTGCAGACAAGGAGATAAGTAGCAAATAGAGTACCGGGACCTAGAAATTGGGATCCTAGGAGCTAAAGTGTCCAAACTTTTGTATTCATTTCATAACTGCATATCATGGTCTTCATCATCAGCCTGAGTCTTCTCAGTGGGTAAATTTGCAATTCGTTGGGCGGATTCTTTCGCAGCTTCTAGAAGGATAGTATGTGAAGCCCGAGCTGCTTCGACAGCACCATCCATAAGTGCGTCATGACCAATGCCGGTCACATCTCCTTTCAGCCAGACCTCGGTGATTTCATCGCGTGACGGCATATATCCCACTATACAGAGCGAAGCAATCTCCCTATGTTCAGATGGGTCAGGGTCTAGCACCAAAGATCTCCCGGGTTGTTTGCCCGTGCCATCTTTGTTAATGCTATCTTTATCGTCCACAATAGCCGCGACTCCCCCAGTATGTAAGTCCAAGCAGTCAATCCTAGCATCTACAATTGCCGCCGAAGCGACCGTTATAGAGTGCGCGAGAAGACTCATCAATCCCCAGCCGTCGACTCCGCCCAAGGGTCCCAAGGAAAGCGAGTCGGCCCACCACCGATCATCCTCTCCTTCGAGAATGTTTACCGTAACATCTAGTCCGCTCTTGGGCCATCTATCTCCAATGATCATGCCTCCGAGGGCAGTTTCCAGGTGGACAGCCAGGTCTCTTTCATTAATGTCTCGGATATACCCTCGTCGCCTTCTGCCAGCGAAAGGCGCAAATTTGACGTGGGTGGAAAGAAGAAGATTAGGAGAAAATGGCGCGGAGCGAGGGAGAGGCCTGGGACCGTGGACCGTGCATATGAGCTTTAGAGATGAGGTAGGCGGGATTAGAGTGGTTGGCTTTGCAAGGTCGCCAGGGAATTGTAACTCGAGGTATGCGGACCCTGATGCCGAAGGAATGATGCCAGTTTTTAAAACTGTAAATAATATCAGCTAAGTATCCCAAAGTTATTCAATGGCTTGTGGCATACATATTTTTCTCAATTCATTGGCTTTTCGAGTACGGGTCGGCCTTTCTACCGCTATTGTCTTTTGGCCCTCTACTGACAGTAGTGAGGCTAGAAAAACTGGAGGCCGAGTACCTCCAGCAGGACCGTTAATTCTTCTTTTATCTGTCATTGTAACTTATATGTAGCAAAAAATTGAGCAGCCATCGACGCGGTTTTGGGTGTGCATTGAAAATGAGCTGCTTGGAAGAGGTCGAGGTGCCCAGCTCCATGTTTGCATTGTTTGCGGGCTTACAGCGGAATTACATTTCCCCGATTTGGTTCCATAAAAATTCTTCCTTCGACTCTTGGAAAGACGCACAACAAAAAGTTGTCGATGCCTTCGAAATATCAAATGTTTTTCTACACGATGCACTAAATTGATAGGTATGTCACATTTCATTCTGCCGTTCGACTTTTTCATTCAATGAGGAAACCTTACCAAAAGTTCTTTCGTGGAGACATCCCATGATCCATTTGAACATGCATCACCATCTGACCGTTACTACGTCTCTACCTTATGCCGTGACGCTCTTGAAATATCTGGATTAAGCTAATTCAAGAGTTATAGGTCTCAATTCTATTTCATACAGAGCGTCAATGCTAAATGTAATTTCTCAAGGTATATCCTCTCTTTTGCTTCCCAGTCAATTCATTGAACCTATTTATCATGATGAGATCCTATTTTTTTCAGTTCTGCTTCTGCAATCACATTGAAGAAAACAAAATACCAAAGTAACGATCCTGATATCGCGCAATATCTTGTATACTGCAGTTTGACCTTTGACAGTTCTGCGTTGAACCTGTTGGCTAACTTTTGACAAGAACTGAAGTAGGTAATTAATCGTCACCCTGGCGGAGACTCAGAGACCTAGTCAGCTACAGGCAATGAAGACTTTATAAGACGAATTCTTCGGCATGCAACGCGACATCAATTTTGTATCGCGAATACACCGTGATTCGATGGCTATCGACGTACTGTGCACTTTACTTGCCTACAATCATACACGATGAATTTCTGCCTTGCATCCTTGGACTAACTCCCCCTAAATAAATTAAGGACAGACTCTAGAAATTTCGAATTTATTTACTTTGTATAGTCAAATAAAATTTGACTGTTCTGGATATCTTTTGTGCATTCATCAGCAATCATCACCCACCCTCCCATTGGAAAAAAGGAATAACCATAACTCCCACACGTATATGGGCTTTATCGTAAATAAGGAATGTTGGTCATAAAAAGCCCGATAAAATAAATCAAACATCTCTCGTTGCTTTTCTATTTCAAGATTTGGATTTTCACCGTCTGGAGGCATGTAGCCAACCAGTGATATTTACCAAGTCTTTAAAGATATATAACCAGACCTGCGTCGGGATCAGTAAGGTAAAGAAAGCTTCGGCAATATATAACCTCAAGGTCATTGGAAAAAAATATTTAAAGATTATATTCAAACAGAATGTGGATGTTCTGAACCGTTGACGCTGTCTAATCTTCCTGCACTGGCGTGGTTGTGCCGCTTGAGCGGGACATGCTGTATGGTGCCTGGGGAAACTGTCAGAAACACGCCTGGAAGAAGACCACGATTCAATTCTTTGAAAATTAGCAGTACTACATACGAGGACCTTCTTTGCATTGCATATTCGCCAGGCCAGGTTGCGAACACTGCCATCAGCACATACGACTTCAGGTGCAAATTCTATACCGAACCTAAAAGCCGGTTAGTTGTCAAGTTTCAGCCAAGGGCCTATGACTCTTGATAGAGAGGAAGATATGGCAGAGAAATGGAGGAGCACTGACATATGCTGGACAGCGAAAACCACGCGTTTCGCATATTTGCTGTCCCTATCCACTTGAGACCCGAAAGCCTCCTCGGAATTCTGCGGTGCAATGTCCGCATCCCGATCTAGGCAATTTTGTACGATCGGAAGCAACGCTGCTTCAATGGCAGGCCTGACAACCCCGTGGTTGTCCAGTGGGATTTCGTTTTCGTCGAATTTCGCAATTCGGATTTCGAAAGGGCGAGAAATTGCCATAACATTGTGTTTCCCGTTATGGTGATATCTAAATTCAAACACACCTTGGTTCCACCAGAGTTTGTCACCAGAAAAGACCATTTCTCCAGAGGCTACCTCCCGTGATTTGCCATTTTTACCTTGAGAATGCTCGGAGATGTCGCTACTTTTGAGCCCGATTTCACTAGTTGACGAATCAAACGCGCCCTCGTTGGTAGCAACCCATCGTCCCTGTGACGACACCTTCGTGATTTCGCGGGACGAGTTATGAGTGACCATGTACAAGCCAACCCAATCCTTCTTGCTGTGATTCAAAGGGGCAGTCCACTTGACCTTGATTGGTGCACCATATTCAAAGACCAAGTTTTCACTGCCTCTAGACGACTGAGACTTCTCTTTTGTTTCGCCGCCAGACTTATTGAATTGGGTCAATTCTGTGCCTTCAACGCTAAGAGCGTAATCCTTCAACTCGTAACCGGCAAGGTCTGGTTCCAAACGTGTGATTGTGATTCTAGCTGGGTACTTATGGAAAAGTGCAGTTGTATCCTTCACAAATGTGTTGACGCCAGCGGCAAGTTTTGGACGCGCAGTGTCAATAACTTCTTCCACGAAGTCGATGGACTCATCAAGAATTTTGTCAACACTTCCTTGAAACTGTTTCAGAGAATTTGGCAGAGACCGTTTGATACTCTTCACCAACCCGGCATCACGCCGCAAACTTCGCCCATAAAGCTTTTGCATATGTGGACGTTCGACCAATTGAATAAACGCGATGCTCAAGGTGTGGCTTAGGAGGGCAAGAAATATCATTGCCCGACTGTTCGTTATCAGAACGGCGCCCCATACACCCGCTAGGCCAAGGACACGTTCAGGGTTGTTCAGGAACCGGTAAATGCCGCTATAAGTCAGCTTCGGGGATTCGTCGTAAAAGAAGTCGCCAAAAAACCAGCCAAACTCCCCAAGCGATTCATAGATACTCATCGATGTCCAGATCTGCAAGGCAATCAGACTAGCACCCAAAACATGCCTCAGGATAGCCAGCCCGTAGCCCCAATCTTGTGGTAACGTGTACATTTTCCAAGCCGCGGCAATAAAGCTAGCGTAGCAAGTAGTCATGCTGAGATGGTAGATTCCTTGCCATTGCCTCCATGCTTCGTCCTGGCCCTCTCCAAATTTAACAAAATGCCTTGTCCAAGACTTGCGAGCCGATTGACGATCCAGGATGTACCCTATCCCAGCGGAATACCATATTCTCCACAAGGCGGCGTTTAAGACAAATAGGAAACGATAAATTGGAGTAGAGGGTGTAACCATCGTAAAGGCGAAGAAAAGCAGATGGATCAAAAGAACCGAGAGGTCTGTAACCCGATGGAAATCTATACTACCGACTAGAGCGTGCGTTGAACGCGGTTGTGTTGTGCCGGGAAGAGACATTGGAGGAGTAGCGTCGCTGTTGAACGAGTTCGATCGCGATCCTGGTTCTTCATGCAAGGCAGTGTCTGGGTCAACAACCCGTTTTCGAGGCGGGGGAGCGTTATATGTCTTTTCAATGTGTGGATTTTCGACCAACACAAGGAAGGCAAATTGCGCTGCATGTGCTAGAATAGAGATGAAAAGCACTTTGTAGCTAGCTGCCATTAAGGAGATGCCGTAGTACCCAGCATAACCAACCGAGTACATTGGGTGCGGTGCCATCTCAAAGACGCCGTCGAACGTCAAATCCTGGTCGATCAGATAAAAGAAGTCGCCCCAGTACCAAGCGAAGTCCTTGACGACGCGATGCGCATCCAGTTTAACCCAGAGGTTGAACAATACGAGACTCAACCCTGTAGACCACCGGAGCAGCATCATAAAAAAGCCTTCATCCACAGGGCGGCTTCCACAAGCAACGGCAAATAGGCAGTACGAAGTAAAGTCGCACATGAGGATTAAATCAACCACACGTCTAAAAACCAACCAAGTATTGTATTCAATGGGTGCATTCTCGAACGAATAGTTTTCCGGGATCTTGGTTTCGAGCTCCCGTTTGATGAAACGATAAAGAAGCGGGTGCCGGTTTTCCCCAGTTGACGGATCCACGAACAGTTGCAATTTCCGTGCCCAGAGCACGAGAGTGCGATGATTCGACTGCATATGTAGTAGCCATCCTATTCCAATATTATACGCTGCTCTCCAGGACAAGAATATAAATGCGAAGACGGGTATGCGAAACGACGTTGGCAGGGCTCGAAGCAATAATAAATGAAGAGCCAGGATCGAGAGGACCAGGATATCGGATAAGTTCTTCGGTTCTGACGGAGACAGGAGTTGCGAGACCATATCACGAGTGTGTGGTACGGTAAATACTATTCGGGCACGTCAGTTCCCTGATTTCTGAAATGCTCTGATCAAAATCCCAAGTACATCCACCCGTTCGGCTCTAGGCCGGTAGACTTACCAGTACCATCTGGCGTCCTACCAAACGTCGTCTTCTCCGGTTCCACAGTACTCGATTCATCTGTGCGCATCTTGCTCATCAAAGGGTCTAATGATGCTGGGGTGATTGTTTCTTTGGGAGCCTGTGTCCTCCTCTCGCGGAGTCCATCGCATCCCAAAGGTGACACTGCCGGGTCAGTCATGACAATGGTCCTATCGTCACGGCGCCAATGCGGGTTAAGCCGCAAGAGGGGGACGCGCAACGCGGATTGTCAAGTTGAATTGACTGAGGAGTCGACGGCGCTCCTCAGCTTGTGTGCAGTTTGTCGGTTGAAGGATCGGTTGACGGGTTCAGGTTGAATCAAATACGAGGTATATCAGGTACCTCGCAGTCGAACCGCTACTCAGGCACAGGGCAGAGATGATAACAGCTGGTGGACTAATTGGTTGGTGCGTCCTGATTTCAATGCTGGCTGTTCAAAACTGCGTTGACCAAGCGAAAGCAGGAATTGTGATCGACTCTTGGCGGAAACATGTGCCGCGTGCAGGGTTCTGGAAGTCACGAAGAGTAAACAGCAGCAACACCCCGCTATTTCTCCTCATTCTCCAAGTCGAATCCGCTCCTACTAGGCAATCATTGAAGCATCGCTACTCCGTACTCCGTATAGGATTCCAAAGGCCATCTGCTTCAGAGACTCGGTTACGTAGCGCGCGGCGGTCAACGTAACCTCCTCGCCCGCCTGCACCAACATTAACAACCCTCCGATAACTACTCGACTAATTAACTAAGTTATCTCTTGCATCTCCGAAGAGTTGATTAACAGTCAAAGCGATGACTCCATGTCAAATGGTCATCTGCATAAGGTAAGTTCGAGAACGCCGTGATGCCGTATAAATTTCTTCGCTCCACTACGGAAGATCTACATTTCTTTCCAGACTACGGAGTATCAAGCAACGGAAGTATTTAATCTGCTGTGGTGTTTGCCCCAAACCGTTTATAGCAACAGACTGCTTTCCCCATCATGTGTACTCCGTATATACGGCTTTATGGTTGTCCAACAAGGAGTGCAGAAAAAGCGGCAGTTGATACGGCATCCACTCCTATGAATATCATATTTCGTACAACATATCCGACCGGCAAGCCTGTTGTTTAACTTGCCACCTCCAGATTGATATAGCATTATCTGGTGAAACCCAAGCCCCAAAATTCTCCATCTCCCCGCGGGCCCCACTAAAGATCATTGGTCATGATGCTGTATACGGAATACATCCGACAATATCTCGAAATCGAGCCGAGAATAATCGCTGCCACTGTCATATACCCCATGATGCTTTTCATTGTGCCTCATCATTATTCACTAACTACCCCGTACCCATTCTCAACTTACGTATGCTACTACTTTCTCACTAATTCCATCTTCGCCAGTAAACTGCTGAAGACCTGAAAGTGGGCTAATCCCGAGATAAATTCATGTCTTCTGTTCAGTATACATTAGCACACCTGTGTTCGGAGTCATGCGATGCATTTTCGTGACCAGTTGTCTGTGGGATAGAATTGTTTGCATGCAAATAAGCTTAAGAGCTAAAAAGCTTGTTAGAACACACTTGTTAGCGGGGTCCCTGCATGACAAATCCAGCATAGTCGCCACCGCTCATAAACTGCTGCATGCCACTCAGATGCTCCCTTTTTTTATTGAGAAGTATCGAGGCTGGTTGATTCTGTTATAATTTTTAGTCCAAGTACGGGAGGAAATGGCCCCCTCATTCGAAGAGCCAGCCGTGGCTATTGCTGCTATGACCAAATCGGCCCCGGAATTGGTCGCACCTGAGCCCGGTATGTCTATCTCTCGAATCGTCCCCAAATAGCTTTTCTTTCGCTAACTTGGATTTCTTTTTAGAACATTGCCCGGGTCTTGAATCGGAACAAGCAGGCAAAGGTGATGCATGTGCTGGTTGCCCGAATCAAGCCATTTGCGCTTCCGCCCCCAAAGGCCCAGATCCTGATATTTCCACCATAACCGCCCGTCTATCCTCTATCCGACACAAAATCCTTGTTCTTTCTGGTAAGGGAGGGGTCGGAAAATCTACATTCACCTCTCTCCTCGCCAACGCTTTTGCATCAAACCCTGATTCCACGGTTGGTATTATGGATACAGATATCTGTGGCCCTTCGATACCGAAGATGATGGATGTGGAAGCAGAAACCATACATGTCAGCAATTCGGGATGGAACCCCGTTTGGGTGTCTGATAATCTCGCGGTGATGAGCGTCCAGTTCATGTTACCAAATCGAGATGACGCTGTGATTTGGCGGGGGCCGAAAAAGAACGGATTGATCAAACAATTTTTGAAAGATGTCGAATGGGGGGAATTGGATTATCTGATAGTCGACACGCCACCAGGCACTTCAGATGAACATCTCTCGGTCAACTCGTTTCTCAAAGAATCCGGCGTTGATGGTGCTGTTTTGGTGACGACTCCGCAAGAGGTCTCGCTGCTAGATGTCCGAAAGGAAATCGATTTTTGCCGAAAAGCCGGTATTCGAATACTAGGATTAGTGGAAAATATGTCAGGATTCGTCTGTCCGAAATGTACAAATGAATCGGAAATATTCAGGCCCACGACCGGCGGCGGGAAAAGGCTCGCAAAGGATATGGGCATTCCATTCTTGGGTTCGGTTCCACTAGACCCTCGAGTCGGTATGGCCTGCGACTATGGAGAGAATTTCATGGACAGATACCCCGAAAGCCCTGCGTCCATGGCATTAAGACAAGTTGTGAGAGCGGTGAGCCAGTTGGTCGGAGAAAATCCTGATCAAGTGCTACCCGAAGCTGATGCTGCATAATGGCTGCAAGCCTGTGGACTCGACCCTACATGTCTTTGGCGTTTCTAAGAAGGGATGTTGATCAATCTTTGAGCGCAGCATTTTTTCGGCTTTGAGTAGGCTTTTGGCGCATTTCCGGCGTCTCAATCGTGATTCCCATATTTGACGGTCAGTGGTGTTAGACATGAATGTTGATGAGATTGATACCTTTAAGTACTCCCTACTATACGGAGTACTACAAGTTACGATACTCCCCTTCAAAATATACTTGAATTAGTTGGTGGCCTTTATGGGCAAAAGTTATCTAGACCTCTCCTCGGACTTGACTGCATGCACAACACGCAGTAGCTAGATCGAATAGTTAAGCACCTCTCTCCCATATTTGGGATAGAAGAGAAAAAGAACATCCCTCAGGCGGGATTCTACGCTTAGCCATAAAGCTGGATATTTGAATATCTGAGGATACGGGTCTCTGACAACGCCCTCCCAGGAAGCAACTGGAACCTATGAGAGCAAAGGAAGCAACTTTCACAAGGGCCAGAGCAACGTCTCCGGCTCGAAAAAGGCATCTCTCAACCCCGATTCGCTTATGAAACAGCCACCCATGCGGAAGAATCAACAGGGACCTGGTGGTGCGACGGCTGCCAAGGCCACCACACCCGCGCCGGCGTTTCGCACGACGATCTCAACTTCCCTCAGCCAGTCAACCACCGATCAGATGCGCCAGAAGACACTTTCGACAACACACGGTTTCAAGGCTCAAGGCTGAAGGCCCTTGCTTTTCTTCTATTCAATCTCGAAATGGCCCCTAAAACATGCCAAGTCGAGGCGGGCCCAGTGGGTGGTCGATTTCTTGTTCGCGCCGCGATGTGGATGCGGAGGGTTCTCGCTGCTCGGGAAGCTCCCCTTGTATTTCTCTGAAAACAACCAATCCGACTTGGATGCCAAATCCTCCGTTTGCCTCTAGGATAGGCCTTGTAAAGCCCATGGGTTCACAGGAAGCGTTCCTGCGAGCTCCCCCTTGGATGGATTCTGACTCCATGGGAAATCTTATTAGAACAACAGAGGCTGCTCCAAGACTCGTTTTCTCACGTTTCCTTGCTCATCTTTCTGCTTTCTTCCATTTCAATTGTATAAAATGACAGAGGCATAGAGTGCATTTCTTTCATCGCTTAGTCGTTCTTTTTTAGCCCCGATTGTTGACAATCGGCGTGCGTTCTTGTTCCTTTCCCCTCCACGCTCATCAGGTTCTGTTCATATTCTTCTCATTCAAGTCAGTAACTTGATCTCACTCTCTCCAACCTTTCGCTTTTTTTCACCTTTCATTTCTTAAACCTGAGAAGCCACTCTTTTTGTTCTCTGGTGCTGCTGCTCTTTGCTTCAGAGGATGCATTGGATCCAGTTTCTCCTGGGGTTGAGCCTCCTCTGCTTGCAAGCCTCTTCTAGTCCAACACCACCAAAGAAAACAACCCGTTCGTTCAAAATCGACCTAGTTCGACGCTCTGATTACCTGCCAGATGGCCCTCGAGCTCTGAAGAAAGCGTACGCTAAATTTGGTATTATTCCAACTAATATCAACTATGGCCACTTCAATGATTTTATTCCGCTTGCTTCTGGCCTCGATCGAGATGCCATATCAAAAGCGAAACAACCAGATGAAACCGGTGCCGTAACAAACACTCCAACCGCCCATGATGTGCAATACCTGTCTCCTGTTACCATCGGAGGGCAACAATTTGTCATGAATCTTGACACCGGCTCTTCGGATACGTAAGTTTTATATCTCTAGACTTGGGTTTCTGTTCGCGTTAACCAATGCTCCCATAGTTGGGTGTTTAACACGCAATTGCCGGAGAGCGCCAGGAAAGGCCATTCGAGCTTTAATCCAACAAAGTCAAGGACATTTTCCAAAATGGACGGTTCCAGCTTCAATATCACATATGGCGATGCCTCCTTTGCATTTGGCAGCGTGGGAACTGATACTGTGGATATCGGTGGAGCCACGGTCGCAAAACAAGCAATCGGTCTGCCATCTCAGGTTTCGGCGTCATTTATAAAGGATGAGATATCGGACGGCTTGGTCGGATTGGGCTTTGACAAACTCAGCACTATGAGGCCGAAACGACAGAAATCATTCTTGACGAACCTCGCTGCCGACCTGGACGAACCGGTTTTCGCAGCACAGCTGAAGAAGGGGGCTCCCGGATCTTACGAGTTTGGAACGATTGATCGGACGAAGTTTAAAGGAAATCTTACAAAAGTCCCAGTCAATAGTGCCAGAGGATTCTGGGAGTTTAAATCCTCACTGTTCAAAGTTGGGAATGATACCCAACTTCGACAGATCAAGCTGAAGACCCCTAACGCTATTGCGGATACCGGCACAACGTTGATATTAGTGGACGGCGAAATGGTGAAAGCATATTACGAACAAGTCAAAGATGCCAAATTGTCAACCCAAGCCGGCGGGTATATTTTCCCTTGCGACACGACACTTCCAGCCTTGTATGTTTCACTAGCAGACACACATCTTGCGAAAATACCTGGGAACTTATTGAACTTCTCGCCTGTTGGAAGTGATGCTAAAACTGGCGAAGAATGTAAGATGAGCTTATTGGAGACCCCTTTTTTGACATACTGAATTGACTGGCTGACTTTTCAATTCCGCAGTATGCTTTGGTGGTGTCCAATCCAACATGGGAACTGGGCTTCAGATCTTTGGAGACATCTTCTTCAAGGCACTTTTTGTTGTTTTCGATCTACGCGGTCCTTGCTTGCACGTTGCTGCGCATGCCTAAACTAATTTTTCTTTAATAGTTGTAGCACTCAGTCGAGTCCAACCTCAATAATTCTCTGACTGATATCCCCTCCCTGGAGGTATTTCGCTTGCGTTTCCGTGTGATATCTTGATCAGATCAGGGTGGTAAATTACCTGTGCCTACTCTGCAACCTCATAATTAGTTAAACGTAATATTATTGCCTTTAAATCTTTCCCTCCGCTTTCGTCTTCCAAATTCTTACATTCTTCTATTGTTTGTGAGTCGTGAGTCGACTTGTTATCGGCTTGGATGACTCACCAATCTCTGCCAAGACTCTGTCCTTGGAGCTGAATGCTTCCTCCCAAACCCACCACAAAAGCTTTTTATCAGAAGGCGAAAAAGCAGCAGAACTTTTTATACATCAGCTCTTGCTTTTGAGAACCTTATAGTGGGTGCTCGGCGTCTTGCTGAGCCAATACTTTTAATTTCTTCAAACTGAAGCCCGCCAATCCCATTCTTCGTGTCCTGCGGACTTCTATAACCCCGCAACAATTCACATCGCGGGGTCTTTTATCACCTTCACGGTCGATAGAGCCACTTTCTCGCTTAACTTCGACTTCGTCTTATATTACACCTGTGCGTTCAGTACGGTTCATTCACCAGATCGCAAAAATGGCTACCGCCTCGGCACCGGCAACGTCTCTGCTTTCCCTCCTCTACCGTTCCTACCCTAACGTTGTCCCGTCGGACTCTACTGAGCCTGACCTTCCGTCTCTCTCGCCCAAAATATTCCCGGAGGCTGCTTATACGGATGCAGAGCAGGATGAAATCAATCAATGGTTGTCGCAGTCGTCCGATTTGGCGCAGGCATTGAAGAAGAGTGAAACCGAGGGTATTTCAAAATTGCTAGATATTGTGAACGCCCACCTCGCTACTCGCACAACCGTTCTCGGCGCGAAGCCGTCAGTTGTGGATATCGCGTTATACGCTCTTTTGGGCCCTGTCGTGGAGAAGTGGTCGCCAGAGGAGAGGACTGGGGAGAGCGGATATCATCATATTGTGCGACATGTTGACCTTGTGCAGAATGCTCCCCTGTTCAGTCTACAGATACCGGAGGAGGAGAAGATCAAAATTGATGTCAATGATGTGAGGGCTGCTCCAAAATTTGCTGCTCCTGCGGAAGGTGAAAATGGCGGGAAGAAAAAGAAGGAGAAGAAAGGCACTGGAGCAGGCGGGGAGAAAGAGATGGTCGTTGGGCGGGGAAAGAATGCGGATAAAGAGCAAGCGAACAAGTCAGTAGTGGATGTGGCCAAGGATAAAGTACAGGAAGTCGTGGATTCAGTTACAGGTGCGATAACAGGCACCCCACCCAGAAGAGAGAAGAAGGAGAAGAAACCAAAACAACAAAAAGCACCTGCTACTCCCGCTGCGCCTCTTTCACCTGCTCTTATCGATCTTCGAGTTGGACATATCCTCCGCGCGATCAACCATCCAAATGCGGATTCTCTTTACGTGTCTACAATCGCTTGCGGTGACGCACCAGGATCCGATAATACAACTCAAGATGAGGCTACCGGACTTACCGTTCGAACTGTTTGCTCTGGATTAAATGGGCTTGTCCCATTGGAAGAAATGCAGGGACGGAAAGTCGTTACCGTCTGCAACCTGAAGCCTGTCACAATGCGTGGCATTAAATCTGCGGCCATGGTTCTGGCGGCGTCTCCAAAGGACGACGATTCTCACGCTGGCCCAGTTGAACTTGTCAATCCTCCTGAAGGCGCTGAAGCTGGAGACCGTGTCTTCTTTGAGGGCTGGGGTGATGGCGAACCGGAGAAAGTATTGAACCCGAAGAAGAAGATTTGGGAAACGTTCCAGCCGGGGTTCACCACAACGGACTCTTTAGAAGTGGCCTTTGATAGCGGTGCAGTGCCGCAGTTGAACAAAGAGGGTGAAGGCAGCACCGCGTCGTCGACTCCTATAGTTGGGAAATTGGTGACAAAATCTGGCGGTGTGTGCACTGTGAAGAGCCTGAAGGGAGCGACGGTCAGATAAATGGAATTGTTGTGCCGAAAAAAATCGTAAAATAGAAGGAATAGGGTCTGCTATGTTTCCTCCGTACTCCGCACACTGGAGGCGAATTGCAATGCCGATAAAGCATGAATAGAAACAGTCTTTGGTCGGGCTTCTATGCTCTGGGGCCGATCTTGTCCTTTTTAACTGCTGCACATTGACTATCAAACTGGGAATTAGGTTAGACAACCACCAACGGGACTGGATTTTGAAGATCATATTGCAATTCCCCTGTTCAAGGTGTCATTGAACCTTTTTGTAAGCATGTCTATCTATGCGGAGAAGCTACATGATGGGACCGGCCAAACTCGCATCTGATCAGCCGCATCTGAAATCCGCGAACTGTTAGAGGGTTCAGTGAATAGTGGGATCAAAGGTCCTGCGGAGTGCCCCGTACAGAGTCACTTCTACAGGCGGTTCCCAACCCCACGTGGACTAATCAAGAAGCAGAGTCTGTTGTTCTTTTAAATAGTCAGTTTGGCTGTTGTAAAGAGTAGTACGGAGTAACTACTTCCAGGCAAGAGACAGAAATATGTTGTATTCCCGCTGTTTGATCACGCGGAGTGGTGTTCTGTTGCACCGTACGAGGCAGATTACCCGACAGTATTGAAGCGAATATGATGACAAGTTCTGCCGGCACCCTGTATCACCCACTTCGACCCCAAGGCCGCCGAAGAGCGCCGTTTCAGATGGGAATAGTGTGCCGTTTCAGGAGGATCGGCTGGCAGATCGGCGTGGGATTACGAAGCGTGACCTTCGGGACAGGCCGAGCGTTGCCTGAACAGGAAAGGCCGTATTGTCAGACCGGGTTCCGGGAAATTAATAGTCCGCCTCGCTGGTGAAGCAGCAGAAAGGCGGTCCACTTGAGACAAGGCCAAAGTATGCTCGCTTGTCCTCTTTTCTTTCTCAGCTCGCGAATTTGGTTGTCTCGAAGTTTGTCCCGCCAACTTCTACGGTCCCCATCTGCCTCTCGCTGCACTAAGCCAAGCTCATTCTTCAAGGCCGCAATCAATCTTTGCCCCGGAACGTTTATCGTTGGTGTTAGCAAGGATTACTACTGCCAGCCTCCTGCTCATTGGGGGACGGGTCAGGGGTTTGTGACCTCTGGGCTCGATCTCCAACCGCGAGACAAAGCGGCTTCTTGTAGAGCATTTGACACACATGTTGGCTATATTGGAGATATGAACAGGCAGTACGCCTTTACCAATGGCTATACCGCTTACCCTCACGGGGAAAGCGGTACCTTTTCGATATCTCCGCACAGGTATGTATTGATAGCAATGCTCCGGGAATTTTGTACTTTATTTCGGAGACCGAATTTGGCTAGAAAATAAACTGACGGGCTTGCCACTGCAACAGATTCCAGCCACGGTCGCAACCTGCCCTTCGGCGAAGAAGACAGTTATTACACCGTTTGTTCATCATAAGCGGGCTCTCGATATGCATTCTGACTCTGTTGTTTCCCTCCTGGCGAGCCGCAATCTTCGGAACGATCACTCTGGGCCTGCTTTCTGCGAATGATGATTTTCAACTCGAAACTGTACGATACTACGATCTCTCCAATGCTCAGGGAACGGCACGGGGCTGGGAGCGAGAAGAGCGCATTCTCCTCTGCACACCACTCCGTGATGCCGCGCCACATCTGCCCATGTTCTTTTCGCACCTTCGCAATTTTACCTATCCACATCACCTTATCGACCTGGCGTTTTTAGTTTCGGATTCGAAAGACGAAACATCCCCTCTTCTTACGAAAATGCTCAAAGAGCTTCAAGACGATCCCGATCCTAAAATTCCATACGGAGAGGTTTCGGTCATAGAGAAGGATTTTGGGCAAAAAGTGAATCAGGATGTGGAGAGTAGACATGGTTTTGCTGCACAAGCTTCAAGAAGGAAATTGATGGCTCAGGCCAGGAATTGGTTACTGAGCGCTACGTTGCGGCCAACTCACAGTTGGGTATACTGGCGTGACGCAGACGTTGAGACTGCTCCTTTCACTATCCTGGAGGATCTCATGAGGCATAACAAGGACGTTATTGTTCCAAGTGGGTAGACCTACGCAAGCATTAAGATTTTTCTTGTCGGAGCTAATAGCTGGCACTAGATGTTTGGCGACCACTTCCAGATTGGCTTGGTGGGGAGCAGCCGTACGACTTAAATTCATGGCAGGAGTCCGAAACAGCTCTAGCTTTAGCGGACACACTTGATGAAGATGCTGTAATCGTGGAAGGATACGCAGAATATGCAACGTGGCGTCCACATCTTGCTTACTTGAGAGACCCTTATGGCGACCCAGATATGGAAATGGAGATTGACGGAGTTGGAGGAGTTAGTATTCTCGCGAAGGCCAGAGTATTCCGCTCTGGAGTACATTTCCCCGCTTTCAGTTTTGAGAAGCATGCCGAGACTGAAGCTTTTGGCAAGGTTAGACTGCTTGTTTCTCTACATTATGCTCTATTCTGTCTAATGCGTTTTCTAGATGGCGAAACGGATGAAGTTCTCTGTTGTCGGCCTACCCCACTATACGATTTGGCATCTCTACGAGCCCAGTCTTGACGACATTCGACATATGGAGGAGATGGAGAAAGAACGTTTGCAGCGGGAAGCCGAAGAAAAAGAAAAGGCCGAACGGGCAAACAGAATCAAGGAAGAATTCAAAGACACCAAGGCTCAATGGGAAAAGGACGGAGCAGCCATCCAAGATATGATGCAGAAAGATCAAAAACAGAAATCCCAACCACAGCAAGCACAGGCAGGCCAAGGCAACCAGGGACAACTAGAAAAGACTCCTGATTCTAAAAAAGCAAAGGATTCGTGAAATTAATGACACTTAGGGTACTTTAATATTAGATCTGTGAGTTTGTTGGCCCTTGAGCCTATTCATGTCAGGCACTAACTACTTGTTTCATTCTTCAGTTTTCGAAACTCTCTTCCACGTTCCTGATTCACAGACATTTAGAATCATAAACTGGCAACGCGGCGGGAGAGGTTTCTCTAGCTGCAATTCAGGTCTATAGCAGTTTACTTTCTTTGCATGTGTGGAATCTATTTTAGCCGGAGTTTCATCTTCAAGCAATGTCCTTGTTTCTGACAAAGGATACATCGAAAGAATCATGCAGTTATCACCATACGGGACCTTTTTCCTATTCTTCCCTTTTATTCGGGCTGGCTACAGTTATTCTTCTGCTCCGTCTTCCTCACGGCCAAATTTACTCCTCAACCCTCAATCACTCCAGATGGGTTTCCTATCCCCTTTCAACCTGTGTATCTTTCTCTCTTTTTTTGAATTTCATACCATCCATTCCCCGGAATCTTCTGGCTTGAGATGAGCCTTCTTCCCTCCTCTCTCTGTTTCAAGCCGCATTTTACCTTTTCCGCATTAAAATGCTTGACCAGTATGGCACATTGTTTGTTATACCGTGTTTGGCCGGTCACTCAAGTCCTGTTTTGGGAGTGGCTTAGTCCTTCTCTCCTAAATGGAAGCATATTTGCTGTTTACCTCTTTTTTCCTACAATAAAAGATCTTTCTAAGCGATGGCAGGCTGGAAACTGCTGTGCTTCGGAGCTCGGATTTCATCTGTGTTATTACTACAACACTTTTTTGGATATCGTCCCATTTTTACTTTCAGCCAGGCGAAGCCAGGCTCTTCTATTGGCAATCAAGATAACTTATTTGGAAAAATAAAAGATCAAATAAAATGATTAGGTGCGCTTTTGGTTATCATTCGATTCATGGAAAGTGTAACAGCCGATCCTTTTCAAGCTTATTACGCGCGCTTAATTGACAAGCGACACGCATTTGGACTTGGCGACGAACAAGATCTCGGCGCGCCGATCAATTTGACGCGCAGTCCAACACCATCTCCTCCTTCCAGACACCCCTCGCAGTCCATCCCAGTGATTGAGCTCCAAACGACCAGGGACCGCTGATACCGTTGTCTGGAATCGCCTTTGGTGAATGAAACCTTGGCCTATTCCGTAAACAGACAATCAAATGGCTACGAGCCTCCCATTCACCCATGCTACCCCGCAGGAGACATTTCGGTTACTCGAGCTTCCAGAAGAGCTGCTTGCATACCTTGCTTCCGAAGAACCTCCTGCGTACGGCACACTCCTTCCCCGGTACCCTTCCCCTACTGACTTGTGGGCTTCTTGGATAATCTAGACTCTACCTCAAATCGCCTCCTCCGCGACCCTCCGCCGGTCTACCTAGTTCCGGCTCATCGTCGAACCAGGGGGCGGATGATGCCTTTGTGAATATATGTACCGATAAGAAGACATACTCGCTGCGACAGGTTCACTCCTCAAATTCGATTTTCATATTGAAGCCGCAATCGTTGTTGCGGAGGCATAACGAGGAGGATGTAGTTTTGGGAAATAATGCCTCAAGCGGGGTTGCGGCCATTTCGCTGTGCAAATCAACATTGGAATTGCAAAAGTTTGGGGACGAGTATTCTGCAGTTCCCTTCTTACTGAGGAGTTTGCAAGTATATGATGCTATGGATATTGAGGAAGATGCTATGGAAATAGATGCTAGGCATCTAAGCGATATTGACGCAAGTATAGAAGGTAGGAATAAGGCCATTACACGGCTACTGGAAGATGTTCCTTTGTCCGCCACGGAATGCTGTCAAGCTTGGGTCGACATGTGTGGCTTTATTGATGGCGACAAGAGCACCGGGAATTTAATAGGTTGGCGACCATTAGCGGCAGCAAAATTATCGGTGTGGAAGAAGATGTTAGAGGGGTCTGTGCTGCAAGGCATTAATTTGGATAAGCAGTTTCTAGTTCGAGACTTGTGGAATGCTACGATTGACGATACAGAGACGTTGGATGGCAGGACGCCATTCCCTAAAGATCTTTTTGATGCAATAGTCCGGCGTTTAGTGGATTATTCGCCGTCTGAGGTCGGGCTGCACGTTTTTTCGGAGCTAAAATGTAAGGTCACCTTGGAATCTGTTCGGGGTAAAGGCTAATGGGGATATATTCTAGGGGCAAGCCTGGATAAAAGCGCTACAATTAATTGGGTTGGCAACGTGTATTTAGAGGCGACAGCCCCCACACTGCAATTCGCAATACCGCATACCGAGTTCGTGGAGGCTTGGAGAGATTTGGTTCCTGAACAGTGGAGGGCCGATATTACCGCAGAAACGTCGAAGGTAAGTGTCAGAATGGGGGAACCATGATAAAACGAAGTTGTGTATGTACAATAACTGACAGGCAATCTTGAACACAGGACATCACTTGCATGCAAGCTCCTCCCTCCAAAATTTGCTTTGACCCTAATACAGGACAGGGCGGGAATAGTCAACCCGCTGGTGGGAAATCAAGTCGCTAAAAGCTGCTTAAGAAGCAGAAAAACAGACCAGGCAAAAGCCGGCCAAGGGCAGTATGCCTCCCTGTATCTATATCTAGGGCGGTGAAAGGAAAAAAGAAAGAAATCAAACGGCCTCCCGGTAAAACGAACAAGCTAACACCAAGCGTATTTCTCGTTCCACATCCAGTCCACTTCATCTCCGAGGCCTAATTCCTTGCCGTTCCATTTCAAACTTGTGATGCTGCTCGTTTCCCTGTGCACCAGTTCTGCATTCGCATCCAGTTTCTTAACAGCTTCCTCTACCAACGGCGACGGGTTCCAGATTTCCACTTGGCTCAGTTTCCAGTCATACGCCTCATATTGAGCGCGACGCAGCACGGCGGCAATAGCATCGACTATGATATGTCTTTTTGCCGCGGATGTCGGTTCCTCAAACAGAGTGCGAAGGATGAAAAGGGTCCCTGGCTCCGAATCTGTGCCGAATTTACGGTTCCAGGAGAGAAAGACGTTGCGACTTGGAACACAAGCCCCTTTCACTTTCGTCTCCCCTTTCTCAGGAAGTAATATTGGGGAGTAGAATTCCTCTCGGGCCCAATGCCACGTCATGTTGTCGAAATCAGGGCTAAAGGCAACTTTGGCCTTTGTGTCCTTCGCGGAGGCTTCCTTCAGAATCGTGCGATAACGATCGAGAATCGCGTCCGAGCACATATATCGTTTGACGTCATCTCTCGTCATGTCTTTGACTAACGCCATGTCCAGTCCCACGTCCTTTTCGACTTGTGGCCTTCGCACCGGAGGAAGCGAAAAATGGGACGATTGAAACGGCTTCCATCCCAACGCAGCATAAAAGTTCTTGCCTATATCAGAATAGAGCACGGAAAAGACGGACCTTTCTCTAAGAGAATTCTCCATCTGCCAAGTTTCGAGGGTTTTAGCTAGCTCTATAATCATCCGCCGTGCATATCCCCGTCCGCGATATTCAGGGCGAGAGAACACGCTCCCGATACCGTGTGAAAGGATATCCTCAACTTTACCATTATACGCGAGGAAAGCGGGCTTTGCGAAGGTTTCGCAGCTACTAAGGATGGGGCGGCAGTCGGGCGGAGCGTTCCGATCTGTCAATATCCAGCAGGTCAACGCTCCGTCCTTAGTCATGTTCTGGTTCATCAAGTGGTTCTCTCGGCTGATGTACTGCTCCGTCGTCAGCGGGCCTTTCCATGCCAGGCCGTTTATCCCTAGGCACTCGATCCGCTCTTCCGGCGTAGGCACAACGAGGACGAGCTCGGGGGATGTCGAGAGCGGCAGGGAGCAGTCGGCAGACCCCATGTTGAAAATTGACAGTGGCTTGCGAGAAGGAACTGGATGTCTTTGTAGGTTCGTAAGACTCAGGGGTTGGGAAAAGAAAGGTAGGTGGTTGGCCGCCTTATAGTCACTGGATTTCGAGAGGCTCTTCGGTCCGTAGATCCTTGAAATATATAGATCCCGAGAACTCCCAGGGTCGTGGAGATGCCGGAGCTAGTTGGAAGTCGGTATGTCAAATCGGAGCACGGTGTGGATTTCGGCGAAATGCTTCGAGAAAGCACCCCTGCTTGTCTGCGCGCAGGATCAGGTCCGTGACCAAGCCATGGCAGGGCAGCGGGATCGGGAAATTTTTGTATTCGCTGCAGACTCCGGGCTGGGACAGCGTTTGGCAGGGATCCGAGGGGAAGCGAAACAAGCCGCCCAGAAGTGTGGGGAGCAGCGCTAGTCAGAAACGAGGAAAGTCGATCAGGACGTGTGAGGGCAATTGGTTGAGCCAGGATATCGCGGCTGGAGAGGTGAAAAGCGCAATTTCCAGAGATTGGTCGCCGGTGGAAGGGTAGATGATGGGACCATCATATAGGGTGCAGGTTGTGGTGGTGGATTTTTATTCACTGAGTAATTAGTAGTTAACTCGCAAGACGACCGCAGCGGCGCAGCTGCTGCCTGGTAGGCATTAGCGTTTTGACAAACATATAAATACTCCGTCCACCCCAGGCAAACCGTTCCCTGAACTTCCAGCCTTCATCTTCCGTCGACAACAGTCATCTCGAGTTTTTGGAACGAAAGGTAACTAACTAGTTGAGGTCACCTGTAGGTGAGATCAGACGTCATCTTTGCCGGATCTGGGGGCTTTCCTGCCGCCATGCCAGATCCAGACTAGCGTAGTTACTCTCAGGAGCTCAAGATCGCATCCTTTGAACACCATCATCACACAGCCTTCAAGGTGCTATTCGCTTGAACTAACATGGACGCGATAGGGAGAAGATTTGATTTACGGCCTGAGCTCACTTCCATCCCAATCAGGACGCGAATCTCCTCATAGCCCATCATCCACAGAGCCATCCCTTATCCTCAGCACCCTCTCAAGGTCCCGCCGTCAAGGCGTCGACGGAGGTGTCGGGCCTTTTGACTTCTCTGCTATATCATCATTGTGTCAAGTCGAACCTTTTTTTGCTGGCAACTCATTAAGCTTACTCTGTTCGAACCATTGCCGGAACCTCAACGGTTATTTTAGCCGCCTCTAAAACTTACCTTATCCTTCGAGTACTGGACTTACTACGCTTAGCTTTCTCTGTTGAACCACAGGGCACCTCTGACTAGGAGCTCTGGACTTCCTCACGCGAGAAGATCGAAGGTAGAGTGACAAGGCAGATATATATTAGGTTCACCAGGGATCGCCCAGGTAACTTTTTCCGTTTATCCTACATTTTCATCTTACTGCTTTCGTTCTTCCTTCTTCACCGTTGTTTTACGCCGATCTTGTTATCTTGTTTTGGTTCAACAAATGCTTTCCTCCTTTGTTTTCCCGTTGTGTATCGAGACCCCTTTCCAGGGTTGGATATATACTCTGTTGTTCTCGTCCGCAATGGTAGGATTATCTCGTCTAATTGCTTCGCTAAAGGCTAGAAGAGCCAGTAAGCTCACCATGAAACGGAGGCACACGGAGTTCCAGCAGGATATCGCCGTTGCAGGCGCTCAAACTGCTTCTGCGATAGCTCAAGCCACTCCTGCTGGAAACGTCGCCAAAGCCCCGACAACTACTGAATACAACACGCTTCCTGCTTCTAATGCCATTAGCGCTCAAAAAGACTCGCTCTGGGGCCTGATTCTTGGGGTTTTCCCTGATATTTGCCCGGATTATGTTCAAAAGGTCTATCGAGAACAGCGGAAACGTCTCAAAAACTTGCCTGATGAGAGCGCGCTGGTCAATGCTATCCTTGAATCTGGCCCATATCCCACCCTACAAGAGCGTAAACGCAAACAACTTGAACAGGCGAGAAAAGAGGAATTCAAGTTTGGTATTGACGATGGTATCACTAGAGACAGACGCTACTTCGATATTGCGTGAGTATCCTTTGCCGAACTTCCTAATCCTCTAGGCACCCTATTATACTTTATTACATATTCTTTGGCATTGAATGGCTGTATCAAAGATCCCCGGAAAGCTTTCCCAATTCCACAATACTATTTATGGTTTGGTTGGTCGGCTGGCAGCTCATAACTAACGCTCTGCAGCCGAACCGCTTTACAAGTTGACTTTCAAGATATCCCTTCAGAGTTTGTCAAATCGACGCTTCAACAATGCGGAACCCTTTATTCGGCTTACTTGCAACTTGCGAAGATTGATTATCAATATGACAATCTCAACCCTCCCCCCATATCAAAGACAGGCCGCGAACCCTAAAAAATTGAAGTTGTCGCATTCTTGCACAAATCCAATAATCAGTGCGCGCCGTCTTGCTTTAAATAATGAGTTTCAAGCTGCAAGAAGCACAGTCAACCGCGAAAAAGGTATCCTAGTGATGTCGAACTTCAAGATTTCAAATGTATGTCATTACTGACCAATGAGCATTAGCAACATGGAGCGAGAAAGAAAAACTGGCAAAGTTCGAAAAAGAAAATGAATTGATCCATGCAGCCACCGATGGCCTCATGGAATGCAAATGCTGCTATATGGAGGTCCCTCTCAACCGCACAGTTTCCTGTGTTGGCAAGGAGGCTCATTTCTTTTGTGCTACATGCATCAAAACAAATATGGAGACTCAAATTGGCTTCATGCGATATGAAATTCACTGCATGGACATGAGCGGGTGCAAGGCTGGATTTCATCGGGAATCACTTACAGAGATTGTAGGCGACGCCCTGGTGAAGAAGATTGATCAATTACGTCAACGCGACGAAATCGCAAAAGCTGGGATTGATGGCCTTGAAGAATGTCCATTTTGCGATTTCAAGGCCATCTATCCTCCTATCGAAGAAAATCGAGAATTTCGATGTATGGATACCAATTGTGGTAAAGTGAGCTGCCGGTCTTGCAAGTTAGAAAGCCACATTCCACGAACCTGCGAAGAGGCTCGGAAAGACAAAAATGTCCCTTTACGCCACAAGATTGAGGAAGCTATGAGCGAAGCAGTTATCCGCATTTGCCCAAATTCAAAATGCAAAACACCTATCATAAAAGAGGATGGTTGCAACAAGCTGTACTGCAGTAAATGTGGAATCGTGATGTGCTATATCTGCAAAACGGACATTACCGTGGCAGGATACAATCATTTCGCAACCAGAGGAGGTGCATGTCCACTGCATGATAACGATCAGATAGATCGCCGTCATTATCGCGAAGCAGTCAAGGCTCAGGCGGCGGCTACCGCAGAAGTGTTGAAGGCCAACCCCACGTTGAAGGCAGCTGACATTGAAGTGGAACTCCCAAAACAACTACCTGAACAATCCGTCGTCGCCGATCGAGATCGAGCTTGGGCCCTTTACAATCGAAGGATCCATCATCGCCAGGGCCTTCAGCAGGCTATTGGTGCAGATAGACAAGTTCCCGCTTTTCCGGGCAGACCTCAGGGGCAGGTCCATCAGGTACCCCAACCAGCCCGTCCGCTTCCCAATCAACCCATCAACCACCCAGCGTTTCTGCCGGTGCCTCGGCCACTACCATTTGCGTATGCTCTACCAGCCGTGCAAGGCCGTCATCCTCCCTATAGGCCTCCTTCGCAACTTCTGCCCGCACGGGTTGGATTCGTGCAAGCGACCAACAACAACCCCTTGGCCAACAACAACAACAACAACAGCAGCGGCAATAACAGCAATAGCAACAACAACAACAACCGCCATCATCGCCACCATCACCACCACATGGATATTTTCAATCCCGCGGAAAGAAGACAACTTGACCTACAACTTCATCTGCAACATTTTGGAGCCCGGCGCTTTCACATGCCCCCTAAGGATGGCGGTGTGCAGGCTGTACTTCCAGCAGGAAATGTTGATACCCAAGGCCGAGCCGCCCTAACCACCAATGGAATTAATGGGATGCCGGGAAATGTTGCAAATGCTCGGCCGGCTGATTATCCTCGCGCCGAACGACCTGGAGGCCACAGGGCACGTCGGAGTAGCGAAGCCCTCAGACTTCCTGAACGTTATGGCATACTTTAGATAAATCAATGCCGATCTTCCTGCTAGAATGCTGGATGGCTTTCTATGGAGTTCTTTCTTTATTTAAGCGTACCGTTTCTTTTTCTTTTGCGTCCTATAACTTATACCACTCTGCATATGCATTTCGGTGTTCTTTGGTGTATAAACAAGAGGTTTTCAACTACGGGAGGCTTAAGAGGGGTTTTTCATGAACAGAAAAAGCCCCCCCCTACCATCATGCGGCCCTTCACTGCGGTTTGGCTTCACCTCTTGTTATCGAAGGCTTCGCTCGCTACTCTTAGTCCTTTGGTTGGAGCTATCCAGGATAAAGTTTCCCCCTTGGTACGAGTTCAGATGACAAAACATAGCACAGTCACAGCTGGCTTCAACTTGGGAAATTCTCCTAGGTCATTTTGTTTGGATGGCAATCATGCGAAGAATTTTGATTTTTGTCTTGGCGGGCGGTGGATATGAATCTAACAACCTTGTTCGCGCATTCCTTTCTTCTATTCTTGCTGGTAGAACTTTGGTAGAAGGTCATGTACACCTTTGGAAACGGAGCTTGAAGGGTTCATGGTTAAATTTGGTGTTTTTGTGGCTACAACTCATTATTTTGGCTAGGAGGTTAGGGGTAACCGAGAGCGAGTTCAACGAGCCCTATCAACTAGCGATTGTCTAGAACGGACCTAAGTTTGCAACGAAGCTAGGAACGAGAAGATAGATTTGATGGCACTGAATAAAATCGAAATCTAAAATCCCTAGCAGCCTGGAGCTATGCAAACTCGAACCTGAAGGCGAAAGGACAACCACGGTAGAAAAGGGTAATCGAAAATTAAATTAGGGAACCAAGGGCATTAGTATCATCACGGCTAAAGAGACTATCATACCAAAAAAGAAACAAGGTCATCAAGCTGGAGCAACAAATGCGCTCGGGATTATAGGGACTAAAAAGGGGAGTTATATCGCATATTCGGAATTAAGGCGGTCCAGAATGTCGAATTTCCCGAATGCTTCCTCCACCCATACTTCTAACTTCATCTCGCCAGCATCAACCCTGCGAACAGGAACGGTCTGAGCTCGCAGCTGAGAGGCCATTTTGGGGTTGGCAGGGTTATTGTTTGAGGTGTTGTTTGGAGCTTCTGCTGCGCCATTTCCAGGGTTTCTTTCGGGGAAGTCGCCGTTCACATCTTCAATGGGGACCGAAGCGAGGCTATCGGGCTCGGTCGGGATCCACACCTGTTCTTCCTTTGTGACGCCGGCGGGAGCATGTGCCTCCGGGCGCACGGTGATGAAAAGAGAGAGGCGGTACTCCTCATGTTGGGGGAGCGGCGTGAGCCTCGCGCATGCGGATGCCAATCTTGCCAGGACAGCTCGAAACTGCGCTTCCATGTCAACGGCCGATGTGGATGCCTCGAATGCCGCAACAGAAGTAGAAACATTCGCAGCTTGTTTGGTGGCTAGAGTGCTTGCGAACGGGGTATGGATATCATTGGTGGAAACTCGTGGCATCCGGGATACATCAAAGGTGAACCGTTCCAAGGGCCGATTCGTTCTTGCGGAGACGATGACGAATGACACGGCTGAAAGTGTGGATTTGAGCAGCTCGACCTCGACGGAGGCGCATGCATCGCTAACCCAGGAACATACCCGCGGGTGGCGAGACTGCTTGACGGGGTGGTTGTATTCGCGAACAGGGAGAAAAGTGACAGGCGGGTATACAGAGCGAAGATATAGAATCTGGTGCATGCTCACGGCGAGGAAAGAAGAGAATGAAGAGACCAATCGGGCATATGTGTCTGGAACACCGCTGGACATGGTGGTCGGGCTGCTTGGCGGGACAATGGCAGAGGCTTCTGCACGAGCTACGGTCGTCGGGAGAGATGTTGCATCGGCGGCTGGCGGTGCGGTGTCTGCGACTGCCAGCCGAGTAGGTTGGTGAGCCATCATCCTGACGTGAACAATCCAACAGGACGGCGCTGAGAGGTAGAGTGTGTCGTCAAAGCCAAGAATAACGGCACAAAGCACTACTGGATATCCTTCTTCCCGCTAGCAAGGGTGATCTCGGGGCTGGCTGTTTCTAGCGGTAGCAGCCCGCTTAATATGTGATAGACAACGGAAGAGCAAGCTGAACAGTGAAGAGCAGCGGGATAGATAGGGTGACAAGCTTGCTAGCCGCTGGAGGAGCAAAGGAAACACGGCTAAAAGAGACTCTTAGTCACAACAAAACCAAGCTAAAGAAACAGTGAGCCTGAGTGAAGAAAAGAGAGAGAGAGAAAGAGGGAGAGAGAGGATTGAAATCTGCTGGTGATGGTCTGCTTCTTCAGTCTGAGCAGCATCAGAATAGCATCACGTGCCAGGTGGATGAGATCACCGACTTTGGAAGATCGGCCATTAAACTATTGGGAGCTTCCTCCAGGGCCCGGATGGAGAGCTTCTTGTAGGATCGTCCCGTCAAGAGCATATCGACTCCGAAAGCAGCTTTGCTTTCTGACTGCGTGTGCGACTCCAGAGAGCCACAACACTAGTATTCGCCCTGCGGTGTCTTTAAGTTGTTTTCGATCTACACCCTAGTCCAACCCGGCCGAGTCCACGTTTCACCTGTGATGGATGCTACGAAGGTTTGGGCGGCCCCTGCTAGCCAGTTCCTCAATCCTCGGATATCCTTCCATCTCGGCCACGGCATGCTGTGAGGAGACTGGGGCGCCCGCCGCCCGGTGATGAGGAGCCAAGGCTGATAACGTGTGCTTTTCGGTTCGATGGCGCTTATGAGTTACTTGGATTGCGCTTTTTGACATCATAGACTCTTTAGGATGAGTCGCTGGTCGCATTTCGCCGAATCGGACAGCACCATCAGGGCTGATCGGCTGACTGGCGGCCTTTGTTCAACCAACAGGTTGGCCTCGCATGAGCATTGAACGGGCGTCCAGGAAGCAAGAGGAAGGACAGAAAAAAATGGTCTTTAGCTTTATGGCTTTCCCTTGTCCATGGGACTCTATAACTAAATGGGCCGTGTCTCGGATATCATGCAGTCGAGCAGCTCCCTTGACGATGATCGTCCACGACTGATTTTATCTTTTAGGAGAATGCTTCCACTGCGGAGCCAACCATAGGTGCTCTGATATTTGGGTACCATCACTGCTTGGTACTGGGACGGGCGCTCCACAATTGAATGAGTTATAAAAACGAAAAATCTGTTCCTGCAGGTAATCAGTACCTTAACTATACAAATCGCTCAGCAGAGTTTGGCCCCAAAAGGATTGGACCGGGAGCATCATACCCGGGAGATATGGACATACTTTATTACTTGCAGGAGAGTTTTGATATTCAGCATGGCATCAGCACAACCATCGCTGGATTTAGTGACAGTGCTGGACTAGAAACCTCAGCAGGATATGAATTAATTGTAGAAAGTGCCTATCTGGGGGCTGGCTATTGATAATTCCAGTTGACTATAGCAATGATCAAGCCGAAATGTCAGTTGACAGCTCGAGGTTGTTCCCAGGTCAACAGCATGACTTGTGGGATCACATCAACTCGGCCCCCTCTCACATGTCATCGCCAAACCAGAACAACCGACTGGCATTGCTTCTCAACAAACCTTGAGCGACATTGCAGTCCCAACTTACCCTGAATCTTAAAATATCAGCAGATTCCCTCGAGCATCATGGAGCAGCAGCTCCTCCAGCTCCTTGCAGACACCCAATCGCCCGCCCCTGCAACGCGCAACAAAGCGGAGGGGCAACTTCTGAGCCTCTACTCCAACGAGCATTTCCCCCTCTCCCTCGCGTCGATCGCCTCTCATGCCTCCGTGCCCGTGCATCTGCGGCAATCAGCGCTGCTGGTGCTGCGAACGTTCATCGTGTCAGCGTGGTCGTCGCAGCTGGACGAGTTCAAGGGCCAGGTCCTCATCAACGACGCGAACAAAGTGCATCTGAGACGCGTTTTACTCGAATTAGCCATCTCACCGGAAGACGACCGAAAAGTGAAGGCGTCTGCGAGCTATGTGGTTAGCAAAATCGCGAGTGCTGATTTTCCAGATGACTGGCCGGAATTGTTATCCACGCTACTTCAAGTGATCCCCGCCAGCAACGAGGCCCAACTGCACGGTGCTCTGAGGGTGCTGTCTGATCTTGTCGAAGGCGGGTTCAGTGAGGAACAATTCTTCAATGTCGCAAGGGAGCTGGTATCGACCGTCTTCAATGTCGCAACTAATGTCGCCCGCAAACCTATTCTACGGGCACTCGCGGTGTCTGTTTTCCGCGCGTGCTTTGATACTTTGGAAATGGTGCTGGAACAACATAAAGTGGAAGTGAAAGCTTTCATGGACGAGGCGTTGAATGGATGGCTGCCATTCTTCAGCGCCATTCTCAAGGAGCCGCTTCCTCCAACACCGAGGGAAGAAGACGAGGCTTCGGAATCCCAAGGTCCAGAGCAATGGAGAGGATTAATTGCTTTGAAATTACAAGCTGTCAAGGTAAGCTCTGCTGCTTGTAGATCTGGTTAGGGTCATGCTTGGACTAATTGCTCTTTTCTCCTAGACCGTGATGAAAATCCGTCAAGTCTTTCCTACCCTCCTCACCCCGCATAGTACTGCCCTCTTCACCACGGTCTGGACCGAATTATCAACCCTGCAGACTGTATACCATGATATGTACATTCGAGACGAGAGACAAGGGAGATTAGAGGATGCAGATGGCCTGCCGTACACACTCGACTTTTTGGTCCTTGAAGAATTGGACTTGATGCAAACTTTGCTGCGAGCCCCTCCAGTGCTGAAAGAGCTGGAAAGTCAACTACAGGCAGCAGGAAGTGAAGCAACCACCTCAAGTTGGTTACCGGATGTGCTCAAACTCGCCATCTCGTACTCTCAAATTTCCACCGAAGAGGAAGGCCTATGGGACATTGACGTGAGCCTTTACATTTCCGAAGAAAGCTCTGTGACATCAAATTACACGCCCAGAACGTGTGGCGGTGATGTCGTCATTAAATTGGGCGAGTGGCTTAAAGTCACAATTGTCAAATCGCTTCTTGCGTATATCAATGTTGTGTTCTCGGATACGACTTCAAGGTAGACCTCCCCACACGCTTCCCATGAGTCACCACGGCTAACCGTTTGGATCTAGCTGGAAATTGCGTGAAGCTTCACTTTATGTGGTTAATCAACTACTTCGGGATTTCCACGAGGTCTCCCAGAGCATTCCACTGGACGTGGCCAATGGCTTTAACAATTTCATTCAGTTTTGCTTGCAGCAAGACGATATTTTTCTCCGTGCGCGCGGATATCTCGTGGCTGGCAAAGTGGCAGTGACTGCTGGAAAAGAATTCCATCCAACAGCAATGTCGTATCTAGAAGCAGTTATCAAGGCTATCTCTAATGATTCCTCCGAAGTTGTTCAAGCGGCTTGCATTTGCGCATTACAGGACTTTCTCCCTAACCTTCCGCCAGATTTGACGAAACCGTTTCAACTTCAGATGATTTCCACTTTGGCTGACTACACTGCCGCTCATGATCTCCGTGATATGACTGAAGGGGATGACCTGAAGTTTACTTTGGCGGACACCGTACGGGATGCCATCATGGTCGATCCCGGAATCGTCCTTACTTCCAATGCTCTTGATCTCTTGTTCAATATTGCCAGCAATGGAGCGAGCAACCTACAGTTGGGAATGATAGTTACCGAAACCTTCGAAAGGATTGTAGAGTATATGGCTGAACAGGGCCCTGATGCCTATATCCTGCTCTGCGAAAAGGTCTTGCCCTCTTTGAATGCAGCCATTGACGTCGGAAATCTGACCCAAGAAAATTCATTGACCAACCTAGCGGTGGAGCTTCTGCGTGCCCTGGCAGAGAATGGCCTGGAACCGCTCCCTCAAGGCCTCATCGCCACGGTTATGCCAAAGTTGAATCGCTTGTTGCTTGCATCTACTGAGGCTGACTTGCTCCCTCCAGCGACTCTCACTATGAAGCATATGCTTGCGCATGATCCTAACCAGTTCTTTGCCTGGCGCGACCCCCAAACCGGCAAGGATGCGGTTGAGAGTGTCTTGATTATTATTGATCGTCTTTTAGGTCAATCTCTGGAAGACATCGCTGCGTCTGAAGTCGGTGGACTAGCAGCCGAATTGGTCGAAAAGGCCGGTGCAGAAAAACTTGGCCCATACTTCCCTCAACTGCTTCGCGCAGTGGCCCAGCGCCTCGCGACAGCAGAAAAAGCACAATTTATCCAGAGCTTGATTCTGGTGTTTGCGCGTTTGTCCCTGGTCAGTGCTCGAGAGGTTGTCGATTTTCTTGCACAGTTAGACATCAACGGACACTCTGGACTTAACGTTGTCCTCGCCAAATGGCTTGAAAACTGTGTCAATTTTGTTGGGTATGACGAGATCAGACAGAATGTGATCGCCTTGTCGAAGCTCTACCAGCTCGGGGACCCCCGTATTTCTCAAGTTCAAGTCAAGGGCGATCTTATTATACAGGACACAGGGCGGATCAAGACCCGCTCCCAATCGCGACTCAACCCAGATCAGTATACGGTCATCCCGGCTCCCCTGAAAATTGTCAAAGTCCTCGTTGAAGAGCTATGTTCCGCTTCTGGCGCAAAAGGAATTCACTCTGCTGCATCCGTGGCGGGTTTGGACGACCTCGAAAGTGACGATGAGAACGATGACTGGGAAGATCTACCATCGAACACCCTGGATTTGAGCCTTGGTATTACCAAGCAGGAACTGATGGCCTTTGGAGAGGGTGACAACCTTCGACAGCGTGACGATGCATCGCAAGCATACTTGACGCAATTCTTCCGTGAGGAAGCGGCTAAGCCTGGATTTCAAGAGATCTTTGCGGCTCTGAGCCCAGAGGAACAGGGGTGGCTGCGGAGTTTAGGACAGTAAATTGTGGGCGATGAAGCACTTTCTGCCATACTTGTGAAAAGAAAAGGCTTCAAAATAATACCAAAATTGATATTCTACATACGATGAGAAACGACTACTACATATGGGGGGCTTTTGTGAAAGAGATCATGAAGTGATGGTTCTAGAACTGGTCATGAATCGTGAATAGTTGATGCTTCTCGAGACAGTTAATTAACTAGCTCCAATAACTACATAGGCACATAGTTACCAGCAATGCTAGCGACTTTCCGTGCCATTTGTTTCTTATTTCCTCTTCCATTCAGCATCTCGAGTCCGCGCCCGGATAATTGCATCCCGTAGGGCTGAGACCCTAGTTGATGTCAGCACTTGGCTTGAGCTTGTGACGAGAGCACAGCCGGGTTGTTCAGCCACGAAGGTGTTTTGACGTAAATTCTAAACGGCGCGAACCCGTCCATATCTTTTTTTCAATTTTGGTGTAGTAGTTCGTTATATTTGAGAAGAGTCTCCCGCAAAGCGACGCAACCAAAAGAAGGTGCTATTAAAAGTCGGATGTTTCGGAGCACATCCCGGTGAACATCGAGAACGCGGGGGAATCGTCTGTTTGGTGAATTCAAAAACATCCTGCAGTGCAACAAAAGAATATTGAGGAACACGATGGGTTCATACACGGCTGGCATCAGGCCTGCATTCCTTGTCCTCGCCGTTCTACTTGTCCTTCTTCCTTCGCATGTCCATGCTTTTGGCGCTGGTAGTAAGTTTTGCTCGTCCTGTTTTTTTTTTTTTATAATCGCTCAGATTGCTACCAGTTTAACATGCTGTCTGATACTGACTACTATCTTAGACATCGCATCGATATCCAAGGTTGAAGGCAAGAACTGGCGCCATGGCGACATTGAGGATGTGCTCAAGACCCTGGCGTTTATCAAGGGCCATAAGTGGACGTCGAATATGGTCAAGAGGGTGTATTTCGGAAACTGGCTGAGAGATTAGTGGGTCTTTGTGGCTTTTTCTATATATCGTCTTTCTTTCTCGTTTCGGGAGCTATGTACGGTTCTCTAATGGCCTTTGCATGTACGGGCTGACGCTGTATGCCTTGGTTTTCTAGCTCGCAGGCAATGGATGTAGGGACTCTGCAGAAGCTGCAATCCGAAACAATCCGCGTTTTGGTATGGATCCTGTCATTCATGAGCTTTGGCTACGCCACGGGTGAATTCGAGGTTACCGCTGAGAGACTGGGGGTCTATCGACCGGAGGAGCATATTGAGTAAGTGTATTTTGCTAGAATTATTTGGTAAATTTATTGCTGACACCGAATAAAGTAACCCTAAAGACTATGCGGACAATAAAGATGCAAGGCAATACGACCAGCGTCTGCGCGGTCCTGTTAGACAAATTGAGTTGGAGGTTGATCCAGAAACCGGGATGAAGAACTACATTGCGAACGAGCGGGGAGATTGGGCTACCAGTGCAGGCTACGTCAGGTATAGCTTTGCGCGTAGCATCCATTTCGGGAGGCTTTACGCCAATGGGGGCCATCACAAAGGTCGCGAAGAGGATCTATGTGAAGCATTACGATGCCTTGGCCAGGGTTTACATACCTTGGAAGACTTTGGCGCTCACACCAATTTTTGCGAACTTGTCCTGCGTGAGATGGGTATGCATAATGTCTTCCCGCATACCGGGACGAGGACAATGATGAACATTCGTGGAAAGCATGTTTTCCCCCTGGTCACCGGGACTTTTGGCATGGTGGACTTCTTCCACTCAGTTTTGGGCGAAGCCACGGACCATTTCACTCAATCGGAGATCGACGAGGCTGACAATGCGTTGGGAAGTGCCCAAGCTAGCGGATCATCTGGGCCGTTGAATGGGTTGACTAGCTTACTGGGAAAAGTCCCTGGAATGGGAGACCTCGTCACCGAAGCGCAGCAATTGCAACATCAGTCTCAGGCCCAGGCTCAAGCTAACCAGCAATACCAATCTCACCATGGAGGTTATGGAGTATCTCGAGGATTCAACGATGGCCCCCATAGCCAACCGGCAGGGTATTCCGATGACACTCGGGCTAACGTTCCAGGAGTACCTGATTTTGACCCGCAGAAGACGATATCCCAAATCTACCCCATTCTTGTTTTTCGGGACAAGGTTGTTCGAAGAATCAGCGCGGTGGTGTCAAAGATCCCTGGGCTTGAATCGTTGATGGACAAGATTTCGGAAACACTGACAGTGTTTATCTATTCTCTCCTGGCTCCATTTGTCCGGCCTCTGATTACTTTTGCATCGCAGAAATTGCATCTCGGATCGTCCGAGGTTATCCAGTCCTCGGCGCAACACCAATTTGAACCCTGGACCGATCCCACCTGCACTGATCCGACACACTCTCTGCTTTCGAAGGATCATTTTTCGAACATTCTCAACGAGCCAGCGGGCAACGTTGCAGCTGCCATCTTAAAATTTGCTGTACCGCGAGTCTTGTACGCTTGGCAAAACGTCGACTTTCCGGTTGATCATGTGTTGAATGACTGCATGAGCGTGTTTCATCACCCAGCGTTGCGGGACATGCAGAACGAAGCGCATCGGACCATGTTTGAAGCTGTTCAGCAATGGGCGCATTCGAGACGGGATCGCGGAGCAAGCTTAGACCATATCTTGAGTGCGGAGAGCGTCAAAGCAGGGAAAAACCACACCACTGGAGGAGCTGGCCACGACCACGGACATGGACATGGACATGCACATACACATGCTCACGCTCACAGTCAGCCTCACCAGGCAGCGCCATATGGGCATCCTCAAGCTAGTCACAGTCAAGGACAAAGCCAGAATCATTCGACTAGTTCGTTTGCCAACATCCCAGGCCTATCTTCTCTCGCTGGATTTACCAGCGGGTCGCAGAGCCATCAGCCTCACTCTGGGTCCTCCGGTTCATCTGGAATGCCATGGGATAAGCTCTCAAACCTCCCTATTCCTGGGATTTCCAACCTAAATAAGCTCTCCAATTTCATCCCTGGTGCGAAGCCCGGGCATGGAAGGCGTGAGATGCCGGACGAGTCTGATGCCAGCGCAACTCAACAGCCACAGCATTCAGCAGCTCCAGCGTACCC